AATATAAATTCTTGTACGAGTCGAAAATGAATTTCCGGAAATACTAGTCAGAAGGTATACGTATAAAATATCATTGAAAAGCAGAGAATTAAAAAAGCAATATATAATATAGAAAGTTGTAAAAGGTAATGTTGAAGAATATATAAATAATAATTTCTAAAAACTAACATTATTTAACGCAAATCATGTGTTTTCAAGCAAATTAAATTAAATTTTTTTACTAAATTTAAACTTTTAAAAAATGTTTAAGTTTGAAAAAGTATTCAAAACCCACGGATTCAAGGCAATGACTATTTCATTGTACATCGTGTGGAAGAAGAAGTGAAATATAAAAATATTTCATGGATACGTTAAATATATTTACTACAGTTTAATAAATCTAGATCTGATATTATATTAAATAATTAGGTATCTATCGTCCGTTTATTCCTAAATCATCATGTAAAGTTTTAGAAAATTAAATTAGTGAATAGTTTGATGAAATTTCCTTTTGTGATATTCCAACAGTAACCACTTACAATAATTATAATTTTACTAATGATTAGTGTGGCAACTTTTGACCTGTCTATGACAGACAATGCTAATCTCTAAATTTCGTTTTGGTAAACTATGCAATGGAAAATAACAGTTTAATAACTAATAGTCGTACAATCTATAATCAACGGATCACTAGCGAATCCAGGATTTAATTTTGGGGGGAGGGGCTTCAGCCCGGAAGCTTTTTTTTTCATATATATAACGATAGTTACTTTAGAAAAACAGAAAGATACTAACTACCTATATGAAATGGTGTTTAGGTGATTCTTTAAGTTCTTTTAAATGTAATTAAACGAGCAATAATACTTTAAGACATTTTTTTTTTCTTGTTCTTTCCTACCTCGCCTTTTAGGCTATACAGGATTTTCCCGGACCAGAGGGTGATAGCGGGGAATTTAAAATCCCCTCTGGCACCGAGACGCGAACTCGTGATTATTTTCATATCATAGAATCATAAATCCGGTTGCCGGGGTGCACACGCGTTAGCCCATTCGGCCACCCCGCCCTAAAAAATCCAATACTTTAAGACATATTTTTTTACCATAAAACATGATTACATTTTACCATTTTGGTGGGCTTCAGCCCGAAAGCCCCTCCCGCCGTAAATCCGCCTGTGCAACGGATCATGCAATCCGTAATGTACGGATCGTAAAATCCACAATCAACCGGTGATATAATAAATAGGACTTTTGTTATTTAAATGGTATTTATGATTTGTTAGCTGTAATTTCTTGCTTTAGCTCAGTTAAAAATGCAATGCAAAAATTTTATAATAGACCAACATGACCAGAAATCAATTTTTATTCTAAGTTGAGAGGTAAGTGAAAGTTATTTGTTGCACGCACCAGATTTTTCTAAAATTCTTAGCTTTCCAGCTATATATTTTACGTTCCACTTCTGACTAGTATTTCTGGAGATTCAGTTTTGACCTGGATAAGCATTTTTATTTTTTTCTCGTTTTCTATTATCATGTTCTTTCAAACTTCATATTTGACCGTTTTTTATATTTACTTTCAATAAAAGAGAGTTAATTTGTTTAAATAAACCGTATTAAAGGTACTTTAGAGGAAGGCCCATATGAACATTGGTTATTTAAGAACTGTAAAGTGACATCAATGGAGGTCAGACCTAAATGATATTTAAGACCACTTAATTATACAATGCTAGACCGAGTTCAATCAAAATCGTTAGAGCCGTTTTTGAGAAAATTGTAAAAATGTATTTTACCGTTGATATAATGTGGCACTTCCGATTAGCCGATTTCTACGAAAAAGTTACTGTAACATACAAGGTATATACAAACCTTAAATATGAAATTTCACCTTCGTTCGACTTCGTGAGCTAGATTGTTCACGTACATGCACACAGACCATTTTGTGGGACTTGGTTATTTGGAGATCTCAAATCATGTATTTCCATTGAAAAATCAACAGTCGAAAATTTTCACAATCGCAATACTGTTTTTTTACTATATATTTTATGAAATATATATGTATAGGTAAGCGGATCTACCGGATCTACGGGGGAGAGGGGGGGAGCTTTCGGGCCGAGGCCCCCTCCAAAATGGTAAAATATAAACAGGTTTTATGGAAAAATATATAAAAAAATTATCTCTTAAAGTATTAATGTTCGTGTAATTACATTTAAAAGGACTTAAGGAATCACTTAAACACCATTTCATATAGATAGTTTCTTTCTTTTTTTACAAAATAATTATCGCTATTTTTATGAAAAAAAAGCTTCCGGGCTGAAGCCCCCCCCCAAAATTAAATCCTGAATCCGCTAGTGATCCGTTGATTATAGATTGTACGACTATTAGTTATTAAACTGCTATTTTCCATTGCATAGTTTACTAAAATGAAATTTAGAGATTAGCATTGTCTGTCATAGACAGGTCAAAGTTGTCACTCTAATAATTAGTAAAATTACAATTATTGTAAGTGGTTACTGTTGGAATATCACAAAAGGAAATTTCATCAAACTATTCACTAATTTAATTTTCTAAAACGTTACATGATGATTTAGAAATAAACGGACGATACCTAATTATTTTAATATAATATCAAATCTAGATTTATTAAACTATAGTAAATATATTTAACGTATCCATGAAATATTATTATATTTCACTTCTTCTTCCACACGATGTACAATGAAATAGTCATTGCCTTGAATCCGTGGGTTTTGAATACTTTTTCAAACTTAAACATCTTTTAAAAGTTTATATTTAGTAAGGAAATTTAATTTAATTTCCTTGAAAACACACGATTTGCGTTAAATAATGTTAGTTTTTAGAAATTATTATTTATATATTCTTCAACACTACCTTTTACAACTTTCTATATTATATATTGCTTTTTTAATTCTCTGCTTTTCAATGATATTTTATATGTATACCTTCTGACTAGTATTTCCGGAAATTCATTTTCGATTAGTACAAGCATTTTTATTTTCCTTTATTCCATTATCAAATTCTTTCAAAAGTTATATTTAGCATTGGTTATTTGGAGATCTCAAATCATGTATTTCCATTGAAAAATCAACAGTCGAAAATTTTCACGATCGCAATACTGTTTCTTACTGTATATTTTATGAAATATATATGTATAGGTAAGCGGATCTACCGGATCCACGCGGATCTACGGGGGAGGGGGGGTTGCTTTTGGGCCGAAGCCCTCCCCCCCAAAATGGTAAAATATAAACAGGTTTTATGGAAAAATATATTAAAAAATTATCTCTTAAAGTATTATTGTTCGTGTAATTACATTTAAAAGGACTTAAGAAATCACTTAAATACCATTTCATATAGATAGTTAGTTTCTTTCTTTTTTTCCAAAGTAATTATCACCATTTTTATGAAAAAAAAAGGTTTAGGGCTGAAACCCCCTCCCCCAAAATTAAATCCTGAATCCGCTAGTGTAGGTAAGTGATAGTAAATATCTGGTGCGGTGCGCGCATCACACAACTTTCACTTACCACCCACATGCATGTATGCACCCCTCTCCCTCCACACAAACATATATATAAATAAACAAATAACTTGGTTATTTCGACTCAAGGGACCTCAAAACATGTATTTCCATTGAAAACTCAGATTCGAAAATTTTCATGATCGCATTACTTTCTGTTACTATATGTTTCATATATAGGTAAGTGAAAGTAAAAAAGTTGGCAATCTTGCTATGAGTCAAATTAGATAATTGTGTTTCCCATAGTTTGTGTAATGTCTAAACATACTTTTAAAAATATGTTTTCCTATAATTTATATATGACATAATTTTTCATGATGACAATTTTTTTTTTACAGCACTATTCACAAGAAAAAAAAAAAAAATATATATATATATATATATATATATATATATATATTATTTGGTTGCAAAATTAAGAATTAAGGCTGCAGTTTTTATAAATACAAATAACCACCAAATTCCAACAGGTTTTTATGAAAATAGAGATAGATTATTATAAATTGAGGCACTTTTCAAATTGTATTCCCTCACTAGATGGAAAAAAACTGCTCAAAAATATTACAAGCATTTTTTTTCTACAATATTGCAAGATGTAGCAGATGTTAACAAAAACAGACATATTAATAGGTAATTGTTGAAATGTGGACCCAGATATAGAATCAAATTTAAAACACTTAGTTTACTATGGAGGATTTGTTTTATTTTTTTTTGCATAAGAATAAAAATAACCTACCCAAAATATTTTTTTTTTAAATAAACTACAAAAACAATTCTTTCCATGAAAATAAATATTAGAATGTTAATTAAAATGAATAAGTAAACTAAAATTTAATTGTTTATATTTTTGACCCTTTTCCATTAAAATTTATTTTCCCTCTTACAGGTCAAATAAAAAAAAGAAAACATGTCTTTATAGTTTCTTTTATTGTACTTTAAGGGGATCCTTATCCCCCTCTTCATTATATGATATGCCCCTGTGTTTCTGCATAAGTCGAACTGTCCATTCACCAAACTTAGTTGTACTTTACCAAAAATTCTTGGAGTATATTATATGCTAAATCGGGAAACAAAGGATTCCTCAAACTTACAAGCAATAAAAAAAACTATAAAGTGTTTGTTAAAATAAAAATGCTTTCTAAATTTGATCAGAGTGAAACTGATATGAAATCATGACCCAAAAATAAAAACTTAACTTCTGTGCCAAAGTTTATTGCTGGTTCTATCCACAATTTTACTTTAATTATCCAACTGATATCTACGTTTGTTTTTTATTTTGGAAATGTCTTCATATTATCTCTTTGCCTATATGGATCTCGAGAAGTTCATTTGTATCAATATTGTGTATCATTAGGAATGTTGCATAGTCAACCTAAGATAATTTACCTTTAACTTAATAGAAAATTTTGTGGTATATATTGGTGTTATAAATATGGCCACTTCATCGAAAACGTGTGGATAAACAGGAAGAATAAAAAAATATACAATCAGATGCAAAAAGATTGTGCTTCCAAATGACACTGAAAGATCTTTATTATGGTAATGTTACACAACTATTATGTAAATAATGAAGGTAAATTGATTTATCCAAAAGTTCATTAAATAAAAAGGACAGTAGGATTATAACTTTATTTTAAAGTCTACACAATAAGTGGATTTATTCAATTTATATTTACAAAAATATCAATGTTTCTGAAGTAAATCACAAGATTTCTTAAATACTATCAATAAATAAAACCCTGAATACATTTTCACAAAACACTAACCTCATTACACAAAATAAATAGGCATGAATGAACGTCGTTTGATAAAAAAATTAAATAGTTCCCATCTAATGGTATTATTAGAAAATTCATAATGTATTCTAGCACATCTTTGCTTATGATAACTTCTACTGATTATTTATAGACTAGTGATTAAAAGAAGACACAACCATAAATAATCAATAAACTTTTATCTTCTTTAGAAAGCAAAGAAGATCGATGAATATACTAAGTAAAAATTACAACAAAGTAACAGAGGCCTTTTCAAAAAACAACACTTTCATACAATTTTATAGTGTCAATAATAAAAATTTTAATAAACATTAATACAAGATTTAAAGCGCACAGTCTATTAAATTACATAACATTTTCAACTTTGAGATTGATCTACATGGGATATTTGGCACTCTTCAACATCCATTTCAGATGATTCACAAGACGTTGAGGTTGAAGGATTAGAAGCTTCTCCACTTTCTACAGTAGTAGTTGTTTCACTAACTAAATAATTGGATGAAGATGCAACTTCATTAACCCCAGAAGATTCAACTTTACAGTCGACATCAGAACTAGCTGGTTCATCAATTCGCTGTTTAACTTCCAATTCCGAATCACAAGAATTACTGGTTTCAGAATCCAAAGAATTACTAGTATCACATTCAGTAGGGCGGGATTCTTCAAATACCTCTGAAACACTAGATTCAGAACCTTCTGTACTGTTTTCTTGAGAATTACTTACTATTTCAGTTTGTTCAGAGGAGCTATTACTCTCAGTGACAGTCAATGATATGTTTTCACCTGATTGCAAGGAATCAATAGCATCTGTCCCACTAACTTCGACACTGGCTTCTTTAGATTCATTATCAACTTCATTAGTGGAAACATTGGATTCTCCTGAGATTTCTAATGCGCATTTAGCATCAATGGATAAATCAGCTGCTTTGTTTTCACTTAGTGGTAAAGCATTTTCACTTTGTGGTTCTCCAGATTCGGGTGGCTGTTCATTAATGGTTGAACAAATTACTGTTTCCGTGTCTTTTTCTTCAATTATTATTTCTTGACTTACTTCATCATTCCTGATAAGACCTAGCTCATTAGAACAAGCACTATCTCCAGTATTTTCCTTAAATGGAACTGAAGTTATACTATTTGAGGTAGCACCTGTCACTAATGTAGTACGAGATTCTTGAGTGACATCAAAGTTATGTGATGAAGAATCAGGATCTGCAATATCATTACAAGTAAATGAAGATTCGATTCCAGAATCATTTGGTCCAGGTATTCCATTAAAAGAAGAATCTTGTTGTGTATCCACTTCATTGTCAGCATATCTGCCAGGTTCTCGAGTACTGACAACCAAAATATTTTTTTCAATAGCTCTCATGAATTTATCAGCCCTATTATATTCCTTCCATGGATTTGTTAGAAGTTCGGAAATCCTCTGAACAGTAAAAGGAGCACCATTAAATGAATCAAGTTTTTCTAGCAGATTAGCTTTCATTCTTTCATAATTAAAGGGGTCAACATTAGGACAAGGAGGCAGTTCTATGGACAGAGTACTTTCATAAAAATCTGTAATAACATTCAATAATTTCTCTCGAAAAAGACATTTTATAATAGACCATTTGAAAACAGGGTCTCCTGTTTTCGCAACATAACCTAAATAATCTTCAAGCTCTCGAGGAATATCTTTAGGTTTTAACTTACTAAATTCTTCAAGGGAATGCATAATTTCTTCTGCATTATCCATACTTTTCGAGACGACAACAAGCACTAGACTAAACTAGTAAACACAACTACCTGCAGTAAGGTTACTAAATGGAAAGGTTACTTATAAAATGGAAAATACAACGCCATGAATCTACCAGTGAAATAGGCACAGGCTAGGAAACATCCAATTACAAAGTCTATTTAAATGCAAAAAGTAATGATTTAGTTTAAAATAATATGAGTAAATTATTGTATATTACATTTGTTTACTTTTAAATAGTTTTAAGTTAAATTAATTTCGGAATTATTACCTAAAAATAATTAAAATATAAAAATATTTGTCAATTCAAACTCAGCATTGAGGAATAGGGAAATAATTTTTTGTTAACATGTGTTGGCTGTTATGTTTATGTTATGTTATGTTGGCTGTATGGTTTTAGTGAACTGTTTATCAACGATACGAATGTAAATAAACAATGATTAACTTCGTCTAAATTTGAATCTATATTACTATATTATTCACTAATGATTATTGGATCATGTGCTAAGTTTATATTACTTTTAACATGTCTAGTTGCCATCCTTCAGATTATACATTTAATACTTTTAAATCATTTGGAAATAATACGTTCCCAAAGAACAAAAATATTTCAAGAACCAAAGGGAGAATCCTTGTCTCCAGAACAACAGGTATTATCAAAATGTTGATAATTTTTATTTTAGTTTTGCACTAATTATTTTTTTTGTAAAATAATTATCTATTTTCTTAATTAGTGCATTTTGTTGCTGTTGTTCTTTGAGAAGTTGAGATACTATGTTATTTAAAACTGCATTACTTGCAGTAAATTAAGAGTATTTTTAGTTTTATCTTAGATTATTTTGTTATTCATAGACCTGCTGTAACATTTTTGTTTTATTTGTTTAGGTTTTTCTGTCAATTAAGGAGTTTTATGTTGTTTAGCTTAATTTAAGGGTGGCCAAATCTGTATAAGTGATAAGGGCAAAATTGTACTAATGCTGTAGAGTAAGTTATTAACTGATCTATGTTTTCCATTTTCTACTTAAATTCCCATAAATTAAATAGTTGGCTCAGAATGGGTGACAACTTATCATATTTATTTAAGGATGTGGGAAAAGACCTAAGAGCCAGACTTCTATAATTAATCCTGAAATTATGGGAGGAGGAAAGGATTACAGAGGCCTAGAACACCAATATAATATGTCATATCCTAAAGTAGGGTTCCATGTATGAGTGTAGAAACTAAAGAGGTATAACACTAAAAGAAAATCATCTGTGTTCTACTAAACCCGTTTTATCTGAATTTCTAAGATATAACAGGCAATCCACAGAGAAGAGGAAGGAACACACTAGATCTGATCTTTATCCTAAAACAGATGCTTGAAAAATAATTATCTATTTATAACATATAACATGTAAGTAGTTCAGGATGCACAAGCCTCATTTGTTGATTTCAAAACTGTCAATGATGACTATGAATCTGTCGATAGAAACTGTCTTTGGAAAGTCATTACTGAGCTGGAAGCTCCCGTGACGATGATAAGATTGACGAAAACATGTACAAATGATCCTAAATTTCAGATCCTACCACTAGCGGATCCAGGATTTGATTTTGGGTGGGGGCTTCATCCGGAAGTTTTTTTTTTTCATATATATCACGATAATTACATTGGAAAAACAGAAAGATACTAACTACCTATATGAAATGGTGTTTAAGTGATGGTTGAAGTCCTATTAAATGTAATTAAACGAGCAATAATACTTTAAGACATAATTTTTAAATATTGTTTACCATTAAACATGGCTACATTTTACCATTTTGGGAGGGGGCTTCAGCCCGAAAGCTTTCCCCCCCTCCCCCTCCCCGTAAATCCGCCTGTGGATCCTACTACATGGAAGTATCTGAAGTTGTCAAAGTCCAAACTGATTTGTGGCATCCCTGGTGATAAGAACATAACGTGAAAATGTAGGGTTGTACGTCAGAAGGAAATATAAATTCTTTGGATATGCTAAATATATATTTGTTCTTAAAACTAAGCTAAAGGATATTGAAAGACTTGTCAAAACTATGATAATAGAAGTGAAACTAATCATCTTACAACTAAATATCTTATAGTAAGCCAAAAATTCCACCTCAACAGCAGGATCTACATGGAAATGAATGGTTCTCATATTAGAAACTATCTATCTATCTATCAGATGGCGCTACAACCTTATGATGGATCCTGGCCTCCTCTATGAGCCTCTGCTATTCAGCTCGGTTTTGGGCTGCTGCCTTCAATTTCGGACTTGAAGCAGGTCTTGTACCACGCCATCCATCCACCAGAGCTTGGGCCATCCGACTCTTCGATGACTCTTTTAGGTATTTTGTCGGGACTCATCTATGCAACATGCCCAGCCCACCCAAGGCGTTCCAGCCTAATAAAAATCACAACATCTATATTCTGCAGCAGCTCATAGAGTTTCTTATTTCTTCTTCTCCAGCCTTCCTTATCCCTTACCGGCCCATAGATTCTTCGAAGGATCTTCCTCTCGAAGACCAGGAGATTACTTCTATCCTATGTGGATAGTATCCATGTCTAATCAGAGTTTTATATAAATGGACCTTTGTTTCATGACCTGCTAATGAGCTTGCTCCGGTCTTTTTTAACAGACCAAAATAGCATCGGTTAACCAGTGTGATCCTTCGCTTTATTTCAATAGAAACATTATTTGTTGCTGTGACCTCAGATCCAAGGTAAATAAACTCCACTATCTCAAAGGTACAGCTTCCTATGTATGACTCGTGCGGTGTAATATTAGAAACAGTTAAATATCTCAGTTCACCAATAACCTTAATAAATTGACCTACTATTAGATATAAATTATAGTATTATCATGTTTCTCTCTTTCAAAGGTATTGGAATCCCAAAAAATCTTTATAAATCTAAAATTAAATACGATGCTATGATGTAACTCGGAGCAATCTGTCAGGAAGCGTTTACACAGCAATGAATGCCTCAGTAGTAGTCAAGAGACCATGCGGGAGGCTAAAAACCAGATGGATAAATCGAATAGACAAAGATGCTGCAGAGATGTATGCAGAAAATTGGATGACAATTCCAAGATAGGCAGAATTGGAGAAGGCTGGTTCAGGCAGGAAAAGATCTTAAGGTCTGTAAAACCAAAAATATAAAAAAAAGCAATATATCAAAATAAAATTATTTCCATTTTCAATATTTTCCCATCACCACTACACTCTCACGCTCTCACTTCTATAGGTAGTATGTTTCTTTGTGCAACCTAAAGGTGTTTTTCTCGTGCGTGTTTCACTAAGATTAATTATTATTTTTTTTGTTGAACTATCAGAAAGCCACATATCTCCTGGAATATTGCAACTGATAATTAGAAGGATATTCAAATTGTCTTCTGAGTTCATTTCAATAAGGATAATAATGTTCATAAACCACTAAAAAATAAATAAATTTAATTTTTTTTGTTGTAGAAAATCTAGAAACCTTTCGAATTATTATAGGCCAATCATTGAAGTCATTTATGATATCCTAATATACAGTATTAAAGAAACTTCAGCTTATCAAAGAAAAACAAATTTAAGAAATGTTATATCCTTGGTTTATTTTAAAAAATCATTTAGTGAATTTCATAGTCTTAAATTATCAAGAATTTATTTGGGAAGTTGGTTGGGGGTTGCAGTCAGAGAGAACACGCAAATAAGAATAAAATATTTATTGTGCTAACGTTTTGGCCTAAATTACAGATTATTACAATATTTTTTTAATAATTTTGGTTGCCATCTTGTCTTTTCTCAGCCCTGATGAAGGCCTGCAACTTTGGCCAAACCAAAATAAAATAAAAATCTTTAATTTCTATTTGTGTTCTTTCTGACTGCCACCCCCAACCAAATGGTATATAGTCAACAATGTCTTCACCACCAAGAATTTTGATGAATTTTCCCTTTGTAAAATCAAAAAATCTTGATTTTGAGCCTAAGTGAAATAATAGATGTGGAAACTTTCAGGATGATAAGTAGTCAGGATTTTTAGTAAAGATTTGTTTTATTGAGCTTGTCAATGCTTTGACCTGTTCTAACAATTAAAAATTATATCACAAATACAAGATATTTTTTGCTATAGGATATGGATATATATGTGTGTATTTTATTTCTTTTGTTTAATCAAAACTAGAAACATTTTCCAAAATCAAGTATCTGTTAAAAACTAGATATCAACTCTCTTGTGGGTATCAAATTTTATCGAATCAAGCCTATGTGCTTATAAAACTTATAATAACTTCAATTTTTTTTTCTCAGTTTACTTATCACTTTTATCCATTTCAACCTTCAATGATCTTAAATAGTCATGCTAAATTAATAAATAAGAATTTTATAATCAGTTTATTTCTTAGATCAATATTTATATATATTCTAACAATTTGTGTATTTTTAATACTTATATGATTTTTATTATTTTTTATTGTTTATACTAGGCTAGATTAATTTATGAAAAATTTGAAGATACTCTTGACAGTAAACATTATTTTGATTCAACTGGGGTTTACCGCATTGTGAATTTGGCAGATACTGTTAGACCTTTAGTATTCTCTGAACCAAATCCTGATATAACGTTGGTTACACACTGTTCTTATAATCATCTGTCTAAAGTTATTCCACTAGCTAAACAGTGGCAGGTAAAGCATTCTGTTTATTAGATTGTCATTCTATTTATATATATATATATATATATATATATATATATATATATACATATTAATTAAGATTTATCTGTTAATAGTATACATACATACAGGGTGTCCTGTAAGTAGAGGGAAATATTCAAAAGATTAATAGTAAACATCAAGATTCCGTTTAAAAAAAGTCATAAATTATTCCCGATTTTTTTTATTTATCATCATTATCAACCAAATAAATACTACATATACGCTATGATAAAAATATTAAAAAAAGATTTTTAAAATGTTTTCACATAAAGTGATTATAAAATTGTGTTTTTCTTCTAGATTTCTGTCGTAGGTATTGATACGTATTTATAAGTAACAAATAAAAAATAATTGAAGCAATCGGTAGGTTTCTTTATTTTAAACGTAAATTTTGGTTAGAAACATTATGTTTTTCACTTATAAATATGTATCAATTTTTGGGAGAAAAACACAATTGCATGACCACCTTACATGAAAAATATTTGAAAAGTCTTTATTTTAAATTTTTTATTTTTATAAATTTTATTTAGGCAATATATCCCATATAAAAAAAAAAAAAAAAAAAAAAAAATTAAAGCTTATTACATAGCTACAATTATCTATTACAACGGATAATTGTAGTAAGTGTTTTTGCTGGAAACACGAGTTCTTTAAAGTGACTGGGCAGGAAATCAAATCATTTCTTTACACAACTTGAGGTAAATCTCAATTTTTTTCAGTAATAAACGTCATCTATAGTCAATCGTTGGATAATGTTAAAAAAAAAAAATCGCAAATAATTTATGTTTTTTTTAAATGGAACTTAGCTGAGTTCAGCTGTTCAAAAGTCCTCTTTAAATGGTCTCAACAACGACAATCTCTAGTATCATTTGAAGTAAATTTTATCTAGTTTACTATAAATCAATTTTAAATTACTTAAATAAAGTATTTTCTATTAAACAAAAAGACATGACCTACTTAAAAAATCACAAATCTTGAATTTCCTACTTTTCTGCTGAGAATTGGGTAATTGTAATAAACTTTTTTGTAGATCTTGATGTCTACTATCAGCCTTTTAAATATTTCCCTCTACTATATATATTAATTTATTTCAATGTATATTAATATTTATATTAATTTATATTAAATATATTAATTTATATAAATGCATACCTAAATATATATAAATAAATTAAAAATAATTAATTTAAGTTTACATGATAAAATTGTCTTATGTTTATTTGTGCAGGGTCTAGTTTCAGTTGCAGTGTATTCTGAAGTTGAAAATATTGCTTTAACTTTATGGAAAATAGCTAGCATCCAAGTAGATGTTAAAGCCATTAAGGATAATGTGTCGTTTTCTGTTGTGACCCCCATCCCTTCTAAAGATGAACCAGTTCCTACCTTATCACCTTTTCCTGCATTGGATATAGGTAATAACTCAGATGAATACTTTCAGAACTATGATGTCATCATGATCTATCCAAATAATCTTCTTCGAAATGTTGCTCGAAGAGCATCACATTCTGAGTTTATTTTCACTATTGATGTCGACATGGTTCCTAGTGAAAATTTAAGACAGGTATTTATTTTATAGATTTTATATTTGTAATTTTTTCAGAATTTTTCTCATTATATATATACTTATTGAGCTGTTAGGAGATTCTTTTCAGGAACTATGAACTAGAACAATAAGTGCCACAATGATAACTAAACTGTTAGCAATTTTTTATATACACAATTGACAAACACTTGCCAACTACACTTGTATTTTTCAATTATTGTTCAAAGAGTCATAGTGTCTACTGTATTGTGTGTCTGAACTGCAATAATTGTATTAAATTTAGATGTAGTACAGTAGACTTATTTTCTTATACAAAAAAAATAAATGAAAAAGTAGCATCTTCAACAAACATCTCCTCTTTTGTGGATTGCTGTGAAAATCTAATAAATCAACAATATTATAGCTATTAATTTATGAAATTTGTAATTTTTTTTGTTTTAAGGAATTTTTATTATTTGCAACAAAAAAAGGACTATTTAGGAAGAATCGTCGTTATGATAAAACTGTTTTTGTGATACCAGTATTTGAAGCCAAAGAAGGTGTTTCTCCACCTATGAATAAGCCCCAACTTTTAAGTTTGATAGAAACTGGAGAAGTCCGTCCATTCTATGCTCAGATTTGTCCAAAATGTCAGGTGTGTATTGCCTAATCATTGATTTTGAAATTAATGTTCTAAACTATTTTAAAATCATATTTTTTTAGGATTTGACTAATTATGAAGGTTGGTTAAATGAACCGCCTGGGTCTGAAATGGCAACTATTTTTGATGTCTTATGGAAGGATCCTTGGGAGCCATTTTACATTGCTAGTAATAATGTGCCTTTATATGATGAAAGGTTCAAACAGTATGGTTTTAACAGAATTAGTCAGGTATTTGATTTATTATTATTTTACTTTGATGTTGGTTGTGAAGAATTATTTATAATTTAATATCATCATGCATCATGTGATACCGTTATGTGCTAATTATCACATAGCGCTCAATCAATTATTCATTCTAGCCTTGTGTGTTTTTTATTTTATATTGAAATGCTAAGCCATGTGGCTTTCTGTTTATCACCGTATAGTGTTCAGATTTTCATTGTATGCAGTTCTGTTCCAACTCCTCTGTTTTTTTAAAGTCGTGTACAGTGAATTGGAATGCTTTTCTCTTTTTTTTTTTTAACTAAGACAAAGAGAATTTTAAACAATAATATTGTCTAATGAGATAGTAAAAGATTTAATATAATCATTATTTAAGTTATAGTTCATTTTGTAACTGATTTATTAAAGATGTCCATACTTCCATGGATGATAGTGTGAACATTATTAAAACTTGAATTATCCCCATAACTCATTTTTTTAAATCCCATTATTTCCTACTTTCTTTTTTGTAAGTACCTAATTTTTTCATTCTCTACATTAGTGCTTTAAAATTTCTCACCTTATCAATTTTAATTAATGAAATAGGAAAAGTTGGAAATTTGTTTACTCTTTTAATTTGTGCTCACCTCTAAACTGTTGCAAATAATATAAATAAATTAAATATTCATATATATATATATATATATATATATATATATATATATATATATATATATATATATATATATTCATTTTATTTATGTATGATCAATACTATAATTTTAGTATTAAATTGTGGATTTGAACATCTTACTTTTTTCAGGTGTGTGAACTACATGTAGCCGGTTACACATTCTCTGTGATGAATAATGGCTTTCTTGTTCATCGTGGTTTTAAAACAGAACAAAATTTTCATATTGAGAAAGATAGAGAACAAGAAAGCAACAGACTTTTGTTTCGTGTTTTTAAGGCTGAATTAAAATATAAATATATTGACTCGTCTAGGCGTTGTTATTGAAATATTACTGTTTCAAAGTTAAGAAATATTTGAGAAAAAAGATTTTTATTTATATATAAATAATATGATTTTATTTATATATAAGTATATGATTTAGACAAATTAAAGTAGAACTATTGTTCTTTCATAAGACAGTAGTTATAATATATAATTTTTTTTTCATTTTTTTTTTGTTACTGCCGTTTATTGTCCATCTTGTTAACTCAAATACTTTCTATACTTCATTTGATTCTGCATGTAATAGGTTCTTTTTTCTGTAGGAATTCTAGAAATCAAAACTGGAGAAGTTAGAATGAATAATTGTAGAATGGGGGCCTTCCATAATTATTTTCAAGTAACTGTTCTTATGTATATCTTTGTTCTCCACCATTCTCCTTCTGGTTCATTGACCTAAATAATATCCCAGATATATTAAATTTATTCATTAGTAAACATCTAATATTTTCCTTAGTTCAATGTCTAAACCAGTAACAACTGGTAGAAAAACGGAAAGAATCAGGCATGTGGACCCTAGAGCTCACCTCAAAGTGAATAAATTATTGAAGAAATATTTTTCCTCTAATCTCCAGTCCTTGTGTACAATTCAGTGATTTTGAATCGTTAACTTAAGTGTCAATGTGAAATTGGCTGTTTTATCAACCACAATGGCTATTACTGAATGGTATAAGGCAAATAAGACTTCTAAAGCCTTAATGAATGTAGTACGAAATGTTCCAGTTATGGCTGCGATGGCTTTTTTTGTTCCTCCTGCCCATCATTTCTGGCCCATAGGGTTTCAGCAGTAATAGGTTAATACACATTGGGTATATGTACGCCCTCTATTGTCAATAACACTCTATTTGTATTTATTATTATAATTTTTTTTTTGTGGATAATTTAAATGGGGAACATATTTTGGGTTCAAGTACAGTACGGCACAGTGAATGGATGTTTAACTTGCTTAAGGGGCTGCACCTTATCCTCTGCCAGATTACATGGCCAGCCCTCCTGGTCTGCCGTGTCCATCCGATTCTCATTCACCATCTTCTGCCTTCTTATCCACATACAATGGTGGCTTACCGATATTGGGTAGGAGAGCCCTACAAAGATTGAAGTGCGAAGATCCCACCACTTCCTTCCATCCATAAATAAAGTTTATTAAGGGATAGTTTTTCTCTTCCATCGGTCCGGAAAGGTCCATTTAGGCAAGGGCGAAGATACCTACCTGTATTTCTCGACAATCTGGCATGGTGTTCTTCTATGGCATCATAGAATTTCACCACATGTTCTGCCATCTTGGTAACTCCATGAATAGGGCACCATAGATAAATATTCATTTCCAAATGCATGTGATTTCCCTCGGAACCCTTCGTGCCTTTTAGGCTATACGGGATTTTCCCGGGCCGGGGGGTGAGGGCAGGGAATTTAAAATCCCCTCCGGCACCGGGACGCGAACTCGTACTTTTTATATCATCTCAAATCTCTGTTATCCGGCTGCCAGGCAACTAGTGGTGTTGTGCACACGCTTTTGCCTATTCGGCCACCCCGCCCCCTTAGAGGTATATTGACCTATAGGACTTTGATGACTCCTTGCCCTTGCCTCTCCCCTTATACTTCTGTCTCAGGTTGGTGATCAGGTTGTGTCAGGAAGTGTCCCCTGTCCAAGCATCTGTCTATCTCTAATAGATCATTCCCAATAAAGGGGACATACAGCTTTTCAGCTTCAGGATTGCTGTGTCACTGGCATCAAGTTCCGGAGCTCTTCCTGTACACCACTATTTGTTGGTTCTATACCTTTCATTGTGGAATAAACTGTGTGCCAGGCTGGCTCCCTGTTTCCTGCCTGAGGGCTCTGTCCTTTTCATTGTCCTGGGACGGGTAGTTCCTGGGGTTGGTCTGGTCCTTTCAATTGTTTCTTTCAGAGTGGCTGCTGGTCCCTCTTCAGTTCTTATAGCTACCATTAGTTGGCTTGGCTTGTTTCTCTCAACGGCTTATGTCGACGATGTTGGGGCTTTAGTGGCATCTAACAGCAGAGCCGGAATAAGAGATGAAGTAGAACAATTCGCCAACCTGGTAAAACAATGATATGAGATGAAGTAATTGAAAATGGCTGCTGCAAAGACTCAGGCCATCCTCTTGAAAGGGAAAATGGATCGGACTCACCCTAAAAATCTTAACATTTTTAGGTAGCTACCTACCTTGGTATAAGATTCTGAAAAGGATTGTACATTACTTGGACTACCTCACTTGGGCTACCTTGGAAATAGAGTAGCCCTAGCCTTGAATGGTCTAAGTCGTCTAGGAGGCACCTTTAGGCACCTAAAGGGCCTCTGTTACCCAGCTCCAGCTACCATGACCATTTATAATGGTGTGATACTGGGCACTCTGAGGTACCCTTCTCTTGCTTGATTCAGAAACCCCTCACACCGACAGAAATGAAGGTTGGCGTCGATTCAGTGGACGGCTCTACTGCGAGTCACTAAGTCATATCGGAGTGTGTCTCATGAGGTAGTGCAGATTTTAACAGGAGTGGTACCACTCGACCTTCTCCGTGCAGATTCATCCAAATATGTTTTTAAAAGAGAAGTCTCAACAGGTCTACCGGAAGATATACAGATAAGGATTGTTGAGAAATCTCGAAAATGGAAAAAGGCAATTCAGCAAGATACTAGTGATGAGTGGAACCGGCGGTGAGTGACTACCATGAAAGGTTCTACCTTAAGAAAATATTTTCCCCACCCTTCAGAAGAGAAGCAGAATGGATTATCCCAGACTATTGGGTCTCGCAATTTCTCATAGGGCATGGGGTTTTCCGTAGGAGTTGCATGGCCTTGAAAAGGACGTTGATCCTGTATGCCCCAGTTGCGGAGTTCTGGAGACAGCTGAACATACTATTGTATACTGCACTGTTTTTGAGGCACTTCGAACTATACTTCTGAGGGAAACTGGGCTCCACCTCCTGTCTGAGAACAATTTCCCTCAGTTGATGACCGATGAGAACGGCCTGTTCTTCAAAGTCCTTTGTTTATGGGTGGTAAACCGCAGTTGGCCCTGCTCATTATAATATTTCAAAAAGAGGACCATTTTTTGGATGACTGCTGGACAGAGGAGGTGAGGAAGAAGAAGGTGGAGGCCGCCTGGAAACGAGCACATGACATCTATACTGTGATCACTATGATTTGATCGCTAGATGTTAATTGGCAACATTTGCATACCCTGCAAATTTGGCAACAACCATTTTGCCCAAAGGCAAGGAAGGGCCAATAAATGAACAAAATAGTTGACTCGGCTTCAACTATCTAGTGCCGTCCTGTTTGGTATTCCTCATGAATTCTTCACAGTCTCAGGTTTTATGAATTCCTCCCCAGACATTATTTTCTGCCATCGCACTCCAGGCTTGTCCTCTCTTTGCTTTCCTCAGCATTTTTCCTAGAGGGATACCTTTCTGCTTCCTTTCCTACAATTTTAGTCATCAAGTGCCACTATGATACTCCTTTTCGAGTTCTGTTAGCTCTTGTGTCCACCATGGGACGTGCCCTCTTCTCACTTCTCTGTGCTTCATTGAGTCATCTACTGTACCACCTATTGCTCTGGTCAGATCGACAACGCTCTGATCCAGACTTAGCACAGATCACATGGGTAGAGCTGTTTGTTCTCTCCTCCCTGGTCAGCCAACCTGGACTTCAAGTCACTGGTAAAATCTTCTAATGTCTGTATGTCATCTTGGTTTTCAAATGTTCCAAATGTAACTGTCTGATATGGTATCCATAATCTTTGAATATGTGTCCGAGTCCACTTCGTCCAAAGAATATTCCTGGATATCGCGAAATCATTCAGACCTCTTACCTACAAACGCTCATGTTACCACAGATGACTTTGAAGATTAGAATCCCTTGCTACCATCTCATACTATATGAAAACTTACAAAGTTATTCATCAATTGAAGGTTGATACTGGTTTGGTTGTGAGATCTTTGGTCACCAGTCCCTCACAAATGTGGCAAATCAGAATACTGCCATTCGAGCATTTGAAAAGTCTAGACAAGTGCAACTGGTATCACATGACGAATGAATGTTTCGAAATAGGTATTAACAAGATAGCACATCCGGAGGCATATCGTTCATGGTAACAACTTTGGAGGGAACTAATAGAAAGTAACAAGGAGGGATGAGTATAGACAGACTTTAGATAGAATCAACCATTGCACAGATACTTCGGTTTATGCCATTCGAGGTTTGCCTTGTTCGTAAATGTTAGACTGTCCAAATCTTAAGTTGAATAAGTTCCTTTGAATCATTTATACTCCATATGGGTGATTGACCCAGTGATGGAGGTCCCTTGCCCAGAGATATCAGGTTGCTATTGCTAGTTACACTCCCAATATAAAGTCTTCTCAGGAGAGGTTCCTGAGGTCTATACTATATGTGTAAGTGCGCTGTATGCTGAAAGCAAGAGACCGGGGAATCAATTATCCCCACTAGTGGAGCTAGTATCCACTAGTTCTTGCAGGTGTTAAGCTTACCCCTATGACAAAATCCTAATTCTGGCCCTGGGAAGTTATATAAATTTTGAACTTAATACAATTCATTAAGTTATAATACAAATGTTCTTATTGAAATGTCTATCGGCTTGAGGCAAAATGGTGAGTAAATAAATAGTTATTATCCAAGGAAGGGAAGATGTTACTTTCCTTTGTTGATCTGGATTATGATATTCAGTTAAGATCTCGCGTTAGGCGTAAAATTACAAAAATAAATAAATTGCAATAAATTCATTCTAAATCCATTTTTCAATTTTCCTCTTTTATATATATTTTAAACCATATTTTTACAAGCTATCATGAGATAAAATAATTTCACATTGCTATTAAATTGAATTTTATTCTTACATTGTTCATTTTTTATTCCTCGTTTTTCTCTTTTCTTTATGACTCATAGGATTTTGTTTTTAAATTTTTATTTCTATGCATTAACTTAATATTTAAGGTTTACCAATCTAAGATGTGTTATTGACTTAGGTTTTATAATATTGTTATATAACTTACTTTTGTTATGTGAACAAAAAGTGGTATTATGTTGAAATTGTGATCATTAATAGTCTTCTTATGATGTTTTTAACTATTAAAAATGTTTACTTTTTTGTTTATTTATGTTTTCTAAACCTATATATCCTCCAAATATGTCATATTGAAAAATTAATTACAATATATATTATATGTGGTGAAATATTACATAATTATGTCTATATCTATCTATCTATCTTAGGTATATTAAGGGTTAGTAACATGTAAGAAATATGACATCAGTTGTGCATTTATAAGAGCTAACCATGACTATTAGTGGGCAACTGAAAAATGTAGGAAATAGATTTTTTTATTTTCTAAATTTTTTCACTTAACTCATCATCACATAACACATAAGTTGGCTCCACAGTGATTTATCTGTTGAAAATCTTGATGTTGATTGTTTGCTTTAATAATTTATCAGATTCTGAATTTAGAGAGACTAATGGTTTGTTTAGTCCATATTCTCTTAAAAATATCTTTTGTAAATCTTGGTGTAAGATCTTTCTGTTTGCTGTAAATCATTGAGTAAGGCATTATGATCCTATGCTTAGGGTACTGGTTGGAGCCTGCCTCACAGTAATACAGATGCAGGAAAAAATCTAAAAATGAAAGTATTCCAATCACACTTTTTGTGCTATATTATCTTTTCTTGACATTCCTAGAATGTAGACCAATAACAATGTTCTCTGGTTTCTTCCGATTTAACCCTCAAAAATAAAATTAAAGAGCATTTTTCAGTGATTTTACAAAAAATTAATGGTATTTACAGGTATTTTGAATAAATATTTGTAGACCTCAATAAGTGTGATGTTATTGATTATTCCTTTGAAATATTGTTATGGAGTAATAAGTATAAAAATTATTAAATTTGGTACAGTCTTACAGTTCTTTGGTTTAATTGTTATAACTATGAAAAAATTGAAGTATGATTTAAGTATAAATGCAAAATAAATAACTAGCTCCACTAACCTACACACTGAGACTTATTCCATTCCATCGTAGGTGTCAAACCGTAAATTCTGTAAAAAAAAATTGCTTGCTTATATTCTCTTATTTTAGAGTATGAATGATTTTTCTGTGTATACATTTTACGTAACGTTAAAAAATTGTTAGCCATGTAATTCAATCAATGACCTTTTCACCTGAATTAACATTATTTATTTACTTTTTTCTTGGCAGTTAGTAATTTAATTACATTTATGTGTATATCAGAGAACATCTATTACAATCAATAGCAGTCATTATTAGCCATACTCATTTTGAACAAATATTAACAAATGTTGAATTTCTCAATAATTTTGTCTCAGTGGTCTGATGTTTCGAAATGTCAGTGTTTCGAATTAAAAAAAAATGTTTTTAGTAAAATTTTATTTTCTTAGCCTATAAGGTAATTTATTTAGTGTTTGTTTTAAATTTTATTAACTCTAAGTAAATGTTTTATCTTAATTTTTGCAGTTTGAAATCGGTTCTCAAATCTTCTTGTGCCTTGCTCAACTGTTTAGAAACAAACAGTATTTCCATATAAAGTCTGAACCCAAGACCCTATATTGGTTGTAGAGGGTACATTTTTTTTACTTTCACTTACCTATATATGTAATATATAGTAAGGGAAAGTATTAGGATCATCAAAATTTTCAAATCCAAGTTTTGAGGTCCCTTGAGTCCAAATAAACAAGTCCCACAAAATGGTTTGTGTGTGTGAACAACCTAGCTCAAAAACTGTAAGTCCCATGAAACTGACATTAAATATTTAAGGTTTATAAATCTGGGAGGCATTACAGATACTTTTTCAACAATGTCTGCTAACAGAAGTGCTACTTTATATAATCGATTTTACACATTTTTACAATTTTCTCAAAAACGATTATATCAATTTGATTAAAATCATTATTTCAATGTACTATAAAATGGTTTATATGATTGAAGGTAGGTCTTATCCTCATTGATGTTCTCTATCAGATCTTAAATACCGAATTTTCAAAATTTCTTCATCTAAAGTACCTCTAATTTGGCTTATTTAAAGTAATTAACCGTTTAACTTTAGAACTACTTATATAAAATAGATACATAGAAATTACGAACGAATTCGATTAATAACTAAAGGAGAAAGAAGGGTTAATACTTCTGGATATACAGATGGTATAGAAACTGTTAAAGTGGAAATAGCCGAAGGCGCCTGACTTTTCCAGAGTTTTCTTCACGTCTATATACGTCTATTCTATTGTTATTTATGTTAGTTTAATTGATAAAATTAGTTTCTTTTGTACATAATTTTCAAAAAGAATTCATGCTAAATATATCTACAAATAGAAGCTTTTTTTTTACTACTTTTTAGATAGATAAAGCTCTGAATTTTGCTTCCTCACTACCGAAGGTAAGGAAGCATTGTGTTCGTGCGATATATTAAAATAAATTTTCGATTCTGAGCACAAAATTTATTTTAAGCTCTCGCACGAATACAATTCTTATGATTTTATTCTCATACGAAAAATTGTATACCTTGTAATATTTTAATATTTTAGCCAATGAAAACGGTGAGGAACCTTACTTGCCAGACGTTTTTACTAAAGACTTACACTTTTACATTTTTTTTTTATAACTATAAGATTTTCATTCAATCAAATCGATGTTACAGGCTTATCACCTACTACCGTTTATCCGATTTTCATGAAATTTTCTGGCAATGTGTGGATTGGTGTCTAGATGGTTCCATATCAATTGCATCGAATTTCATCTAGCACTGCCGCTTATGTACGTGCAAACGTATTTTTTTTAGATATGCCCATATTTCAGAAACGGTTCATTCGATTTGATTTAAAGTTAAATAAAAGTTAGATATTAGTATTAAAATAATGTATTATTAATTTTATTTAATTCTATCCTCTACTTCCTGTTATATATGTGTGTTTTCCTTGATAATTCTACCTCTCTAAAAAAACCGCACGTCGATTTGTCTCAAAGTTAGAGAGAAGTTAGGGACTGGTAAACAGATATACATCAATATTATCAAATTCTATCCCCTACTTTCAAAAAAATACTTCCGCTTTTGGATCAGTAAACGTATTATTTTACCTTTAGTTTTAAAACGGCTTGATCGATATGACCCAAATTTGGAGAGAGTTTGGAAAAGAATATAGAAATTGCCTTGTATCAATTTCATTGGATTCCATTTAATAATTAAAATTAATATAAATAATTTTTAAGAATATAATGCTTGAAATGAGGAAGGAATTGACCATGTGGAATGGAGATTAGGTTAATACAATATTTGTATGAAGTTATTAAATTTTAGGTTTTATTCAAAAAGTTAATTTATACTCTATTGTTCGGTCGATTTCAAATGTTACTGGCATGTCACTTTATGTCCTTATTTAAGATTTTGTATATTTTTCAGTAAATTTAAATTAATTTGTACTCTGACTTTATAAAAAAAAACTTCTTATTTGTGATTGTGTTTATTCCTGTTGCAGTTAAACCAGCTCGTCGTGGTCTCGATTTACTTGTTAAATATCAAAGTCATGTGGAATTTGCTGATATTTTTATATTCTAGCTTAAAGTGGTCTTGAGCTGAGTGAAGGAATATATTGGTCTCGTTAACTCCGAACAATAAAATGGATTTTTTGTGGAATTACGACTGAAAATACTAAATATATATCTTATCTAATAAATATATATAGCTACTGTTAGAATAATATCGAATGTAATACTTTTTCATTTTTATTCTATTAGTGCTAAAGGTATTTTGTAGTCTGCAACCGATATATGCTTTCTTCTATTATGAAAAATAGCAGAGGGAATTAAAATATGAAAGAATACTAATAAATTATTAAGAAATAAACTTCTGTAAAACACTCAGTTTTTACATACGACCGTTTGCACTAACAGTAGCGATATGCTTATTCACTATGTACTGGGATTTAAAAAAAAAACAAAAAAAAAAAACATCAAATACGCAATTTACAAATTTGGAACTCTTCCGCATTTTAGTATTCGTTGATGAACAAAAGTCACGAATATCAAACCCGTGAATATTGAGAGATTGTTATTTTTCCGAAAACGGCTTCTACCGTTATTTAATATTTATACTTTATAAAATTATAGACCTTTAAGTATAGGTAATTGTTTAGCCAATTGAAACGGTGAGGAAGCTACGCTGACCTTACTTGGCTGGCGTTTTTTATTTTGTTTATTATTAATTATTATAAAATATATGTATTGTTTTATAAAATAAATATATACAGTCCCGTTTTCGCCAATCGAATTCAGGGAAATTAATGTAATTCCAATCGTATTTCGTTTTATGTTATGAATGAATTACGGAATATAGGTTCAGTAACATTACTGAGTCATAATCTTAAAAAACCGAAATCTTAAAAAACCGAATTGTTTTATTTCGATCAGCCGACTAACGATTTACATTTTTAGTTTTGAAGCCTAGTAAATTATTTAGATTTAGATTTACTCTATTAATTTTTGACAAAAACGGAGAGCACAGTTCAGTAACTCTGTAAAAATCTATGATGTCTACCTCTAAAATCTATGACCTATGTGTCCCGTGCATGGCACCAGACCATGACTATTTTATATTTGGTACAAAACCGATTTTGATATTAGTGAAATAATATATGTGGAATGGAAAGAGTGGAATAGAATTGAAGCTTATTATTTAATATTTGTACATTTTTGTTGGTATTTTCTTCATGAACATTGAGAAATGGTGTTACCCAGTTCACTTCCGTATGTCATCTTTCGGTTCGATCGGCATATTATTGGCTGTTTGATTTCTCATCATAGTAACATAACTTGTCAATGTCTATGTTTAGATAAGGTATGTCCTTACTAGCATCTCCCGGAACGTACGTTATTTCCTTGGGCACTATCGAGTCAACTGAAGTCAGCGGGGATAAGGTGTTGTTACTTCCTTTGTCCATGTCTGATGGCACTTCAAAAATGATCTGTGACATTGGTCGTTCTTTCATTCTATCTTCTAACTCCTTCCTGTTTCCCGGTGTCGGTACTATGTAATCCGGTTGGGTCGGTACCAACGGGAGCCTACCGCGTGCCATGTTTTCAGTATCGTATAACCTGCTGTGCTTGTATAGTTTTAAGTATCCTTCAAGTTTACTGGTTGTCATATACGTAGTCAGTTGATTTTCATTGTAATCCAAAAATTCTTTAACTTTTTTTTCTATTGCAGTTTTCAGCTCTGGAATGTAATTGAATAAATCTTCCACAAGTTCTTTATCTTTTTCGGAGATCTGAAAAAATAATCAATAAATAATAAAATAATAAAAATCATAAATGTTAATTTCTAAAATGTACATAATAGGAATATAATGTTTAGGTGTTAATGAAATTATAAATAAATTATACAATATGGGTTATTCTCCGATTACGGACATATTTCATATTTTTTTTAAACCTAAAATTGAAACTTAGTCATATTAACATGTGACCAAGATCAAAACAATTTTTTCTTGGGAACTTAAGAATTTTGAGATTTACCGAATGAAAATCTGTTGGCATTCAATCCTTTTTTTCATGCCATGTAAGGAAAAAAAAATTGATAACGAATTGTAGCTGGTAATCATATATCTAGTAGAATATATAATTGGTAATTGGTTGACTGTCGTGGATAATGAAGAATAGTAGAAGTACCAATAGTAGAAGTACTTCTAGTAGAATAGTAGTACCAATCATCTTTTATTATAATTTTTATTAAAATAAAATTAAAATAAGTATTGATATTTAATAAAAATTTTCAAGCAATACAGTTTTTTTATTATATATTGTCGGTTTATTGCAAAACGTCATTTCATAGTCTTAAATAATTAACTTTGGAAGAATTTTCATTTTAAGAAATCAGAACATTGGAAACGAGTTTGTTTTATTTTCATCCACTTATAATGTTTTTTATCAAAAAATAAAGTAGAATATCACAAAAACGTACTTGAAAGTTAACCTATATTAAAAACACACCTACAAGTGTAGGCTACTGCCAGTAGGTCACTGATTTTGACCAATTTTTTCGACTATTGGGCAGATGTTCCGGCGTTCCTTCCAATGGGCTCTACGAATGTTACTATTAATCGTATAAATTTAATATTATTTATTTTTATTGTTACTACTACCAACTTAATTAACGTGCAGTTTACGTTGTTTTTTTTTCTATTATTCACTACCAGAAGATGGAATAAAATATAATTTTAATTAACGGCGTTGATGACCAACAGATTTTTTACGCCTTTGCTATACAACAACCAACCAACCAAGAAACGATAATCATCTTCCTTTTTTTTCTCCTGTTGACTTGAAATATATATGGTTAACTTTTATCATCATAATATTCATAGCCAATATATCAATAAAGTTTGCTTATTTAAACTGCTCCAAGAAAAACATCCTCGTTTAATGAGCTTTAAGTCCATATTGATTAAGTTAAGGTTTAAAAAAATAATTAAAAAAGAAAACTGATATTAAGAAAAATAACAATTGAAGCTCAAGTTTGTTATCTAAAGTATCTATACTAATATTTGACATCACTTTTTCTTTAAAAAGTTGATTTTTTTTTAAAAAAATTCGAATTGCTAGATTCAGGAACGCTAAATGGTCAAAAGAAGTAGAAGTGTGTTAAAGAGAATGCATTTGTGTAGGCGAAAATAATGATTGGAATTCTCTAAAATTGATTAGGGCTTTCTAAGTATCAACCCCTGAAAGATTCATCAAAACCGATTATGGCCCGCCCTTAGATGGATTTGACTACAGACAGAGAGGCATTTAAATACGAAACCAAAGTTGTTTTTTGGTGTCTAAAACTTAAAACACGAATGGAATTTTCGATTCTAAAGACAATTTTTTTATTCTAGCTTAAATAAATAACTTGTTCTTCTGTATTAAGGAAACAAAAAATGCTTATTGGAAAAGTGAGAGTTCCCATTATAATATTTTTTTTTCGATTATTAACATTTTTTAAAATGAAAAGATGTTTCGGAATTTTCTATCGCACGGGTCATTTTCGTCCTATGATATAAAAGCACAGGAGTAACAATTTTAGAAAGATTACAAGAATTTAAATACAAAAACTAAATTGCAATTATTGAATTAATAACCATAATTTTGTTTAAACACCATTAAGTAAAAAAAAAAAAGATAATTAGCAAATTTAACTTTAACATTGATTAAATGTAATCAAATAAGGAAAAAAACTAGAGATTTCGAAATTAATTACCACAGCATGCAATTAAAATCATATAAAGTTAAAAGTAACAAGTTGAGGTTGAAAGTTAAAAATACAAATAATTTATAAATAAATAATAATATATATAAACTATGTATGATATATAACTATAAATATATATAAACTACAAATTTATAAATACAATTAAAATTGCAATTTTATCATCATATTGAAAATTTTAAAAATATTATCGTTCTACGATTTACAAGGTTTGGAGTAATGGAAATTAAATAATTTAATTTTTTAACATAATTTGCTTCCCTTAATTAACAACATGAAGTTATTTACAGTTCTTACAAAACTAAATTTAATCAAAACAAAATTAAGTTATTTACTGCAGCTTGTTCTTTTGAAGTTAACCGCGATGTCATTATTTAAAAGATGTTACTTTCAAAATAAAATAAAATTTGGCCTAGATCACGCCAGCCATATTTCTTTTGTTAAGGAGACAACTTCATTATGTTCTGTTAATAATAAAGTATAATGAAGGAATGTTAGCAACGTAGATTTAAAAGGTATATGGTTCGAAACAAACAGAATACCACTTAAATGACTGAAAAATTACAGAACTATTCAGGAACAGAAAAAAAAATAGCTAATGGCATTTTATTTGATACGGTATCTTTAAAATGAGAAAAAAGAATATCATTATCTTTGCCCGATTCCTGAGAACTCATTCAATAATAATTAAATAAACAGATGAAAACAGTTATTCAAGAAAATTTTGATGAACCCAAAAAAGTTCTATCTGAGTACCTTTTATTCATTTATATATATATATATATATATATATATATATATATATATATAATATATATATATATATATATATATATATATATATATATACACACACACATATATATATATATACACACATATATATATATATATACACACACATTAATACATAACTATTGTCTTTAGAAGCTAAAACAAGAATTTCTTAACTTCGAAAAAAAGTAGAATTCTATACTAAGATATCTCACGTTTTCTATATTCATATATTATTTCTGATTACATTTTATTATTTCATATTCATTGCACAGATAATAGATTATATTTAATAGTGATGTTATAAAACGAAGAAACAAGGAAATATGTTGAAAAATAATGTTAAAGATTTATGTAAAAAGAAATGGAGTTTGTAAATACTGTGCTTAGTTCCAGGTTGGCAAGCTCTAAAGTTGGGAATTGCTTATGTTCTTAAGAAAATTGATATTTATGTTCTATATATAATTAACCAGCCATAAACATACAAAAGTGAGAAATTCATTTTAAATCAACTGAAAATAAATGTACAATCCCGTGGTGTATTTTACAAGAGTAAGGAATTGCCTAGAAGAAAAAAATATTCCAGACTCCTAATGTAATAAAATACTCCTGTATTTTGTGATGTTTCTCTCAATTTGGTAACCATGAACTAAAATGGAATTGTGACAGCTGTTTGTTTTGTTGATTATGCTTTGTGTTTGAACTTTTTTTTTTTCCTTTATAAAACTATTCTGTTTTATCGCCCAGTTTTGAAACCGTACCTTCTGCCATTTACAAACATTGAAGCAATAGGCTACCGCCTCATAGAAGGTAACTTGTTCGTCTTCAATCTGCAAAAGTAAATTTGTAACTAACGTATCATAGTGATTTATAATAAAATAAGTTGGTATAAGATTATATGATTACCATATTAAGATAAAATGTTTGTATTTCTTCCATAAAAAGTGGAAATCGATCATGATACAGTGCATAAGCCCAAGGTTCCTTGAAGTAGATATATAAGTCCGAAATGAGGTCTCCTTTCCATCGAAGTAGAAGCTGATTTAGCAATGATTCGTGTTTGTTATAAAGGCATATCATATTATGAACGTCTATTTTCTAAAAATAAAACGTACATGGTCAACCATTAATAGAGGTTATAGATAAATGTAACTTTTATGAAAATGAAATAGTTTTTTTTTATAAATATTTTGACTGTACAATAAATTGGAAACGAAAGTTTATAAATTGGTAAATATGCAAGGTTAGTAGATGTAGCTTGTTCCTCCAAATTGTTTGAACTCTAAATTATCTATTTTGGTGCAATCAACTATAAAATGTATATTTTTTGGGCTTATTACTTATTCGCGAATAGAGTTTCTTTTCCTTCATACCTTTTTTTGTCTTAAAATTCGGAACGATGTGACTATTTTTCCTACCTAAAGGAGGAAGAAATCTTCATAAAGGAAGAAATCAAAGTGACATCTCTATCGCTGCATTTAAAGAAGAATTAACAAAGACATAACTTCCATAAAAAAAAGACCTTTGAAATAATGATAATAAATAATAATAACAATATAAACACCTCCTCTATTTTTCATAGCAACTTTGTCGATGACAAGTTTGTAAGCTCTCCTTGGCGACACTACAATTAAAGCTAGATTTTAATCAGCGATATGTGTAGCTGCAAACCTTGCATTACCTTGACAACTGTGCATTTTTTGGCTTTAAAACTAAGGGCGTTATATGTTCCAAAGGAATATGTTCCGTCTCGATTCACTGACTTACCACCCTTATTGTTGAAGCACAATGAAATGTTTATATTTGATACAAAAACAAAAACATAGAATTCGATTCGCTAACCTCCCTGAAATTCTGCATCCAACAGTACCTTATTTATGACCTACCTATTTTGGCATCACAGAAGATAATATTTGGGACAAAATATATTTCAGGGTTCATAGTCCGTGGTGCAGACCCCTTTTTATCAAATTATTAACATCCGCCTGAAACGTCGTGGATTGTTTCATCTCATCATAACCTACAACTATTTTATTTACGAAAACTCTTGGATTGAGGCGTTTTCAATCTGGATATCGGCAATCTTTATCTACTTAATAAGGTAGTAAAAACTCATAAATATCCATTTGCTTTCCACTTGGTTCGTAAGATAATTTCATCACAAAATCGAGAAAGAAGGTGACATGTAAAAATATTGGGCCATTTGGCGTATATAACCTCGTTATTTTGAAATATTGGAGATGTAGGATACGCGATACGGCCCAAAATTTTTGTATGCCACCTTTTTATATTTGGGGAGGGTAGCTTTAGCCCAAAAGGTTTTTTTTTTCATAAATATAACAATAATTATTAAAAAAAAAATTAACTACCGATATGAAATGGTGTTTACTTGAAGCCCTATTAAATGTAATTATACGAACAATAGTATTTTAAGAGACAATTTTTTAATATTTTTTTTCCATAAAACATGGTTACATTTTACCATTTTTTAAGGGGAGCGGGGGAGAGGCTCCATTAGTGCTAAACGCGACTTTTTGTCGTCTAAAACTGCTATAAGTAGTTTGCTATTATAGAAAATAGCAGAGGGAAATAAAATATGAAATTATACTAATAAACCATAATGAAATAATTATTTAATATAAATAAGTAACGAACATAAACGAGACAGAACATAAACGTTAGGTTATGACTAGAAAAATTTCAACCGCACAGCCTTATGTCTCCAAAATGTAGGCAAAGAAAAACATCCGTCTGTATGAGTTTGGGACATGGAGTGATATTCGATTTGTTGTTGTCTTCTGGCCTGATGATGCCTAAATTGGCGAAACGGTCTTTTTTTTTTGTCTGCATTTTGGATTCATAAGGCAATTTTTCCAATTAAACATAAAGAAATAACCTGTTGCTATGTTACCTTGGAAAATATCTCAATTTCACTTATGACCTTTTGCACTAACAGTAGCGATATGCTAACAAGTAAATTTGTACAAGTAAATTGCTAACAAGTAAATATATTAATTTTGTTCTATTTTGTTATTCTCAAGGGACTGTGTCCCAGAATAAAGTTATTTTTCTATTTCTATTTCTATTTCTAAATTTTAAAAGTTCATATGCATGAAACATTATAACTGTATCTATAATGTTATTTATCATTAGAGGATAAATATGTACTCACGTTGGTTGTAAAACATAATATGTCACATACTAGTTGGCATTGATTTATAATGATTCTGAAATAGCCTGGTCCTTGCCTGTCAAATGCACTTCCTGTTTCCAATACTTTTCCCTGAAATTTTATCTCAATAAGAATGAATGCACTGTTATTAACATAAATGACATCAAATACTTGGTGGAAAGATTAATTTATTTATTTTACATTTTTAATTCCAGATGGAAAATTATAGTACCCCAAATTTGAAAGATTGTTATCCGTTAGAAGTGGAATATTGTGGATCTTGTGGCTTACCCTGCGATTTATGCATTTATTTTGAGAATTACGACTCTTGTTTGGAATGGTTAAAAAAGAAACATCCTGATAGGTATCAAAAGCTTTTGGCTGAAAGTCTAAAAAATCTACAACTCCGCACGACACCGAGCAACATAAATCTCAAAATAAGTGAGGACAATCAATATGTAGGGCTCTCCGAGAAATCCGACAAAAATGGGAAATGCAATACTTGGATCTCAGGACTAAGCAACTTTGGAGTGGATGTTAAAAACGCTTCTGAATGTATAGCGGAAATTTTTCACTGCGTATCTTCAGTTGAAGGGGAAGAAGTAGTTGTTCAGGGGGCTCGCAAAAAAGAACTTTACAATCTATTAGCAGAAAAGTGGGAGATCGATCCGTTTGATATGGAAGACTTAGATGAGCTACATCCTCTATAATATGTATTAAAGGAATAAAAAAGATATATATTTTTTTGTGGTTTCTAACATCATTAGCTAAGTTAAATACATAAAAAAAATAAAAAAATAATGCGGTACTCCAGTAACATAAGTTTCACTTTTTTGAATAGAAATAGATATTTTTATTACCCCACAACGGCTGAGCTATACGGCGAGTTATGTATTTGTGCTGTCCGCTTAAAGATATGTAACGATATTTTAAGAGCACGGCTGGACCGATTTTTAAGTTAGATGATCTAAATTATCCTGTAATTTATATATATTGTCAGAATATGGTATATGTATATGCAAATTGGAAAAATGTGCTATGATGAATGATTAAGTCAGCACCTGGAGTGGAGTGGGGTTATCCAAAGATTGAAAAGAGGAAGCTAGCCATCTTGGAAAGGGTTAAGCGTCGTTAGGGTGAGACTAGCTAGTGTGTGACCAAGATATTGAAAGAAGAATGTGAATCATTTCTGTCCTCTCAATGTTTTATATGTATTTTAACTATAATGAATAATATAGTGAAACCGAAGAGCACATTGTTAAATTATTATAAAGCTAATATAATGTTATATATTTTTGAAGTTCATTCATATTCACTCCTCTTGCCTCATTAATTCTATCTCCTACTCCTCTCCATAAACATGATAAACTTTGGAAAGGAAAAGCAATTTTAAGTAATGTCTACAAATTAATATTTAGCATAAGTTCAATCAAAGAAATAGATAAATAGCAATATAACAGATGAATATATTAGAAACAAATGATATCTTTTTTTTTTTAAACACTATTGAGAAATATTACAATTTGTCACAGTTAAGGACACTTATAATAGAGTTCAGAGAGTACATTCATACCGTATATATAAAAATATAAATAAATAAAGTAATAACAAATGAATAAGAAAAAAGAACAAAAGAGAAAAGAAAAAAAATATATACACATAAGTAAGTAAAAATAGAAATAAAAGTAAAACAAACATCTTAGATAAAACATACCTATATACATTATTTACAATTAGCCAGGTGATCTCCGAACCAATCTTGTCCCCAATCTTGTCCCACATGTGGAGGGAAAAGGGAGGCTTAGGAGATCCCTACGCTTCTCCCTCAGCCACTTCACTGGTATTTAAAACCAGCGGAGGATGAGTAAGAGCGCTACAGCCACAGACACTCATGACTTGAGTGGAGAATCTGGCCATTGCTAGAACTCCAAATATCCATATTTACAAAAGGTCTCGTGGCCACTGCCGCTTTAACCTACGAAGGGGATTGTAGGGATGGGTGGTGCTTGATAGGGATTGTACAACGGGATTTGGGTGATGAGAAAGGTTCTGGTGAAATTTGGCTGGGATCAAGAATAAATGGGATATTAAGGTCATTATGCAGGGTTTTATTGGTTACGTAGAAGGGAGCATCGATTATTGTACGGAGGACTTTATACTGAAAGGATTAAATGCGTTTGATGTTAAAAAATTTAGCTGTTCCCCATAGTTCTAGTCCGTAAGTCCAGATGGGTTTAGGTATTGTCTTGTAGATCAGTAATTTGTTTTCACCAGAAAGTTTAGATTTTATATTCAGTAGTCTATATTGCTGGCCATATCGTCTGTTAAGTTCCTGTCTTTTAAGTCTAGTATGTGGATTCCATGTTAGTCATCTGTCTAAGAGAAAGCCAAGATACCGGACTGTATCGGAGAAAGGAAGCTGAATGGAGGTAAAATAAACTGGTGGGCAGGTATTACGCCGAAGGGTGAAGGTAATGTGTTTACATTTAGATTCGTTTACCTTGATGCGCCATTTCTTTTACCAGTGTTCAATCAGGAAAAGGTGCCTTTGTATGTTTGCGGACGCTGTTTCAGGATCTGAGTTGGAAGAAAGGATAGCAGTGTCATCTGCGAAAGTTGCAAGGAGGGTATCGGGATGGACAGGAAAATGAAATCTAACACACAAAATCTTAAATTCTTATTCTTTAGTAACCTTGTACATTGTTACTAATTGCATCAGATGATGGTATAAGGTTTTTTTTTTATAAGAGAAAACTTCATTAAGGCGTTTTGCACTTTTTTGTAGAGAGTGAATTAGATTGAACCAGATGTACATAACGCTCATAGGTGCATAACGCTCAAGTCGGCTGGAGTCGAGCAAATGATGTTTTTTGCATATGAATTAAAATATCTCAAAAACTTAAAATCGGACCTGCATATTGCTAACGACGGAAATGTTCATCATTTTATCCTTTTTGTAATGAGCTATTATTCTAAATTGTATGTAAAAGCAACACCGTGTTAGAAAGGCGAAAAGGGAAAAAATAGTTTCGAAAATCAAGTGATAACAAGTTTTATTGAAGATATGGATTAAACTATCTCAGAAACTAAACATCGGATCTGGATACCGTATGATGGAAATGTACACATTTTTATCCTCTTTATACTGAGCTATTATTCATAATATATATTTCATATTCTTAATCTCGCCTTGTAGATGTTTTCACTTTTATCGTTTCGTCTAAAGCACATACCTTACTTTTTTTCTTCTATGGCAGGGATCTCCGAACTACGGTCCGCGAGCCGGACGCGGCTGCGTGAAATTTTGATGCATGAAAGTTATTTAATTACATGATAATATTTTAAAACCTAAACCCGATATTACTACAACATTTATTGCGTGGATTTTTTACTTTTACTTGCTTATGTATACAATATATAGTAAGGTCCTATGACCAAGTCCCACAAAATGTTCTGTGCACGTGTGTAAGACAGTCGGGACAGAGCATCGCATTACACCAGAAAAGAATGGCCTCAAAGAGAAGTCCTGAATCCTGGACAAAAAAAACGCTTGAACAAAAAAGGTTCTTGAATAAATCATATTGCCTCCACTATTAGTTAATAATGTTTTATTAAATATTCTTAATAAAGTTAAATTAAATTTTCTTAATAAAGGAATCAACCAATCAGGAGAGACATTCAAGTACTTGAGAGGAAAATGTCTTCGCTTTAGTGAAGCTAAGATTAAAGAGGATGTATTTGTTGGTCCACAAATCCGTAAGCTTCTTAATGACGAGAATTTTTAATATTCTTCAGGGTAAAGAGAGAGCAGCTCTGGAAGCATTTACAGCTTTGGTTAATGGTTTCTTGAGTAACAAAAGAGAGGACAATTATGCTGTCCTAGTCCAAATCCTCCTTGAGAAGTACAGAGATCTCGGTTGTAACATGTCACTCAAGATTCACTTTCTTCATTCTCATTTGGACTTCTTTCCCGAAAATTGTGACGAACATGGTGAGCGATTTCATCAAGATATATCCTTGGTGGAAAGAAGATATCAAGGTCGGTGGGATACTTGAAGCTCGCAGACTACTGTTGGAACGGCAGTGTTATCAGGTCCACGCTTTTCTTCGGATTAACAGCCTGGCCTATCTTGGCAAGGATCCTCAGCATACAGTTGATTATCCTCTCTGCAGCACCCTTGTCGCGTGCTGTGACAGTCTGGTCATCCGCGAAGCCTGTGAGGAGCACACACTCTTGGTCGCTAGTTAGCTTGTATCCATAATGGTTGGAAAATTCTTGCTTACACAAGTCGTGGTATAGATGATATATACCCAGGTTGAATAGTGAAGGCGAAAGGGTCAATAGAAATAAATAATAAACAATATAAGTTATTCAATCGATACCTGTATACAGATTATCGTTCCTATAGCTGAAGACGGTGTTCAATGATTCCTACAATATATAAAATATAGGTATTTTATATCTAGGTACGTTGGCGGTCCTTTATCAACTTTGATCAAATTCCTACACAAGCCCCTTTTTGACATCCTTATATAAGAAAAAATGGCAAGTTGTGGTAATCTGAAAGTTAACAGACCTGGGACATAACAACAGTCAACAAGGTTCTCTCATACTTTTTGAAAAAGGGGATCAGTCTTTCTGGCGATTTCTGCACATTCGAATTCTAATTCTAACTAGGTTCTAAGAAGTGGGGTTTTCATTCTTCTTGCTCGAAAGAAAATTCAGAATAATCTGATGGGGTTCCTCCTAGATGATTTTCATTTTCGTTATCCTCGTCCTCATTCAAGTCATAGTGTTTAGGAGGGCTTCGTCAGGCAATTCGTCCTTGTGTGGTACACAATGAACGGCCTTTCTTGTTTAACTATTTTCTTAAGGTTACGCAGGTTTTTTTTTTTTTTTTTTTTTTTTTTTTTTTTTTTTTTTTTTTTTTTTTTTTTTTTTTTTGTGGGCCTCCTCTTCATCGCCTTGAAGGCTATACGGGGTTTTCCCGGGCCAGGGAGTGTGGGCGGGGATTTAAAAGACGCTCTCGGCACCGAGACGCGAACTCGTGACTATATTTTGTCATTGTATCATATATCAGATTGCGGGCAACAACGGTGGACACACGTTAGCCCGTTCGGACATCCCGCCCACTAGGGGACGTTATAGTAGGTTTTTGACTTGCAAAGATTACTTGCCCACAGATGTAACAGAAGTTGTCAGGAGCACTCACACCCTTCCTGGACATTGTAACTTCACCAAAACTACTGGATTGTTACGACAAAATCGTTGAAAGAACGCGTGAAGCAAGAAAAATCACGCCAAGAGTAACTTGAAATGTAAACATTGCATACAACTGTCAGCAAAATGCTTCTGTCCTAAAAATCCTAGCAATCCAGAAGCCATTTACCCATTTATTTTATTATATATTTATTATATTACATATTTTATTAACATTGACCCATATTACGCAAAAAGTAGCTATATTTTTAAAACTAGAGGTAACCGGTGATTTTTATGTGGAAATTCGAATTTCGAACATCAAAATCATGGAATGAGACTGTTTTCAAGTGAGATGCAATATCAATGTAGTGCAGTGTAATTAGTAAAGAAGTGCTGCAACAAACATATACTTTGAATAAATTATTTCTGTCTCTGACTCTTTGATTTATGAGTTGGCCGACCTTTGAGATAGGATGAATTTAAGAAAATACTGGAGGAAGAAAAGATTCAAAAACAAGTTGCACTAATCAATGATGAATTATGTGCACAAATAGATGGTAGATTAGTGTTAAATAATATTTACCCAAGGTTTTTTACTGGCTATAGTTTGGAGGAAGGCCATTGGACCGGGTTTGGTGACATGAAGGTAATTCCAACCTCCAGGTAACTTACAGGTTACAACAATTGGGTGGGTGAATTCCGTTACTGATCTTTTTTCACTAAGATATGATTTCCCACTCTCTTCCATTTGGATGCGCTTCTGAAATCTGTATGCTATCTAAATTGAAAAAAACAAAAACAAAGGTATGAATTGATTTAGTAAGTAAACTAATTACAAGTATTAAAAAAAAAAATACCTCCGCTCCAATCTCGTGAGAAGAGTAATTTTCATGATTATAATGATCACAGTAGTATTTTTTTTTATATCTAGTTAATGACCCAGCACCATAAATGTTTTTGTCGTTGGTTAAAAAATCGGAGTCGATTACAAGTTTACCATCAAACGTTAAGCAGGCCTTCTGTAATGCTTAAAAATGAAATGAAAATTATTTTTTGTCCTCTATGACATTTATTTATGACATTTATTTTATTTATGACATTTATTACGAATGGAAGCCTGTTATAATCTTTCTGGCTAGCTTGAGTGCGATCAATTACAACTTTTCTCCGTTACGATTTTTTAATTCTCCTTTAGTTATCAGCAAATTCTTTCATATTTTATATTTAACTATCTTTTATATTAGAGATTAATGTGAAATAGTCACGTTGTTTCAAATAAAAAAAAATTAAAGGTACTTTAAAGGAAGCTAGTATTGAAAATCAGCCATTTAAGCCCTGTTATAGATCATCAATCAGAATAAAAACCACATTTTATTTAAAACTGCTTGATTTTTCACTGATGTAATGAATTTAATAAAAATCGTTAGAGCTGTTTCCGAGAAAATTGTAAAAAGGTGTTTAGCCCATGATATAAAGTGCCACTTCCGGTCAGTATTCTGACGAAAAAGTTATTGTAACATCCCTAGCATATTAAAACCTTAAATATACAATTTCACTTTCGTACGACTTTTCGTTTTGAGCTAGACTGCACACACACACACACACACACACACACACAAACACACATTGACCATTTTGCGGAACTTGGTTATTTAGACTCAGGGGACCTCAAAACGTGTATTTCCTTTGAAAACTGAGATTAAAAAATTTTCATGATCGCAATTCTTTCCTTTACTATACATTTCATATATAGGTAAGTGAAAGTAATATATCTATAACAAAGAAAATATCAACAATAACATTAAATCGAAACCTCATTTTCGTGATCGGTAATCCGAAGGTTAAATTGGATATTGTGTTCTTGAATCCAATAAATGTCAAAAGTAAACCTATTTTACATGCGCATATGTAATTTAAAACCCTATAGTCCACTTTGATTCAGCATCCTTAAAAAAATTAATACCTCAACCCAAGATCAAACTAATTTAGATAGTAAATTCGAAAATATTCGGTAACTAATAGGCCTCTATGAATAATTCGCAAAGTATACTGGTCAGTAAAAAAAATAATCATAAATTGAGGAAAGTGATGGTTCGGGGTGGTGGTAATACAAAAACATAAAATATTTTGAAACTATTTTATTCAACCCAACTATGCAGGTTTTCGTCAACAGAATGGTCGGGATGGAATTCCGTGTGAAACTGCTTGGCACGTGCTTTGGAGGTTTCGCACGGAACTCTATTCCGACATGAATGTGGTAAACCATTGAGTATTCAAAATCATAGATTATATATAATTGTTAAGTACATAATGCGTAAATAAAGTTTCCTTTTCTTCATAACTTATAACTTTTCTGGAGAATCTGCTTATTCTTCGCACCTGAAGGATAAGATAATATTTTAAATGAATAGAATCGATGAAGATTTAATTAAGATCGACATACCGACAAAAATACACCTTTGAGAAATATTATATGAAGATGTAATAATAAATGTTTAAAAATTAATGACTAAGGACTTTTTTTATGGAATCTTGGACCTGACTAGTTGAAATTACCATTAAGTATCATTATATTAAGTATCAATTATCCAATGAAAGAAAAAAATATCGGCAATAATGTCCCCCCGGGCTGCTCTTCAAACATAAAATGCATCTTCCTCAGTCCTTATACCTAATGTTTCGATCTTTTTCTGTATGCTGTGCAACAGCATTTTTCGATATCTATTCACTTAAAGCTGGTGTTCTCCAGGGCAACATCTTGGGTCTCGTGCTTTCCACCCTCTTTACCGCTGACATCTCTGCTCATTCCGAAACCTTTCTTGCAACTTTTGCTGATGACACCGCAATCCCCTCATTCAACTGAGATCCCGAAATAGCATCCATAAATCTACAAAGGCACCTCTCCCTGATTGCACACTGGTGCAATAAATGACGCATTAAAGTAAATGAATCAAAATGCCCTCCAGTACATTTTAATTTCGTCCAACTTCCTTACTAAGACACGGACTTTCTCTGAGACGACTTAGATGGAACCCACATACTAGACTTAAAAGACAAGAACTCAACCGACGATATGGCCAGCTATATAGATTAATGAATAGAAAATCTGTACTTTCAATTGATAACAAATTACTGATCTACAAGACATTACTGAAACCTATTTGGATCTACAGACTGGAACTGTGGGGGACAGCAAATGTTTTTAACATTAAATGCATTCAATCCTTTCAGTCCAAAGTCCTTCGAACAATAGTTGAAGCTCCGTTCCATGTAACCATCAAAATTCTATATCATGACCATAATATCCTATTTGTCCTACATCTTATCCCTTAAAAAATTTAAATACCATCTAAACGTTTTTTTTTTTTGTTTTCCACTTCCTCGCCTTAGGCTATACGTGCGTTTTCCGGGCTAGGGGGTAAGAATGGGAGATTAATGCCACAGATAAAAGACTCCCTCGGCAACGAGACGCGAACTCAGAATTATTTTAATCAAATTATCTCATATATCAATATATCAGCCCCTGTTCGGGGGGCGGGGTGGCCGAATAGGCTAAAGCGTGTGTAACAGCACCGCTAGTTGCCTGGCAACCGGATAACAGAGATTTGAGATGATATAAAAAGTACGAGTTCGCGTCCCGGTGCCGGAGGGGATTTTAAATTCCTCGCCCTCGCCCCCTGGCCCGGGAAAATCCCGTATAGCCTAAAAAGGCGAGGTAGGGAAGAACAAAAAAAAAAAAAAAATATCAGCCCCTGTGACCCAGTGATCTGTTGTAAGTTTATATTGGAGTTCTAGCAATGACCATATTCTCTACTCAAGTCATGTATGTATGGTTATAGCATCTCAGCTCAACCTCCACTGGTCCTTAATACCAGTAATGCGGCTAAGTGAGTGGCGCTGGGATCTCCTAGAGCTCTTTTTTTCCTTCCACAAGGGAGAGAGGCTTGGCTCAGATATCTTCAGTGAATGAGGATTGGGGAATTAATATTTATTTCGTAATTAGTTTCTTTCAGAATGTTGAAGTACTATCAACCGGACCTGTAAATAATGACAATTTTTCATAAGTTTTTGAAAAGAAAACTTTGTTAGGGGCGTTTTGCAATTTTTTGTAGATAGTGAATTAGATTGATCCGTCAGATTTCCTCATCAATGTCACATGGATTAAAATATCTCAGAAACTAAAATCTGGCCTGCATATTGTTAGCGAGGAAAATGTTCATCATTTGATCCTCTTTGTAATGAGCTGTTATTTAAATTTGTATCTTAACGTTACGTCACGCCTTGTTAAAGAGGTGAAACGGGAAAAAATAGTGTCGAAAATCAAATTATAGATGTTTTATTGAAGATTAATTAAAATATCTCAGAAACTAAAAACCCTACCTACATACTGTAAGCGAGGGAATTGTTCAGCATTCCATCATCTCTGTAATGGGGTGTTATTCCAAATTGTATGTTAACGCGACGCCGTGTGAGAGAGGCGAAAAGAAAACAAACTGTGTCGAAAACCAAATGATAAGGTTAGTTGAATATATGGATTAAAATATCTCAGAAACTAAAAATCGGACCTGCATACTGTAAGCGAGAGGAATGTTCAACATTTCATCCTCTCTATGATGAGCCATTATTTATAATTTATATTTCATATTATCAATCTCGCCTAGTTGATGTTTTAACTTCTTTCGTGTGGTCTAAAGCACACTCTATAGTTTTTTTTTTTTTACTGTTGCTATTTTATTTATTGTTCCTACTAATTTTTTCCGTGTCCAGTAGCCAATAACTATACATTAGTTTATTTATTATATGAACACAACAAAGGTACCGCATACCGATCTTTCAAACAAGCGGTGTTCTTAGAAGTCAACTTTGAAACTAGAAATACGGATAGTCAATGCTTCGCATGTGTTTAGTACTTAGAATTAAGTCACATCTTCCACTCTTCCAAATAAGCGGGGTTCTTAGATATTTGTTTATATATACGTAGACCCCAGACCTTTTTTTTTCTTCATTTCCTGGTTTAAAGGGTCTCTTTTAAAATTGAAAACTTAATGTGCTCCCAAAAATTTGATGGAGTATTTTGCGCCGTTAGTGGCCGATCCATCTGCTGTCAAGAGAAACAAAAAAACGTTTGGGTTAGTGATAGTTTCGCTTTTATGCATTTGTTTACTGTTTCTGTTGCTTAAGAACTATTGAATTTAAGTGTTTTTGGTTTGATTTAAACGAATTTTCTTCATCAATTATTTTTTTAAACTAACATTACTCCTTTTTTCATGTTCATTTTCTTCCTTCTGATTCTTTTTAAAATAGCAATAGCTTAAGTCAAATGAAATCCTCAATATCTCCCATGTTTGTATGTCTGGAAATTGATTGATATATTTAAAGTACAAAATGAATTAATGCTGAACAGAACTTACCTAAACGCGTTACATAATTTATTGTTTTGGGCTCAAAAGAGATCAAAGCTAATGCCTTAAATGAAATGACACGATTTTGGGACTGGAAATGAACTTTTGTGATATTTATTTCATGTGTGACCACAGTTTCCTCAGTTTCATAACTTGAAAAGGAATAGTGATAGTAAGCCTCAATTTGACATGACTGCAATGTAGCTTTCAGTGAATTATAGACCTGGAAAATTGAACAAATTAATCTTTCATAGTTTTGACATGAATCCATCCAATTAAAAATAGAAAGCAGATAGTAATGAATTAACTATCATTATTATTATCATACATTTTTGTAACACATTAACTTTTAAAACCGCATGCTAGTCGGCACAGCGTACTTTTTAGGAATTCTTTCCTCACCAAGCCCAGCAATTTTACATGCCCATTTTATTCGTCTCGACGTGATCATCTCAATTATACCAATTGGGTGTTGTTCGAGTTCTTTAATTTCTCCGGCTGAGTCATCTTTTTTCGCACCGATTATTATGATTTTATTTCATTTCGCACAAAACTTTACTTCCAAAAATCTTAAGACGTTGCTCTTCCCTCAACGTTTCACACCCAAAAAGAATCGTAGGAAGAATAATGGTTTTGTAAACCCTAATTTTTAAGTTATAAGATTACAGCCGCGAGCTAAGTTTTGGTAATGAAAAATAGAAAACATTTCTCGTCTTGAACTTCCTCTTTAATTTCGTTTTTTCTTGTTATTGTAAACTCTAAACACTTAAACTTCTTTACGTGTTCAAAAATATTCCCTTCAGTTTCTATAACACCCAAATTTTCGCAATTTTTACAACTAAAAATATATTTTGTCTTGTCCATATTTATTTCGAGTCCAAGTTCTTTGCTGGCTTTCATCGACTTGTTGTATTTAGTTTTGATTTTCCGTGTCTTAGCTTAACAGTACCAATTCATCAGAATACCCAAGCACGGATATTGTTTATTCCGGATTCAAAACTTTTTTGATAATATCACCTCTCTGATAGCATGTTCTAATGCCAAATTAAATAGGACAGGTGAAAGAGAATTCCCTTGTTTTAAGCCCAAACGAACCTCAAATTTCTGGAATAGATTCTAATTTTATTGAATGTTTCGGACATACACAGCCTTACTAGATTAACTCATTTTTTTAAGATCCCCTGCTCAAATAGAATATTATACAGCTTCTGGCGGTCAATGGAATCAATGGAAAGCCTTTATAAAGCTGGTGAACAACACCGTTGTATTCTATTTTTTTCTCTAATGTTTGCCGTAAAGAAAATATGTTATCAATAGTTAAACGGTTTCGTCTAAATCCGAATTGGTTGTCTCCAATAATTTCCTCGACGTGTTCCGTTATTTGACTAGTAATGTTTAATGTTTAATGATCGGAAAAACAGATCATTATATCCGATATTTAAAATATTGTCAACGTGTTTCTTCTTCTTCTTCTTTCACGGCACTACAACTCATGAAGAGTCTTGGCCTCCTCAAGACGTGTCTGCCAGGCCACTCTATCCAGTTACGTACACCAAGCAGTGCACGTGCATTTCTTGCCACACAATCCTGCCATCACAGCCGTGGTCTTCATACTTTCCTAGAGCCTTGTTCATTGCTATCCATAGTTTTTTTTGGGGATTTTATCATTTTGCATCCTCGCCACATGCCCTGCCCATCGCAGTCTTGCAAGCTTTATGATTCTTATGATATCCGGCTCCTTGAATAGATTGTAAAGCTCTGTGTTATGTCTAATCCTCCAACTCTGTTCATCGCGCACAGGACCATAGATTCTGCGGAGCACCTTCCGCTCAAATAACGCTAGGGCTCGCTCGTCTCCTTGTGTCATGGTCCAAGCTTCGGAGCCATACATCAGTACCGGACTATTGAGCGTTTTATAAAGCTGTGACTTTGTGCTGTTAGAGATGAGTTTAGTTTTTAAATGCTTATTTAGGAAAAAATAGCACTTGTTTGCCGTTACTATCCTTCTCTTGATCTCTAGGTTTCCTTTGTTGTCTCTATTTACCAGAGATCACAGATATGCAAACTCATTAAGTCTCTGGAACTTATTGTGCTTGTAGTCAAAGTGTTTCTTAAACTTAATAACAGTGTCTACCGGATCGGTCAACATATTATTATTTTTATCCCTAATTCCAAACATTGCAAGTCCTAAATATTTACCTGATTTATTTATGCCTTTGTAGGTATCTTATATTATTTTAGGTTCAATATCTATTATTTTATTATTATGATACTTTCCTTTTTTATTTTTGAACAATTTAATCGTTTTATTCTTTGAGGTTCGGAAGCAATCAAGATTGTATTCACTAGGGTTATTTAAAGCATTTAATTTAGCGGCTTTTCCTTTTTCGCACATTTTCAGACACTTCATCGAACCACGATTTGTTCTTTTTATTTTTCCTTTTCCCAAGCATCGAGTTATCGACCTTTTTAATATTCTCCGTGATCCCTATAACTTGTCTATATCATCGCGGTCCTCGCCAAAAGGTTTAAACGCTTCAAACATATGCTTAATCTCTAACTCGAATTGAGTTATAATTGATGGATTTTATAATTATCCCAAAATAAAGTTTTCGATATCGGCACTGTTTCCCCCCCTCTTTTTTACATTGTTTTTTTTTTCAAAGTTTCCTGATTACTAATTCATGATCTGACCCACGATAAGACTTTACATTCATTATACTATTTTGCCACCTTTTTTGTTTCAATACGTGATCGCTTTGATTTCGCGTTTGCGAATCCAGTGATATCGAAGTATATTTGTGAATATTCTTATGTTTAAACTATCCTTCCTATAAGTTCATTACTATTGCCGTGTAAATTTTCTTTACCAATCGTATGAAAATAAACTTCTTTCCTTCCCACCTTTACGTTAGTGTCTCCTAGAACTATTTTTATACAGCTTCGCGGCACTAGCGGATCCAGGATTTAATTTTAGAGAGGGCTTCAGCTCGGAAGCTTTTTTTTCGTATATATAACGACAATTACTTTGGAAAAACAGAAAGATACTAACTACCTGTATGAAATGGTGTTTAAGCGATTCTTGAAGTCGTATTAAATATAATTAACGAGCAATAATATTTTAAGATTTTTTTTCCATAAAGCATAGTAACATTTTACCATTGGGAGAGAGGGTGGGAGAAGGCTTCAGAAAGACCCCCGTATATCCTCCTGTGCTTCGCGGTAGTTTATCATAAATCCACTTTAGTTTGCCAGAAAATTCGCATTTGTCTTCACCACCACTGTCTTTGATGGGACAATATATGTTTATCAACGCGATTTTAAACCAAAACCACTAGAATATGGCCACAAAAGTCGTATTACTAAAGAAGTGTATCTCCCTCAAGGCAGATAGTAATTTATTCATAATTAGAAACCCGGAACCTAACCTTCCGAGAGGAACTTCCAAGGAATTTCTACCGACCATCTACACTTACGACACACGTGTAACGGGGCCCCTAAGCGGTAAGGAGATAAGGAGGTATCTGTTTTTTGCTATGGAACATCTAACAATCTATGGAAACATCATAGTTGTAAAATATGTGCATTTCGTAAAAAATGGAGGGACATCTATGCTTGTCATGACGTTTAATAACTAAACACTTAGTGAATAAATAATAATAATGTTAAATTTCACATTATTATTTACTGTGAAAATAATGCAGCAATGGAAAACTGTGCAAGTTCCAAATTCTGATACGTAGATGGTTAGGTAGAATATGAAATTGATGTTGGTGTATAGCAGGGGTGTCCATCTCCCCAAAAGTCGATGGCGCAAGACCCCCTCCTCCTCAGATATTTTATTCCTCTTCTCTTCTTAAAAACAGTGCAAGCTAAAGTAAAATTTTAAAAATCTTAGGTCATATACAATTACACTTCTAGTGGTCTGTACTATGCTTTTCTTTTGTCTCCTGATTTGAAACTTTTCGATCCGAAACTTCATAATCCCATTGAAATGTGCTCCCATACAAATTCAAAACCCCGTCAAAATGTGCCCCCCTCAAAAATTTTGATGATAGAACTTGCACCATGAAACCTCCTTGTGTGTACCCCTGGTCTATTGTTATTAATAGTTGTTAGGCCATCACTGGAGAATAGTTGTTGATAAACCATTAGTCATGCAGCCAATTCTCAACTATGTCCTACTCTTTTTGAAAACCATTTCACAAGGTTGGTCAAGCAATAAATGCTCATTGGAAGTTTTTGATATCGTTTTTATTCATTTATTTTATTTTTATAAATCTTATATTTTAATCTAAAAATAAATTAATATGAGATATATGAAAAAGAATGAACTCCGTTTAGAGTCTTATAATTATGGAGCAGAGAACATCTTATTCAAACATTTGCAACCTAGAAATATAACAAATCATAGTTAGGAGGTAGTTCATGAGTATTCTTAGACAGGAAGTCAGTCTGCAGCACTAGCGGATCCAGGATTTAATTTTGGGGGGGGGCTTCAGCCCGAAACCTTTTTTTTTTCATAAAAATGACGATAATTACTTTTGAAAAACAGAAAGAAACTAACTACCTATATGAAATGGTGTTTAAGTTATTCCTTAAGTACTTTTAAATGTAATTACACGAACAATAATACTTTAAGAGGTATTTTTTAATTTTTTTTCTCATAAAACATGGTTATATTTTTCCATTTTGGGGGGAGCTTCAGCCCGAAAGCCCCCCCTGTAGATCCGCCCGTGGTCTGCAGGAAGATTGCATCCTCTCAATATGAAAATTTTTATTCTATACAACCCTCATGATTCTGTTGAATATGAAAGAAATTGCCTAATGTAAATGTTTTTAATGTGATTTATTAAAATTAAGTTGATAAACATTATTGTTCAGGAAAAAAATACAAAATGACTTGAATCAGCTTTCTTCAAATGCCACAAGCTTGACTTCATTCCCAACTAGAAGACTCCAATGGATTTATATACTAACAGGATGAAACTGCCACATTGGTAAAATATTGCACTGAATGACATACTGTCAAAACATCCTTGGGCTCCGAATCAAAAAATAAAAGAAATAAATAAAAAGGAATAGGCTATACCCAAACTTCTGTCACTAAATTATGAGTGTAGGTGAAATTAGCTTTGTTATAGGTGTTAAATTTGTTGGTAGAAAGCTAGTAACTTTTAATAACCTAGGTGGAACTTTAAGGTTTAGTGTTTTTTTTTTTTGCATTTTGTTCCAATTTGGAAGTCTGTTTCCTTTATTAGTTCTTTCTTTCTGTGGTATCAAGTATACACTGATTTTCTCTACAACCTGGTAAGGAGTAGGCAATATATAATTCTCAATGCGAAAAAATTGATTTTTCGAAGTCGATTCCTATTGACTTAAAAGTTTGTCCCTGTTTGGACATTGGACATTTCAGAGAATCTCTGTCCCTCTCTTCAGCAATATTGCTTGTCCCAAAAATTGGGTAAGTTATGGTATTTAATAAGGTTAGTAAATGGCTATTATCCAACTTAATTGGCAAAGCAATTTCTGTCCATGAAATCATAGGCTGCTTTGAAATCAATAAATAGTGTGTGCACACCTTGATTCACTTCCCAATGTTTTTGAATTTCCGGTTTTAGGATGATGATTTGTTATAATCTGCTCCATTCTCTTCTGGATTCTGTTTGGTAGTTGCTTATTATATTTTCATAACATAGATATATCTAGTTTAGCAGGATATTAATCATTAGGTAGACAACTTCAAGAAGTGATATGTCTCTGTAATTATTGCAGTCATACATTTTTTTTTTGGTCCTCCCCTTCATCTCAGTTAAGGCTGCATGGAGTTTTCCCGGGCCAGAGGGTGTGGTTACAGTCATACATGGAGCTGTTCTTTAGGACAAGGCTGACGGCAGGCCTTGTTCAAATCTGATGGTACTTTGTCCATCTGTGCAACCTTTCTTCTAGCAATTTCCTTATCCAATTTATCTGTTTTTCCAATCTCTTATTAATAAAGCAACGGAGACATTTAAAAACAAAGTTTAACAAAAACATCCTTATTAAAAAACACCACTTCTTTTAAATTCCTTAGGAATTTACTGTTAAATTTTAATTTATCTGAAACTATTTATCTATACTAATCTAAAAATACAAAATATGAATCATATGAATGATTACTGAATACAAGTAAATAAAGTATCCAACTTCTCAAAACATCCAGTCTATGATCCATATTGAAATATATAGATACTGTTTAAATATATATTACATATATTTAATTATAACAATTTTTACCGGAGTATTGTAAGCATAATCAATGTTTTCACTTGGGCAAGTCGCCGGTTCCACCAAAACAAAGAAAGAACTTTTTATTCCAAATTCCAACAAACCAGCAATACAAGCTAAGGCATTTAGGCAGTGACCGTATATCACTATTTTAGTATCTACAAAGGTACACATTTAATTAATCAGTTAGTATTTCCATCACAGTGTATTACTTTTAACATCATATCAATTTTTAAATTATGATTAAATAATCTCATTTTTATCCAAATTCTTTTTATTAAGATATTCTATTGATTTTATTTGTATTAAATTATTTCTCTATGACTATTTGGTATTTTGTGAACGTTATATGAGTAGGGCGTTCAATCCTACATCAAATCCTCCAGCTTGTCTAGAGGGCCATTCTCATTGTCGATAAGTGAATCCATCGGATGCAGCTGGGAGGGACTTCCAAGGAATTTTTATTAAGATGGGTGAAATTATAGTTTCTCAAAAATGTTTAACATATTATAGCTTGTAAACATTAACAGCCAATATAGAAATGAGGTTGCTCCGTGTCACAAGCAGGTAATATCTTTTCAGGAGATTCAATTTTCAGATCTAATTATAATTCATTTTACAGTGACAAATTAAATAATATCTATCTAACCTTTAAATATCTATATTTTTGAACATTATTTTAAAATACAACTGATAATATGTGTCAAAGTCAATGAATCAAAATACCTCGATCAAACTCTGTTTTATCAAACTTTTCTTTTAAATTCATCAACGTGTAAAATGCATCTTGATCACTGTTGATAGTAAAAAGGTTTTCAGGTCTGTTACTGTGTTTAATCTCTACCCCTTTTATCCTGAGAACCGATGAGTATTGTGAATTATTTATGATTTATTTAGTTATTTATCAATATTTTTAAACCAAATGAATAAAATAAAATCATAAATGAGCTACTGTATGGTTTCATTTTATATAATGATGAACAATAATCTTTGAACCATTCAAGGAATTATTCAGAAAAATCAATACTTATATAGAAGAAATATTTTTAAAAAGTTTGATTGATATAAATACCTAAATTAAATTACTTAAACAAATATAACAATTTCAAGTATACAAGGACAAGTGAAACTACATAGAAAAAATTATATTAGAATTACAAGCAATTAATCAATATCAGTGGTCCAACCAAAGCATTAGCCAAGTAGCTGAATTTTTTTGAAAGTATTGAAATTCAAAAATTCTCAAATCCCCCTTATCTTTATTGTATATGTGGATGAGATTGCCTCCATTTGCAAAAGACGCACAGCCAGAACACACATGGGTCAATGGCACCTACATTCTGTACTAATACCAGTTTCTCCTGATTGCTGATGAGCAATTTAAGCATGCAGCGAGGAAATGGAATAAGAGACTGAAGAGAAAAGGAATGACTATTAATTCCACTAAAAGCAAAGTTCTTCAAGTTGGTAGAACTCAAGAGGATGTCCAGATTGCCTATAGTGGAGAGCTGATGGAGGTGGTGACACACTTCACGTATCTTGGTAAGGTGATCAGTACATCTGGTAAAGTGGATTCGGAAACCTCAAGCAAAATTTGCAGGGCTCATTTCTTTTACTACCACATTTGTAACTCGGTTATGGGAAAAAGGTTAGTAGGACAGAATGTATAACTCCAATTTTTCAAGTCTGTCTTCTTACCAGTAGTTTACTATGGAGTGGAGAAATGCTATGTGGAAAAATGCTAAATATAACTTTTGGAGGAATTTGATAGTTAAATAAAAGAAAAATACTTATCCAGGTTGAAAATGAGTACCCGGAAATAATAGTGAGAAGGTAGACATATAATATATCGTTAGAAAGTGGATAATTAGAAAAAAAAACAATAAATAATATAGAAAGTTGCAGAAGGTAACGGAAAGTGACAAATACAATATAAATAATAATTTCTAAAAACTAACATTACTTAACATAAATCATTTGTTTACAAGAAAATTGAATGAAATTTTCCTACTAAATGTAAACTTTTTAGAAAATTAGTGAATAATTTGATGAGTTTTCCCTTTGCGATATTCCAACAGTATCCACTTACAATTAGTGTGACAACCTTTGGCCTATCTATGACAGACAATGCAAATCTCTTAATTCCATTTTAGTAAACGTTGCAATTTAAATTACAGTTTAATAAATAATAGTCCTACAATCCATAATCAATGGATCGTACAATCCATAATCAACCGGTGATATAATAAATAGGACTTTTGTTATTTTAATGGTATGTATGATTTGTTAGCTGTAATATTTTAGCTTTAGCTCGGTTAAAAATTCAATTCAAAAATTTTATAATAGTCCAACATGGCCTGAAAATAATTTCTATTCAAAGTTGAGCAGTAAGTTAAAGTTGTATGTTGCACGCACCAGATTTTTTTCATAACTGTTAGAGAGAATTCTTTTCTCGTTGTTAACATTTCTTGTATTTTTAATGACAATATAACTATTATTGGAAATTGGATCACTTTGCATTAAATGTTATAAAAAAGAAAAGAATACCAACATTGTAAAAAAGATGTTTTATTTTTTTGCTTAGAAAAGAAAATGCAGAAATTTAAGAAGAGAAAGTGAAGGTTTTCTTTTAAAAACACGTATTTGTAAAAAGAAAATGTCTAAGTATCCTGAGAGTATTGCAGCAATTAAAACAAAAAAATTATAAAAACAATCACAAAGTAGGATTACTCATGACATAAGAATGTAATATTTACAAAAATTCGTAGAACAAAGACCTCTTCAATTTTAGATTAAAAATCTTTTTTTTTTAAATAAGGATGAAAATGTTCAGGATGTACAGTAAAAAATTAATTTTATAAAAATTTAATTTTTTGACTGCACATCCTGAATATTTCCTTACAATTTGAACCGTCAACTATATATCTTTCTCTAATGTTTTTAAAAATAATAAAAATAAAAATATTTATTTGAAATAATATAATCATTAGGTAAAGAAAGCTTTACCTCTTGATTAACTGATCCTACCAGTCATTCAAGATGATCAAACCCTTTTAAAGACATAGGTGGTTCTCTAATCATAGAAAGAGAAAAGATATTGGATATTGGAGGAATCAATTTGAAAACCTTTTAAATGGAGATTCCATGGGAAAATGAATTCCACAAGAGGCCAGTATCAGTGGTGAAGAGGTGGAACTGTCAGATGAACAAGACATTACAAACCCCATAGATCGGCTGAAGAATAATAAAGCACATGGTGTGGATAGAATATCGGCTGAAGCATGTAGTAGAAGCTTTCGCTAAGTATGTCTATAACCTGAAGAGTAGTACAAAACTTAAGTCCTATTCATAAGAAGGAAAATCCTCTTCCCTCTCCTTATAAGTTATTTTTCAAAATCCCTTTCCAATGCTTACTACCTTTTGTTGAAAAGAAAATAGGCATATAATTAAGTTGGCTTTATGAAGGGCAAAGCTATGACGGACCAACTCTTCTCAGTGAGAATGATGAGGGAGAGAGTAGCTGAGTATATCAAACATCCAGACCCACCACCTGTTTGTAGATTTCTGTTTTGCCTGATGATTTGAGAGGAGCTTTATAATGGAATACTTGCTCTCGGCATCCCTCTAAATCTAGGCCTGCCTAGTCAGAATAACTATGAACTAATCTATGTTAAGTGAAAATGGCCAGAGAAACATCTGAGTTTTTTCATAGCTGCAAGTGATTCAGGCAAAGTGTTTAGTTTGCCTACTGTCTAATATTGAGTTGAAATGTGCCATCAGAGAGTCGGGAATCCAAATAGGAGTTATAATTGTTAACAAGTCAAGCCAAATTCTAGCCTATACTGATGCTCTGAATGTTGTTGGACCCAGTTTTCTGAGTATGGAATAAATCTCCAAAAAACAGCAGCTAAAGTTGAATTGCAGGTGAGCGAGTCCTAAACAAAGTCCTAAAAGAGTCTTTAATTCTAAAAGAGGAGAATATCTAGAAGGAAGAGTAAAAATTGGAGACTTCAAATTCACAAACGAACTCGACCAATAATACACAACCATAGATTCAACAGCAGATTATGGCAGCCAATAGATGCTATTATGGGCTTCAGAAGCATCTAAAAAGTAAATGTCTCTAGGAACACACAAAATACATTTCTATAAGACCCTATATTAGATCCATTCTCACATATTCGTTAGAGTGTTAGATGCTGACAAAAATGCTTGAATTATCTCTATTAAGTAAGATTTAAAAGAAAAATTTTGAAGAAGATGATGGGACCTATGTGTATCGATGGGGTATGGAGATCGAGGAAAAACACTGAACTAATAAATCTAAACAATGACCCTAATATCGTTTGTTTGATAAAGAATGAATATAAATATGAATTAAAATACAAAATGAGAAATCCTTCAAATTTAGCCATTACTTATCAGATATATTGAGGTGAAAAAAGTTTCTTAAAATAATAATTTAAGTACATTATCAACATTATTATTAGAAACTTGAATCTCACTTACTCATCTACTACTACTCTGCACTCTTTATTGGTTACTAATTCTGCAACTGATTGTGGTATTGTAAATTGTGTTCCACAGAACAGAAATAAGTAGTCAAAATCAAAATCATATTCTTCATCCACTAAGAGGAACTTTTGTTTTCTGAAATAATAGTTATCAATTATGTTTTTATAAACCTTCAATGATGAATAGGTAGTGATTTAAAGAAAATGAGTAAGAGTAGTAAAAATGTGTAATTCATAGAAATGGCAAAAGCCCAATAAGTGGAACTATCTGTCCATTTTAAAAATTCTGAAGCTGCCAAAACAGATCCTTAGCAGAATGGAAGTGAATCGATATCAATTTGATATTTATTCTATCAACTTGGTTTTTGATATTTATATAACTTGGTAATTGATATTTATTATAATAAAAACATTTTTTCTGTTTTGTCCACACTTCTACAGCTCCTTTGAATTGAATTAGAAGATTAAAAATATTACAAGTGGATTGAGTCGGTGTTCGAGAATTGAGTTATGGAGGTCTTTACTTTTTTTTTCTGCAGCCCCATTTTGGTAAATTAAATTTATAAACAAATTATAAAATGTTCTGTACCTAAATATGAAAAAGAAATTAAGTAATTCAATTGTTTTTTAAATTCTATGCAATTTACTCAGGTGAGCATTAATGAAACAATTAAATCACTTTTGATCTGTTTTACAAACAAAAGTGAGGAGGGAATTTTGTCTTAGTAACAGCGATCTACTATTCACATCTTTATTTACTTTTAAAATTCATTTTTACTCTTAAAAATATTATTTCATTGTTTATTTAAATCTCTGTATTATAATTAAAGTAAGATAATGTATTATTTATTTCAATAGGTATTATCACCTGTCAATACTCGTCACAGTGCCAACAGCAATATCTACCCAAGTTTCCAAAGAAAGCTTGCCTAAATATTCTTCATTGTATCTATCACTTGATACCATCATCATTTTGACAAATGTTTCATATTTCTCTTCAAATTTATTTGGAATACCTCCTTGTGAAATCAGAGTAATGCTTTTATAACCTAGGTACCAACAGGAAGGACTGAAACAACATACATATGTATGAATTTATTTAAAGATATAACCAATGAGACCATTAAAAATTATTTTTCAAACTTAAACACGATGATTATTATAAAAAATAATCACTTCATTGAAACTTGTTGGTTACTGTAGAAGTTGTATAGAAAATAAATGAAATAAAAAATTGTCTTTATTATTATAATGTATAGGAAAAGAAAAGATATATAGTAATAAAAACAACAAAATTATGTTAAAAAAAATTAACAAATTAAAAGGTTAAAATAATAATAATAATTATGTGGAAAATAGCACTAAAATGAACTCTTGGAAACATTTGAAATATAGGAAAAGGTTATTTAGTATAAAATAATATTAATTAGGCTGGACGAGGAAACCGTTGAAGCATGGTGAATGATAAGCGGGTTGGAATTCCAGAAGCTGCTTGGGTTAGGATTTGCCAGATGTAGCTGTTGACTGAGGAGGAGGGTAGAAGTCAGAAGAGCAAGATCAAATGGGCCAGGGTTTGATGAAACATTTAAATTTCAGGCTCTGTGGTATATAGGATGGACACAGATTTCTGATAAGCTATAGGAAGGATGCAAGGAAATACTGAGACCTGTGGGATGAATAGAGTTACTTTAGCTTGACATAATACTGGGTTATTCGCATATCTCTAGCGTCCCTGAAAACAACTCTAACTAATCATTAAGTCTTGCTCCAAATTTGCCAAAGAGGCCGCTGTACCCAATCAAAATGAGGAAACACAAGGCACGAAACTAGGAGTTGTATGGTTTTACATGGAAGTAAGTAACATAGATGATTGAGTTATCTTAGGGTTTATATGGTCTGACGGAAATTTTGGGAGATGTGTTTCCTTGAGAGAGTTTGCTCAAAGGTGACTAAGGTTTTTAAGGAGGAAAGAGGATCCAATCACAATGGCTTTGGCCTTCTCGGCATATAAGATAAGTTTAATACAGGGGCGGGGTGAGTTGGCTCAGTGGGATAATGCGCATTTCCTGGCAACGTGGATAGAAGATAATGTGATAAAATAATACTGAGTTCTCATCTTGGTGCCAAGGGGGCTTTTAACTCTCGTATTAATCTCCCGCTCTCACCAGTGAAGAAGGAATGAAACCACCACAGAGCACTAGATGACATGAACAGACCATGAAGCTTGGGAATGAGGAATATTGTGTTGCTTTAAATGATGAAATAAGCTTTAATTTATTATGAAAAAAACATTTATAAATGGGAAAAATTGCTACCTAAATATTAGGTGTTCCAAAAAACTCAGTGCTAGCTCCCCAGCACCTACCACGACAATCTTTGTAGTATAAAGTTTTTTTTGGATTCCGGCCATTTTGTAGTTCATATGAAATAAGGCAAAAGGCCGCATGCTTTCACGAATCAAACTTCCATGAGGGGTAAATTTCCCAAGACCTTCTTTCCAATATTCTGGTAAACGTCTAGGCTGTACTGGAATCCAATATTCAATGCCACAAAGGATTGAGAATTCAGGGTACTAAAAAAAGTTCAAAGTTTTACATGTATAGTTCTTTTATATATAAAACTACAGTAATAAACAATTCAGAAAGGTAATTAGTTTCTTAAAATAACAAAATTTTCCACATCTTTTCAAAGTAATTATTCTTAACAGCTGCATAGATGTGCTAATAGTGTATATAATGCATTAGATCTGCTAATAGTTGTATAATATTTTAATATTCTCTTTCCTCCAATGGTATTTGAAAAAAAAAAAATTGTTAAAATACATTCTGTTTACTTTTAAACAAGAACGACAGCTGGAAATTACAGCAAGGCATGCTGGAAATAGCCTCAAGACAGGCTGAGATAATTTAAAAAAAACTCTTAGATCTTCGATTTTTTCCTCAAAAATATATGTTATTTAGATATATATCGCTACTGTTGTGCAGAAGTTCATTTGTAAAAATTTAGTTTTTTTACATAAGAGCATAAAGACTTATTATTTCTTTATGATTTATCAGTATAACTTCATATTTTCTTTCTCTTTGGTATTTTCCTATTTAGCAGACTACTTATTGCAGTTGCAGACTAAAAAATGTCACCTTTAAAGCAAATAGAATAAACATGTAAAATTGTTACATATGATCTTTAGCACTAACAATAGCGATATACTGATTTAGTTCATGATAAATTTCAAGATGGATAAATGGCATCAGAAGTAAATATATAAATGTTACAGATCAATCAGAAGTAAAATTTAGATCTTAAGAAGGTGCTATATCTATAGGAAATAAATAAATATCCACTATGAATCTAATCAGTATACATCAATATATGTCTGAATAACATTTTTTTGAAAAAATCTATGATGTTTATTTTCAAAATTTCAAATTTTCTAAACAAATAAAATAAATTTCTTGTTGTAAGATTGTCTTGTTAGGTATCAAATGAAATACCTATTAATTAGCTTTAAAATGAGGTATTAAACTTTCTTCTTGTACCATCGATCCTTCCCATCCAATAATAAAAGAGTGGGGTTGAGGTATCATTTCTTTGTGTAGTTGTATGGTGCCTTTCACTCCTTATTTCGAAAACCAGGTAGATAAAACAGCCTCACTGTCCTGTTTGGTTGATAGGGTTCTTTACTGTTGTCGAGATTTGTATAATATTTTTTGTTTAAGTTTGGGTAACTTGTTTAAAAAATAAAATTAGGTGCACACCTATACAAATAAATCCCTATCTCCAATTTGAGGGTCCTCGTGGTCCAAGGCCCATGGCATTTGCCATCTTGCCACTCCTTATTTATGTCTCTCTTATGTCTGGTAAGTTAAGAGATATTCTTAGGTTTATGAGCACAAGACACAGCTTCGTGTTGCTATGAATCATGGCCATACAGCATGCTGGCCATAAATTAAGCAATTCGGTATTACAATTCTCATAAGCAAAGAAATGCTTCTCATATTGTGCTCAAAATCTGAAATCCTCTACTGAAGTGAAGTCCATTAGTTTTGACAATACTCAAGAAATTTAATCATCTCCAACCATAGGCACAGACTTTCCATTTTTATTGGGGAGGGGAACAATGGGCAAAAAAAAAAAAAAATAATAATAATAATAGAGATGGTTGTAGTTTATATAATGTGTGAAAAATATTTAAAATAAGTATATAAAATCAGTATAATTATTGTGAAAAGAACAAATAAAATACTGAATATTTAAAATTAATTTTATATACATATTTATATAGTTGAAGGTTTTTTTTTTAATGCATATGGATATATTCGAAAATATATGAACAAAACAATTGAATATATTACATATTTGTAAATATTACAAATTGTGGGAGGGAGAGAGGCTCCATAACATAGGTACTTTTCTAGAACTTTTTCAACTAAAAATGAATATTCTAAAAACAGAAAAATATTTTTGATATCATAGTTTCCTTAACAACCTCAAAATAAAAATAAAAGGTTTGCACTGTCTGAGTAGTTATATGAAAATGTCTATAAAAGCATCTCTATAAAATATAATTATGTCATTATTAATAGTATGACATCCGCAATTATACTGAGTAAGCTCTTACGATACTAAAAAAAAGATTGATACAATGATGGTATATAAAGAAATCCAAGACATGAAAAGCTATCATGGGGCCGATCGAATTCTGACTAGAACCAAACTCCATCAGAGGCTGAAGGGAATAGACAAAATAGTGGATCAGGTGGACAGAAATAGGTTTGAAATATAATTTAAAAAATAAGCTGAAGAATAAACTTGAATCCTTAATCTCCGCCAAAGAGCCTTACGGTTGATTGGGAGCTATTAGAGACAGTGCTAAAACAGGTAAGGAAGTAATATGTAGTTAGGAAAAACAAAAAGCAAAGAAAAGAATGGGAAGGAAAGAAGGAAAATGAATGCAACCAAACCAAATGAATGCTAACCAAAACTGATCGAGCTACTCAGGATAAATAAAAACCACCAGAAAAAATAAAAGAATTTAGTAAAAAAAAAATACTTAAATATATTGAAGATGACTCAAATATATATATATATATATATATATATATATATATGCGAATTCTAACCTGAAAACCGAAAAGAAGATATGATATGAAGCGAGAAACATGTGAATTAGAAGAAAATGCCATAAGCTGATGGCATCAACAGATAAGATACTAAGAAACTGAAAAGGAACATTTCCGGCAGCTTATCAATCAAGAGAAACAGAAACGCTGAGGGCCTCACTCCACAAGAAGTTAATCTTTTGGATGTGGAAATAGCTACAGTCATAAAAAAAGACCCCAGAGATGGACAGCTTATCTCCAGAGCAGTTTATTAGTTGGAAAGAACAACTAAAAGCCAAGTTATTACGACTAACCCACAAAATATGGGAGGAAGAAAGGATACAAGAATCCCCATAATTATAAAGGCAAAGTACTGTGCTGTACCATGAAAATATACTAGTCATCCATCAAGCAGGATGTAAAGAGAAGAATTGAGGAAGGATAAATTGTCTTAATTGCCAAATTATGATACAAGGAATTATTTGAAGACTTTGAAGGTTGAAGCAATTCATCTCAGAATATAGATGAAAATTTAATTAATATGAATATTTAGATTGTGATAAAATACTTACATACCTACTTGTTGGTCTTAGCCTAGCAAGTTAGTTGACTTTTCATATTTTCTTAATTTAGTTTTCATATTTTCTTAATTTAGTTTTCATATTTCTTAATTTAGCTTATATATTTTATTCATTCATGAAGATTATTTGTTATTAATTTTAATTTTTTTTTTTTACTTCAACTTATCGGAAATGAAATGCTATTCTTGTACCTAAATATTTTTATTTGTTTTATTTTATTGTGATTTGGGTTTTTATTATGATATTTTTATTGAATGATATTGGGAGATCAAACATTTTATATGTTGTCAGAAGGACATAGCCATGTTAGAAAAGATAATTGTAAAACATGATAATTAAAAAAAAAAAAAAATCACTATACCAATAAAGTCACCAAAGTTGCTTAAAATAAAAATATAATTAATCATAGAAAAGATTGGTTGGGGTGATCAGTAATATATATATATATATATATATATATATACATAGAAGGAAGCTATTCGACTGTTCTACATATCATGGGTGATATGTATACGTATATATATATAATATTACAATGTTTTTTTTTTATAATTCGACCTTTATATATTATAACTTAAGATATGAATTATAGTGGGATAATAGGTCATGAAATACGCTTTGATGACTTAAAACAACTTCTTTTTATTCAATTTTTTAAAGAACGTTTCGATCCCTGTTTTTTAACATAAATAATGGGATCCTCTTCAGTTTTTTAATTGAGCATCGATACTCCAAGCCAGGAAGCATGCTGACAGACCCAACAGTACCGCCACAAGGACATCAAGCTACTGTTGGGTCTGTCAGCGTGCTGGCCAGCTTGGAGCGTGCTGCTCGACTTATATATATAAATATAAACTTATTTAATTATAATTTTTTTTTTTGACTTGTCACCTCATCCAATCTTCTCTTCAATTATTCATTACAACCAAACATCAATCCACAATTAAAATTAATATTTGAAAACTTAAGTAAAGTAGAAAATTTTGGCATTGAAATAGTGTTTTGGAGACTATGTTGCCACAATATTTAAATTTTGAAAAAATATTTTCAATCAGGGTTGTACAAAACTTTCTGTGCCAGAGAAATGTTTCTCTGTGAAGAGGCTATGAACAAAAATATATATTATGAAAAAACACTCATAGCGTTTCCCTTCCATCTTGTCCAAGTGTGCTTTTCTAATTTCTTCCTTCACTACCAGCGACTATCTGATCGTTTGGTTAGCTATCCAGGGGCACAACAAGGACGAAATCACACCATCACCGCAAACAAGAACTTCTAATCATATTAATTTATTTTTCATTAGCTAATGTTTTGGGGTTATATTCCCATTATATAGGTGTTATAAATAAAACAAATAATTCTTAATCCTAACTGCTAACTAATAAACTTCAAAATCTGAGATGACAAGATGGGCTTATGATAAACAATGTTCTACAAATGTTTGATTTTGATTTTTTGTTTAACAATTTAATGTAATTAAAAAGTACATTCAATGTTTATTATTGTGATATTCGAGTAATTTGTTTAATTTATTATTAAGTATTAATGTGTAAAGAAATGGTTGTTATGTAATGTTAAATGTAATTAATAATTAAATGTTAACAAATGAAAAAATAAGTTAATGTTATTGGAAGATTTCACTTTTTAAACCTTCAAATAAAAATATGAACTTTTTGTTTTTTGATTCAAATTAAATTTTATATGCTGTTCAATTTTTATTAAAAATAGTACCACAAGGATTGATACTTGTTTGGCAAGGCTATATTTTTAAGGTTTCTAAGCACTAAAATAATTGTTTTTATTTGATAATTTTTTAGAATATAATGACTATTGATGTTTCTAGTTTTTATGAACTATAAAAACTGTTCCTTTTAATGATGTAAAGATATGACATGCGAGTTTACTTGTGGCATTAGATGTCCTGGAATGATAAAGGCAAATAGAGACGTCCAAAAATTTTGTCTCATAATACTTCTCAAAAAGAAAGTAGTTAAGTGAAGGAACGGAGGAATAAGTACAAAATGCCTCACATATCCATGGGCGTCTCTTTTATGTTGAGAATAAAATAGGAAATCTTCAATATTGTAATTTCCAACTAGATAAGCCACTTCATCTTCATGACTACAATAACATTATATTTATTATATATAATCATAAAATCATGGAAATATGGAAAAAAATAAGTACACAGAATTTCAACAAGTGATTTTATTATAACCTCATTAATCACATAACATAGTTCTTTCCAAGCCAATCTAGTCATTAACTATATGAATTTAAAGATTTTATTTGTTTCATGGACAAAATTCAAAATTGAAAAATTAATATGGCTACCATGATGTAAACAAGTACATATAAAAGTACAAATATTTTCTCATAATAAAGCTAAACAGATAATAAAAATTATACAATATAATTCCTGAAAGAACATGGACATTCCAAACATTATTTTAAATTTCCACCTTTTTTAATTTTCATAAAAAGAAATAATAATAAAAAATATTTTAGGAATGGTTTTAAATTTGGAATTTGAAACCAAAGCCAAAACCTACCTTTTCTAGTTGACTTTAACGTAATGTTTAACCCATAGAATAAATCTCAACCTCATCATGTAGATATAAATTGTGTAGGTAATTGGTAGAACTATTTTTCAAGCCTTAGTTAGAGAACATCTGGACATTAAATCCCACAATAAACAAATTAAACAAGTAAATAATTTTTTGACTGCAATTATACAGCTTTTATTTGTTGAATATGTAAGTATATAAACTTACACAAGTATTCTGTAGGTTGACTATGAACAAAAAAAATAAATAAATAAAATATATATATATATTGAAATATATATATATATATATATATATATATATATATATATATATATATATATATATATATATATTGAAATATTTGAAATGATTATTTACAGAGATAATGATTTTCCTAAACATTGAAAAGAGAAGAAAATTAAATAATATATTGATTTTGGAATATATATATATAAATTATGTATCTAGTATTAATTAAAAGTATACCCAACAACAGTGAAACCGATCAGTGTGTTGCAGCAGATAAATACATAACATTTTTGTTGTGAAGCCTTAGCAAATTGGTTAGTTTGACTTCTTAGAATTGTAAACACATCTTGATGAATTTGATGATAATGAGGATTTCGGATAGTTAGTGCCATAATTTCTTCAAAGTCGGACATTTCAGCTTCCCTCACAAGAAAGAGTCTAAAATTAAAAAAAAAATGACTTGCTTAAAAATTAACATAATTAAATATTTTCAGTCAAAACAAATATAATTTTAAGAATTATATAAACATTTTGTTTCAGAATATAAATTTAAAAATAATGTAATTAAAGTAAAGTAATGAAAATATAATTATGTAGAGATGGTTGACCGTGATATAATATGAGAAGGAGTTAGTCGGGGAGTGCGGTCAAATAAATACTAAATTTTTAAAAAATAGTATTTTTAATTATTACCCAATAATTAAAATTAATTAATTGATTCAAATACTATTTTTTTTAAATTTAGTATTTATTTGACCGCAACCCCTGACCCTCTCCTTCTCATATAAAGAAAATAAAACAGTAATTTTGTTATTATCCAACTTGTCACATTGAATTTTTTTATTAATGTATTTAGATTGGTCTTGAAATCTGTTAAAGATTTATATTCAATCTCAAGAAGATTTCTTGGAGATGCCCTTAATTTTTTAAAAGTTACTATTATCAGATAACAAACAAATAGAAACTGGCCAATTATTACTCCATCAATATTAGCAATGCATTTCTTCAATTGATTATAATTTAATAGTTTTACAATAGCAAATTAATTACCCTTTGAAAGCCAATTTGAAGCAAACAAATAAATCTCGGTTTCCATATGTTCTTCTTTTTCGCTCTAATAACTAGAAAAAGGAAGATAATTTTATCAGTGATGATATGTTTAATTAAGTCAAATTGCTATTAGAGATGCAGAAAAAAAAAGTTCTAATTTTGAAATGACATTTCTTAACTAAAATATAAATATAATACAAGTAATTCCATTGCATTGTTGTAATACAACTAATTAAATTCAATATTTTTTTTTTGTATGTAATAAGGGATCTGGTACAACATTATGTATGTGCTTAAATTGGGTCAAAGACACGAACAGGTAGAATCTAAACATGCATTCACTTCATTCATTCATTCATTCATTCATGTGTGGCACGACATCCCGTTACCGAGACTGGGCCTCCTCCAAGAGCCTCCGCCAGTTGGCTCTGTCTTCTGCTGCAACTCTCCAGTTCCGTACACCAAGCAGGGTTCTCGCATCATAGGCCACGTTGTCCAACCACCTCGTCCTCGGCCTTCCTACCCGTCTTGCAAGGTGCAGCTCCTCCATCATTATTTTCTTGGGTATCTCAACGGTGCTCATTCTGGCCACATGCCCTGCCCACCTTAGTCTGGCCAGTTTAATATAGGTGACTACGTCGATGTCTGCATAGAGAGAACTGAGCTCCCTATTTTTTCTTTTCCTCCAGACATCACCCTCCTTTACTGGACCATAAATCCTTCTGAGGACTCCTCGCTCAAACACACTCAGCTTCATCTCATCGTTTTTGATCATCGTCCAAGCCTCTGAGCCATATGTCAAAACAGGCCGAACAAGAGTCTTGTATATGATCAGCTTGGTCTTCTTTGAGAGGTACCTACTTCTTAAGTGTCGGCCAAGTCCATAGACACATCTATTGGCAGCCGTGATCCTTCTTTGTATTTCTTGAGCCATGTCATTTTTGCTATTAATTTCAGACCCAAGGTATATAAAACTTTTCACTCTCTCAAACTTAAAAGAACCTACCTCAAATGGAGAGTTCAGATCCACCTCACCACCAACTCTCATATACTTAGTTTTCCTCTCGTTGACTTCTAGACCAAGTGGTCTTGCAGCTGCTTCAAGGCCTATAAACGCTTCTCTGAGAGCCTGTTCAGACCTACCTATTATGTCAATATCATCAGCAAAACCAAGAAGCTGTGTCAGGCGATTGAAGATTATATCGTTGGTCTGAATACCGGAGTCTCTTACAGCTTTCTCCTCTGCCAAGTTGAACAATAGACAGGCGAGGGCATCCCCTTGCCTAACCCCACTGCTCACTTTAAACTCTTCGGAGTCGTCAGAACCGACGCGTATTCTACATCTCGAGCTGTCCATGGTCATCTTGATTAGGCGTACGAGCTTCTGAGGGATGCTTAGCTCCTCCAAGGCACAGTATAGTTGCGTTCTATCAACGCTGTCGTATGCTGCTTTAAAGTCTAGGAATAAATGGTGGGTGACTACCTTATGCTCCATAGTCTTTTCTAGGATCATCCTCAGAGAGAACAGTTGATCAGTGGTTGAGCGTCCTCTTCGAAATCCAGCCTGATATTTCCCCAGTTCCTTTTCAGAATACGGGAGAATCCTCTCAAAAAGAATGTTAGAGAGCAGTTTATAAGCACACGAAAGGAGTGAGATTCCTCGATAGTTAGCGCATTCTGTTTGATCTCCTTTCTTATGTATTGGGCAGATAATGGCTGTTGCCCATTCCGTAGGCATAGCTTCCCTCTCCCAGATGGTCAGCATTAAATCATGCAGAGCTTTCTTAAGTTCTTCACCTCCACATTTCAACAGCTCTGACTGGATTCCGTCCGGGCCTGGCGCCTTTCCATTTTTCAATTTCATCAGGGCATTTTCCATTTCCTCCTCATCCGGGGGTTCAATAGAATTCAGGGAGTCTTCCTTCATTACTCCTACTTCTCCAGGCACCGTTCCTCTGTTTAATGCGTCTTTAAAATGTTGTACCCATCTCCTTAGTACGTCATCTTTGTGGCTTAAAAGAGATCCATTCGTGTCTTTGCATGCCGTCACTCTGGGCCTGAAAGCTGCCCTACCCTCGTTTATTCTCTGAAAAAACAGCCGACTTTCATTTTGGCCGCGCAATGCCTCTATATCCTCCATGTTCTTGTTTTCCCAAGCTCTTCTCTTTCCGCGGAATAATCTCTTCTCTTCGCGTCTTTTTCTTCGATATGTTTCTTGGGAGAGCCTTGTGGGACGCTGAACCTTCTTTCTGTAGGCTTCATTTTTCACTTTTACTGCTTGAAGGCACTCAGCATCAAACCATGGAGGCCTTCTAGATTTAGTCTCGTAGCCAAGAGATTCTTCTGCTGCCTGTTTCATTGCGTTGCTGCATCTCTTCCACTGTTCATCGACCATAGAGCTGTCATTAATTACATCTTCATTAAGTTTCGTCTCCACAGCTTGTTGATACGAATATTGGTGGTCTGAGTCCTTAAGTTTAGCTACATCAATCTTCTTCTTTGGTCGTTGGTGGTGGTTTTTAATCAGCGAAATTCGTGATCTGACCTCGGCAATGCTCAAATAGTGATCCGTGTCCATATTTGCACCTCTATAAGATCTTGCATTTATCATGTTGGACTTGTGACGGGCACTAATGAGTACATGGTCTATCTGTGATGTTGTTTGCCCATTTGGAGAGATCCATGTTGCTTTGTGGATATTCTTTCGAGGAAAAAGAGTTGTTCCAACAACCAGTCCGTGCAATGTAGCAAAGTTCACCATCCGTAGCCCATTATCATTACTGGTCTTATGCAAGCTGTGGGTTCCTATGGTCGGCATGAGTGCCACCTCCTTACCAACTTGGGCGTTAAAGTCACCAAGAATGATTTTAACATCATTTTTGGGGCAGCTTTCTGTCACGCGTCCAAGTTCTTCATAAAATGTTTCCTTATCCTCCTCAGGTGACACCTCTGTTGGGGCATGGCAGTTAATTAGAGAGAAATTAAAAAATTTTCCTCTAAGCCGAATGTAGCATAACCTTTGGTTAATGGGAGTAAATCGCATCACCAGCTGTCGAGCTCTGCCTCTCACAACAAATCCGGTACCGAAGACGTGATGCTTTTCATGGCAGCTATAGTAGAGTGTATGGTACTTCTTCTCCATAATTCCCTGTCCTATCCATCGGACCTCTTGGATAGCTGCTATGTCGATTCTATATGTGTCCACTTCTGCAAGGAGCGCACGAAGTGCTCCTAGTCTATGTAATGATAAAATGTTCCAAAATCCAATTCTTAGGTCATTTAGGCGTTTCCTGGGTCTGTTACCGTAATTCAGTCCGGCTTCTTCTCTTTGAGGTTTCGTAATAAGGTACTTTAGGGGGGGGGGTGGGTTATCAGCCCACTGCCCCCGAGTCAGGTAGAGGGGCTGCCTCCTCCGAGCATCCTGACTAGCTCCCCCATCCGGGGCGGCTACCTAGGGAAGGTGACCCTAGCGTGTGTACTGTAGGTGACCTTTGTCTGTAGTGTTTAGGTGTTGTAGTGTGCTGTATAAAGTGTACTTGGTGTGTGTGTTCGTGTAAGTGTTCCCCCAACCTGGAGGGCCAGTGGCTGGTTGCGGTACAATGACCGGGCGATGGGACCGCCACCTCCCTACGCCTCGCATTCACTTCACTATGAATATTAATTTTGTAGCATTATTATTCCTAATAATGATCAAATTCATTTAGGAAAATATCATGTAATGCCATATATCATAATTAAGTATAATTAAATGGAGATAAGTTACGTTGTTCGAGTTAATTGAATTCTAATCGTCTTTATTATCAATAAGGTGAACCTGTATCATTACCAATCACCTTTATCAATTCAGTACTGAATCAACTGTTCAATTTATGAGAATAGATAGAAAAAATATGTTACTTTAAACCATCATCTTAAGCAATAATTGATTTTTTTTCAAAACAGGAGTCTTAAATTCTTCAGTTAACTTTTATGCTTATAATTATTTTTTTAAATTAATTACAAAGTTACTTACCTGACAATAATGAAGAATAGGTTGATAGTAGTCATGACTGGCAACACTAATTAAGATGTAATGCTTATGTTCTGGAGAGTGGTCAAAAATATACTTCAGATAATTGTGAACTAATCTGAAACAAATATTTAGTAGATAGCATACTTCATTATCACAAAAGATTAATTAATTTATTCATGAATGCACTCTCATGTCAAAGAAATAAATTTATAATAGTGGATTGATGGTTGACTGAAGTGAAAATTGAAGAGAAGTTGGTTGGGGTGATCAGTCAAAAATAAAAAGTAAAAATAAATAAATGATTTTTGCTGACGATTCTTCCCAAAGTTCAGATCTTCATCAGGACTAAGGAAATTATGATATATTAAGTTATGCTTGATAAATATGAAGTTGGAAATTGTAAGTTCATCCCATACCAAATCAACACAGAATAAAATAGTTTTGAATCTTAACATCTCAGATTTTCAAGAAATTTGGAACTCCTGTATTATTGGTGTAGACTTTGAAGAATATAAAATTTTACTGAGATAAATCAGTTCATTTTATAGAACCTCGTACGATTCTTCCCTATTCAAGCTATCGTAAGCTGATCTAAATCGATGAAGACGTGGTGATTTTGTATTAAATTATTCTTTTTTTCTTTTTGCTGGGAAGTTGTATGTTATTCTTTGTTTTTGGCAATAAAGACTTCCAATTAAACAACAATTGATTTATTTTTGTTGGATTTCCAAGTTACATGTTCACACGTTAAAGTTTCGGGATATTTACTCCCATCTTCAGAACTACAATCCTAATGTTTCTTTGTTGATTCATGGCTTAGGTCTAATGTGCTCTATTGTCAGGTTCTAAATTCATTTTATAATAAATTAAAGTATATAATATCCAGAGTATCATCATGCTTTTAGATCAATTATAGCAAACGCCCAATAAATTCAGTAAACACCATAAATCAAGGATTTATTCTTAAAAGTGACGTATTTTGAAATTATAGTAATGAACTTTAGGCTGGTCCAAAGTACATTAGGAAACAGTTGAAACCAAGGTACAATGATCTGACTTTGTTTTTTAAAGTCTAATTTTTTTAACAAAGTCCTAAGATATTTTGCTTAGGATTTGGATTCAAAAGAAGCTAAACAGATTACTTTACATCAATCGACTAATACTTTTGAGTATATTTATGTAACACTTTTTGATGTACAACTTAACTCTGACAATTTTTGGAATCATCTCGTTTCTGGGCAGAATGGTGGTTACCAGGAAATCTATGAATAGCTGAACGAACTTCATTAGACAAATCATTGCTATCGGTTATATCAATGTTCCTGTTGAGTTTCGTCCCATTTTTTTAAAATTATCATGTATAGACCAGAAGTTGAAGCCAATAGTGAGTTGAAATAGCCCTTAAAACTAGTTTTTAAATGTGATGAAAGCATAGGAATTACAGTTGATAACGATTGAACAAATTTTCTAAATTTTACATTTGAGTGTTACCAGTGGGTAGTTTCTCAACAAGCGATTTCATGTTAATGTATTCCTGAGTGCACATTTACTAGATGTATTTTTTTTTTTTATAATACAGTTGTAAATATCAATGAATGAAAAAAAAATTACAGGCACCATTTATTCAATCTATGTTACTTCCTGTCGTATTACAGAAAGTTTCATAAATGTTATCAGCTGCACTCCACTTATCCACTGGATGGTAAAAAAAATAAACGATAAATGACTTATTGGACGAAATTCCAAAACTCCATGAACTCCATGACTAATTGGGATCGTTTCGCAGTTGATGATTGAGCTAAACTTTTGTATATTTTGTTTTTTTGCTGATTTAAACTAGATTAGGAGGGTTCATCTGGAGAGGGGATGGCCGAGCGGGCTAAGACATGGGCAAAACAGAGTCCGGGTGGTGGGGGACTTTTAATTCTGCCATTAATCCCGCATCATATACCATGGTCTGTAAAACCCATGTACAGCCAAAAAGATGAGGTAGGGAAGAAAAAAACTTGCCCAGCTAAAGAGGCCTAATTTTTATTTTATTACATGATTTGGTTTATTACCTGATGTCTTGATTTTTTCCTGGAACATAAAATTCTATTTCCATAGCTCTACTTTTTACTATTTCTTCGTTCTCCATTTGTTCATGGTCCTCAATGATTGACTTTTCAATTTTTTCCAATTCCTCGTCTAATTCATTTACTCTTAGAGTGACATTTTCCTCATTTGCATAAGACACTGAAAATGAAGGTTCAAATTATTCTCTTTTTTTTTTTTTTATAATACAATAAGTAAATCTGCTACAAGACAGAATAAATAACATGTTTATAAATAACGGGATTAAACATATTTACCATTTATTGAATAATGTGATAGGATACCAAGAAATATGTGATATATATTGAAATATAGAAATATATTGAATTAAGTATTATAATTATCAGTACAATTTATTTTGATGAAATATCTCTCAAATATTGGTTCCTATCTGAAGGTATTATGTGTAGCCAGTTTCATTTAGTTAATTTTATATTTCGTAATTGATACTGAATATAAAAAATGATTAACATGGAATAAAACCATTGCTAATGTGAAACAAAATAAAAAGGTTACTGGCACATAATTTACTTCTTCTTCTTCTTCTTGCACTGTTTTTAGGAAGAGGAGAGCAATAAAATTTCTTCAGAGTAAGAGCATACGCAGTCGACTTCAAAGATACGATAAAGTCTAAAGGCTCTTTTATATATAATATATATAGTCAAGACCAATCTCAGGTCTTTGGTCATTTAAAAATTTGATTTTTAGATGTTAAAAAGCACAAATAATCTACCACTATAATAATAATTAACTCACGGCATATTTGTCTTTTCTTTTTAAAACTTGAATCAACACGTTTTATTCTCTTTTTAACTGCTTTCTTTTCCCGTTCTTCACGCTTTTTCATCTTTGAAAGCGAAAAATCTGTAATATGTTCATTGTACTTATGAATGAATCAAAGTAAGTTTAGTTTTATTCTGGGATTTCTTGTGCTCTAAGAATACCACTACTACTAATAATTATGAAATTATAATGTAATCATAAAGCATAAATAAATAAATTTAAGTACTGATATTATATACATACAGATATATATTTGTACTAATAAAGAATGAAAGTAATATCAATAGAATTGTAATAAAATAATAAAAAAATTAATATGAACTTATGAAAAAAAAAGGAAAAAGATTGGTAGTAGATGAGAAAGAGAAATATTTGATGTTTAAATGAAGTTGGAGGCAGGGTTTTAGGAATTGGAAAACGAGGGAGCACGGATATCAAAAGCAGTTCTGTGAAAAAGAATTAAATAAAAAATAACGTTTTTGGTACATTATATTGATTATATTAACGAACAAATATTAATGCAATAATTTAATTGTCCAAAAAAATTAAACCATTTTTTTTTAAAATTTATTATTTTATTTTTTATTTATTTTTTAAAATTTAATTTATTATTTCTATATTATATTATTCTAGGTCATTTAAGAAGGGCTCTATTTTAAAAATAATATAATTAAAATAATAAAACTTAATTCAAAAATACTTTGCTGAATATCTTGACTTTTTTTATTTAACGTTTGTAATTTAACACTTTCTTTGTATATTTACTGATTCTTAGGGGTAATTTAAATTGTATATACTTCCCCGGAAATGATTCATATTATTACCTGTATAAATACCTGTTTTATAAACTAAAATAATATATACCTAATCTGAACTACTTGTAATTCGGATCTTGTGTTTGTTTGAGTGGATAAAGGAATATAATGTGTAATAATGAGGTTAGAAGGAGGTCATTTGGGTTTGAAGATTAGGAAAAGATAAAAAACTAGGAAATATTGATGTATAAAAGATGAATTAAGTTCGGCATATCAATTGGAGACACGGAAGAACCTGGGTACCCCAAAGAATCTCATGGAATTAGTTTCATCAATCTCAATCCCATGCCTAACAGATATTCCACCAGTCAGTCCATTTAGTCGTAACACTTTGTTTTGTATATATACACTGATTCTTAGGGGGTAATTTAAATTGTATATACTTTCCTGGAAATGATTCATATTAATAACTATTTAAATTACCTGTATAAATACCTGCTTTATAAACCAAAATAATTTATAACTAATCTGAACTACATATAATGAATAGTTGATGAGTCGTTTATTAAAACTCATATACCACTAATAAAAAAATTAATTTTTATTTCCTTTATTTTGTTGAATTTTAATATTGAATGCATTATTCTCTCTGCACAAGGAAAGATGAAAAGGGCGAAGCTATAAGTTCTTCTTGGTAACCGGAACTCATTGGTAGTATTTGGTCTCAAAATGAGAGAAACGCGGAATTGAACCCAAAAATTGGAAAAATACATTAAGCGAACGAGAAAGGAAGTGTTAAAATCAACTAAACAAAAACTAAATCTAGATAGATGATAGTAAATATATAGTAGATCTATCGACTATATATTCGTATAACCATATAGTGGATACTGTTCCTTGTTTTCTTTTCGTAGATTTTAACACTTCCTTTCTTATTTACTTACTGTATTTTTCCAATTTTTGGTTTAAATTTCCTGTTCTCTCATTTTTAGACCAAATACTACCATTGAGTTCTGGTTACCTAGAATAAATTATAGCTTCGCCCTTTCCATCTTTCTTTGTGCAGAGAGAATAATGCATTCAATATTAAAATTTCCTGTTTTTTATGATATGGTTCAACTTCCGAACAAAATAAAGGAAATAAAAATTAGTTTTTTTATTAGTGGTGTATGAGTTTTACTAAACAACCCATCAACTATTCATTATATGTAGTTAAGATTAGGTATATATTATTTTAGTTTATAAAACAGGTATTTAGATGTATTAATATGACTCATTTCCGGGGAAGTATATACAATTTAAATTACCCCTAAGAATCAGTAAATATACAAAAAAAGTGTTAAATTACAAACGTTAAATAAAAAAAGTCAAGATATTCAGCAAAGTATTTTTGAATTAAGTTTTATTATTATAATTATATCATTTTTAAAATAGAGCCCTTCTTAAATGACCTAGAATAATAGAATATAGAAATAATAAATTAAATTTTAAAAAATAAAATAATAAATTTTAAAAAAATGGTTTAATTTTTTTGGACAGTTAAATTATTGCATTAATATATGTTCGTTAATATAATCAAATTAATATACCAAAAACGTTATTATAGCACTATAACTAAGACATTTATGAGTACTGAATGGTGTGGTATAGGCCTGTAGGCACCCACGCCAGTACCGCTTTTCTGCAGTGTAATAAGTGCATTTTCTAAGAAAATGGTTCAAATATTTTAAAAAGTAATCAGTGTTTTAGAAATAGGGATATGTTCTCCAGATAGTTTATTTCGGCACGTTTTGCCTTTTATTGTTGGCAGTTTAATTACAAACGACGTTTGATTTACAACTTGAAAATTTTGTTGTTGAAAAAATTGATTTTACTGGTGTTTTTATTGCTTAAGCCAATTATTTTTTAACATTGTTTCATGTTTTATTATTGTCTGACTATCCAGCTCTAATAAAAGACCAACTATGACGAAATTAAGGCAAATGCTGATTCTCAGTGACCAAAAAACTAACTGAAGTCAAAGTCGTCAGTCCGCCATGTTTGAACGCCATTTTGGGGCAATTCGCTCACTTTTTTTGTGGGAACATTGGCTTTTTTTTAAATAAATAGTTACAAGGAAAACAACGATATGCAATTTATAGTGATGTGGGAGGGGGAGGGAGGTGCACGGTAGGGGTGTCTGGCTCACCCTGGCACAGTCCAGCAACCCGGCGCTGTTTGGCGCCCCACTTGATAAATAATTAATAATAAATAAATAGATTAACTTAAATAGAACCAATTCTTGGACTGAGTCATTGATTTAAGTACTTTTCATATAAATTATATAAAATTAAATATTTTGCTGAGCATTGTTATTATATATTTTTAAATATTATTAATGGTAATAGTCCACTCACTTATGTCTTTCGTATAAAATAATTACAGCCCTATTGATAAATACACTTAAATAAAATAAAATTGTATACTGATTTGATCACCTCTATCAAGGGCAGTGATATCTCCGGTCTGTTCTACCATGGAGGAAAACTGTCGACGTTCAGCCGGTCGTCGACATGTTTCTCTAACTTTTACTCCGATAGAACTTTTGAGAGTTTTGTACTTTTGTTGAGGAGCACTAACAGATCGCACTGTTCTATAATGTATGCAATGTTCCATTAGTATGTTCTCTAAAATCATTATTATTTATATCTTTTAAAACAAAAATATATAAATATGTAATTAGTTATTTGACAATAATTACTTCCAATTAGCAACAATTGAATATATTTCTTCAATTGGGATTCGATCATTGGGATTGTGGTTATGAAAATGGGAGTAAATATCCCGAAACGTAAACTTGTAAACATGTAACTTTGATAATACAAGAAATATATTCAATTTTTGCTAATTGAAGTCATGAGCGTATGTGGCTTTAGTGCCCTCTCTTAGTCTCCACTGGATCCCAATCCTAGTGATGCGGCTGAGAGAGAAGCGCTGGGATCTCTTGGAGTCTTACCTTATCCTCCACAAGTGGGGGAAATGGCCCGACTCGGAGCTCCCTCGGCTGACTGTAAATATTGTAAATAAATATGAATGTGTTTTTATTTATTTATTTTTTTATTTAATGTTGTACCATGATCGATTTATTCTGTTACTCCAAGTTTTATTTTGTTATAATCTTGTTTTTCTTTTATTGTATATATGGCATGTTTGTATTTCATTCATCCTAAATGCTCAATGCCCTTAATTGAGGCAAAATGTATTTTTTTCTAAATAAAAAAATTGTTGCTAATTGGAAGTAATTATTGCCAAATAACTAAGAATATTATACAACTTCCCAGAAAAAGAAAAAAAGAATAAATATGTAAATTAATTGCGTTAGATAAATTTTACTTTAAATTTATTTATGTTGCCACACGAATTATTAAATAGTCGGTAGGGATATTAATACAAATATGACTTAAGGGTCGATTCATGCCAAAGTGTGTGGTGTTTTTAGAAAAGGACGACTCTTCTTGGTTAATCTTATATCCTGTCAGTACATCCATTTTCTATATATGAGTATTATTGTTAGAATTATTTGTTTGTTCTGGTGCAGTGTGAGGATTCTTCCTGAAGAGCTTGATCCATTCTGCTTGGTCCTCTGTAAGCATTCCTTCCCCTTCTCTAATTCAGATTCCTAGCCACAAACGCCTTCGTAACACCTTCCTCTCAGGTTTTCTTAAGGCGTACTCCTTCTTCTCAGGAACTCCTTCTTCCACTCACCTTCATGTCATAGGACAGCCTAGCTATTCTCTCTGGCGTCCGGGAGACATGTCCAAACCATCACAGACGATCCTCCTCAAGGATTTCATGTAATGTTAGACCGAGATTGTTCTTTATCGTTGTTTTTTTCACCCTGTCTCGGCGAGTTTTTCCTTTAGTTTTCCAGAGAACCTCATTTCCATGTCTAGGAGTTGGATTATCTGATTGTTGCTTAGGATCCATGACTCACTGGAATAAATTAAGGTAGACAGAAAAGTTTACCTGTGTTCTACTTTATTTATATCTTTCGAAACTTAAGACTTTCCGACAAAGAAATTACGCTGTGCATCAATAATGTCCCTACAGCAGCTATTCTCTCCCTTAATTCACTGTCTATGATGCCTCGCTCATGTATATGTGCTCCAAGGCATTTGATTGTTTTCATTGCCTCCAGTTTTTACCCTTCTAACTTCACTACTCTAATTTTCAAATTAAAAAAGAAGCAAAAAAATATCGATAATAAAATCTAGAAGAAAAAAAATTGGTACTAATAGGGGTGAATGCCTCAATAACACGTAAAAACCAAGGCAGTCTCCATCTTGTTGTGTATGGATGATGGTAACATATTGATGATACCAAAGTTATAGGATGGCAGTGGCTACGTGATCGATCCCTCCAAGATAGCTCTAGTTTAGCTTGCTCTTAAAGAGAAACCTAAACTAGAGCTGAGGGGCGTGGCTCATACCCTGGGGAGAATATCTGGGAAGTCGTGTCCCACACCACTAGCCCTTGATTGATTGGTCCACTGTTATCCTCAGTGGCTCGAAACGGCTCCTTCCAGAATCGGGTACTGGGTGTCCACCCAATAGTCATATTTGCGCTACTAGAAGTAGGAAACATGGATGGAGGATTGTGGTCGATGACTTCCAGGGATTATATCGACGCCCCGCGCTGCTTTAAATGTCAGAAGAGTCGATGAATAAGTTTATTACAGAGACTTACCTCCCTACTAAGATAATGAAAAGAAGGAGTTCGTAAGATACACTACGGTACACTCTCTCTGCACGGCCATGTGCCCACCATGGAACCATTGATGTGAGAGACGGTTCTGCATTTTAACAAAAACTGTGGGTCCTACCCACTTCTCCTTGGGTAGGAGTGAAGAAACAGTACCCGGAAGGCCACCGAACATAACAGAAGAAGAAATTGAAAAATTAATCAAAGCAGGCTATGTGCACAGACATTTATTTCAATGTAAAAAGAAAAACTTGCAGCAGTGATTTTTTATGCAGGAATGTGTATAAAGTCACTCCTGCAAACTCCCGAACTACCTTAAAGGTAGAGTAGGAAGGAAAATAAAATAATATAAAAGTTATAAGCAATTCAAACTTTATTTGTGCAGTTTTTATGAGGATCGCGGGAGCAATAAAAGGGATTTTGAGAAACTATTAAATTTAGTTCAAAGTAAAAAACATCAGACCAGAAGTAGTCATAGTATTTATCGGGTGCCTTTCTGGACATTGCACAGGCATTTGACCGGGTATGGCACTCCGGACTGCTCTCCAAGCTTAAAATCCATTTACCTCAGTCCTTGTACCTAGTCCTCCGATCCTACCTCTCTGACCGCTCCTTTCGAGTTCGCTGTGGAACAGAATTTTCCAATATCTACTCCGTTAAAGCCGGTGTTCCCCAAGGCAGCGTCTTGGGTCCCGTGCTTTACATCCTCTTTACTGCTGACATCCCTGTTCATCCCGATACTTTTCTTGCAACATTCGCTGACGACACCGCAATCTTATCATCCAACTCTGATCCCGAAATAGCATCCTTAAATCTCCAAAGTCATCTCACCTTGATTGAGCACTGGTGTAATAACTGGCGCATTAAAGTTAATGAATCTAAATGCCAACACATTACTTTTACACTCCGACGCAATTCCTGTCCACCAGTACTCTTTAATTCCATCCAGCTTCCTTATTCAGACACAGTCCGGTATCTTGGCTTTCATTTAGACCGAAGACTAACTTGGAACCCGCATACTAGACTCAAAAGACAAGAACTCAACCGACGATACGGCCAACTATACCGACTACTAAGCAGAAAATCTAAACTTTCCATTGAAAACAAGCTACTGATCTACAAGACAATACTGAAACCTATTTGGACTTACGGACTAGAACTGTGGGGATCAGCAAAATTTTCTAACATCAAGCGCATCCAATCCTTCCAGTCTAAAGTCCTTCGAACAATAGTCGATGCTCCTTTCTATGTATCCAACAAAATCCTACATCATGACCTTAACATCCCATTTGTCCTAGACCTTATCCCAGAAAAATTCTCCAAATTTCACCAGAACCTTACTTACCACCCAAATCCTCTTGCACAATCCCTATCAAGCATCTCCCATCCCTATAATCCTCCAAGAAGGTTGAAACGGCAGTGGCCTCGCGACCTTTTGTAGATTATATAAATTGGAGTTCTGGCAATGGCAAGATTCTTCACTCAAGACATGTGTGTATGTGGCTAAAGTGCTCTCGACCAATCTCCGCTGGCTTTAGTACCAGTGACGCGGTTGGGAGAGTAGCGCAGGGTTCTCCTGGAGTTCCCTCGCCTGATTGTATATAGGTATGCATGTGTTTTTTTTTTTTTTTTTTCCTTAGTTTTAATTTTCTTATTTTTTAGGTTATTTTATTTTATTGTCTATTGTATATACTTTTGATTATTATTTTGTTCTATTTATTTTATTTTTTTGTACATATGGTGTGAATGTCATCCTACCTCACTATAACCAATGTCCAACAGACAGATTGTTATAATACTCAATAAAGAAATTTAAAAAAAAAAAAAAAAGTATTTATAAAAAATGTAAAAATTAAGTTGTTGGAAGGTAGCTTCGAAAACCAATGTTAAAAAAACTTTTTTTAAAAATATATTTATATAAAGGCTCCAATAAATTATTTGTTGACTTATTAATTTTATAAATATGTATCCTTCAAATTTAATTATAGTTCTATGGTTTAATTACAATGGAATAATTATGATGGTATCGGAAAGAATCGCCTAATTCTTGAACAGTCTTTCCTTCATTACAGTAATAAAACATCATACTGCATTACATTATCTACAACAACCAGACCTAACTTAAATTGGCACTGCTTTAAAGTACAAGGATTGAAGGTGTGCTTACCGGTCAAATTGATCCAAAGGGTTAGCAGCGTCAACTTTATTCCATTGGCTGTAAATGCTATTCCATTCCTCCATATCATTTATAAACCTGAATCCATGATACAGGAAAGTATTATAATATTTTGTAATTAACTTCAAGTCAACTTCTTCACGGTATGTCATTATTCCAAGTTCTTTATCCGCATACTTATACTGAAAAAGAATACACACACACTTATATATATATATATATTTTTTTTTATTAAGGTACTAGGTCATTTAATTAGGTATAATTCAATAAACTACAATGATCTTAGTGTTTATTCTTGATGCTTTTCGATCCATTTTTTTTCCTCTTAAATTAACAATTGGATTCTGTTCAGTATTTATAAAATTGAGCCACGACACCTCTAGCCTGTGTGGTTAGCGCGCTATAGCAGATTGGTTAGCGCGCTGTACTAGTAAAGCAAAGATCACAGGATCGAATCCCGGCCCTACTTCCTAATACGGCTGGTCCCCGCGGGAAGTTTGACCATTACCCTCTCAATTGGGGAGGCTTACAGGTGTAATACTTGTAAAAACAGGCTATACAAAAAAAAAAAAAATATATTGTATACATTCCATACTCTTCCACAAATGCGCTTCAGTTACAGTAGCAACTTGTTATCTGAAATAGTTTTTAAGATGTTATATGTTTTTCCAAGAAAACTATGTTTCTTTTCCCATAAAAATGAAAAATTTTCTAATATGGCTAAACATTTTTCTTCTTCTGTCAAAATTTTCGGAATTTATGAAACAATTCCTATAAGATAACGGATCAGCAGTAGAATTTATCTAGGCGATTACATCAGCCAAAACAAAGTAAAGAAAAAAAATCTGGTGCGCGTAGTGTTTCCCTAAATCAAAAGGCCAATACCATGGCCACCTAACTGTTGCAAGACCAAGACCAGGACTAGTAAAAAAAATCGATTTTTTAAATAAAAATTAAGGCAAAATATTTACTAATACTTGACAATCTTAGTTACTATATGTTAATAATTGGTAGAACCAATATACTTTTGCATTTAACTCCACTAATTTTTCATTCAGGCGTAATTAGGTTTCTACTATCTAAAGAATTGCAGTAATATCTCTATATTAATAAGCTAATAAGTAACTAAAGACTATTACGAGGCTCTTGCGCAAGACCAAGACCATGATTAAGATTCGTCTCGGTCTCGCATTTGGGCAACTCTAGGTGCGCGCAACGCACAACATTCACTCACCGCTCAACTTTGAATCGAAATTATTTTCTGGTCATATGGGCTATTATAAAATTTTTGAATTTCATTTTTAACCGAGCTAAAGCTAAAAGCTTACAGCTAACAAATCATACATACCATTAAAATAACAAAAGTCCTATTTATTATATCACCGATTGATTATGGGTTGCACGATTCGTTGATTATGGATTGTAAGATCCGTTGATTATGGGCTTTACAACTATTAGTTTCTAAACAGTCATTTTCTATTGCAAAGTTTGCTAAATTGGAATTAAGAGATTTACATTGTCTGTCATAGACAGGTCAAAAGTTGTCACAATAATTTGAAGTGGATACTGTTGGTATTACAGAGGGAAAATTCATCAAATTATTCACTAATTTAATTTTCTAAAAGGTTACATGATGATTTTTCGGAATAAACGGACGATAGATACATAATTATTTAAATATAATATCAGATCTAGAGTTATTCGAGAACCATAACAAAATACAGTAAATATATTTAAGGTTATAAACATATTCATGAAATATTTTAATATTTCACTTCTTCTTTCACACAAGTACAATGAAATAGTATCTTAAACAGTTTCATTGCCTTGAATCTGTGGATTTTAAATACTTTTTCAACTAAAAAAAAAAGTTAAATGTTTACATTTAATAAGAAACTTTCATTTAATTTCCTTCATTCATTCAATTTAATTTAATTTAATTGAAAACTTGTGATGTACGATAAATAATGTTAGTTTTTAGAAATTATTATTTATGTATTTTTCGTAACTCTCCGTTGTCTTCTACAATGTTCTCTATTAGATATTGTTTTTTTCAATTCTCCGCTTTCCAATGATATATTATACGTATACCTTCTGACTATTATTTCCGGCCTAAATATGTATTTTTCTTTTTTTCTCCTATATTCAAATATAAAATTCTTTCAAAAGTTATATTTAACATTTTTTCATAACTCCTAACAATGAGAAATAGTTATTATGTATAATAAACCACAGTAAACTACAGTAAATATATTTCAGGTTATAAACATATGCTTTATACATCCATGAAATGATATGATATTTCACTTATTCTTTTATAAAAATGCAATGAAATAGTTTTTCATACATTGGTATTGGCTTAATTCGGTGGATTTTAATTACTTTTTTATCAATCTTAGAAAAACATTTAAAAGTTTACATATAACAAGAAAATTTCATTTGATTTCCTTGGAAACATGTGATTTATGTTAAATAATGTAAGTTTTCTGAAATTATTATTTATGATGTTTATGCCTCTCTCCTTTCTATATTAGATATTGTTTTTCTGAAATTCTCAGCTTTCCAATGATATATTTTACTTATACCTTCTGACTGGTAGCTCTGTAAAGTGACATCAATGAGGACATTAAAGACCACTTTATTATAGAATGATACACCGAGATTAATCAAAATCGCTAGAGCCGTTTTCGAGAAAATTGTAAAAATGTGTTTCAGTGTTGATATGAAGTGGCATTTCCGGTTAGCCGATTTTAAGGAAAAAGTTGCTGTCACATCTAAGGCATATACTTATCTTAAATACCTGTCGTACGAAACTTCCTACCTGTATCTAAATAAATTTATACCTAATATAATTTATTCCTCTCCGTCATAGAAAAATGGAGGAAAAGTATAGAAAAAAAAAAAAAAAAAACTAAAGAAAGTGTGAACGTAAAGATTGAAGAGAAATTAAAAATTCATCTTCATTTAGGTTGATTAGCTCTTCTTCTCTTATTACTATGTCCTCTTGATAGTAATATAAGTAATAGATATTTGTAATTGATTTGATCAATAACCTTATACAATAAATTTTTGTTTTTACAACATATTAAATGCAAAATATATTTTATTTATTATTGAAAAAAAAATAAGTTGGTTTTATTCTATATTAATAAAATACGATCTTGGGAAAGAGACTATAATAAGTATTAGGAGAAAAAGGCCTTTTCAGTCTCGATAAATAATGACTTTATTTCAAATTTATCCAAATTTTCGCTTCTTCACGCATCTTCAGGGATAATCTGATTTTACGTGTAATTTAAATTTTCATTTCAAAACAAGAGGCGAAAATTAGGATAAATTTGAAGTAAAGTAATTAATATCGAGACTGAAAAGGCCCTTTTCAACTAATTCTGTATTAATTCGGGATGTCCGACAAGCTATAATAAATTCCTTTTTTCAAATATCTTGCCTAAAGTGAAAGTTTCCCAGAGCTTACTAATTAGTTTTAATTTAAGGCCAATTTTTGAGTTTAAAAGATTGATGGGGGTTCGGTTCGGTTTGGAAACAAAAGAAATTGTTCATTTCGGAAAACAAAATTATTAAGATTATAATATACAAATATTATTTTCCCTTAATAATAATGATGCCAATTCCTATTTGAGCGCTCTATTGGTTTTCAGAGCGACCTTCATTTGTTCCCGGACCCATCTTATTAACTCTTATTTCTCCTTTAATAATCAAATTCCTTCATACTTTTAGTGTTTGGACATTTTTTTATTGCCAGTAATAATGTGAAATGATTTATTATTTCAAATAAACAAAATCGAAGGTACTTTAGAGGAAGAAATTTTGGTAATTCGGCATTTAAACTGTGTCTGAATTTTTCAATGAGGAAAATACCTGCCTAATACTAAAGATCTCTTTATTTCACATTAGTATAGCGAGTTTAATCAAAATCAGTTTGTTGAGATGTTTTGAGAAAATGAGACTCGAGATTCTGACAACCTGTATATAAATTAAAAACTATGGCCGCTTTCGAAAAAAAAAATAAGAATTTTTTTCTCACTTTACGATGATTTGATGCATAGTTTGGAACGAAAGCATATTGTGAACTAGTAAAATTCTGTAACAAAATAAAATACTTTTCAATGCCGATTTTGAAAATGAACTTATTCACAAACCAGTTTTATAACAACTTAAAAAAAAAAAATTATCAGATCCCTTGGACGTTTCTATCTAGCAATAGACTCATCTCAATATCCTATAAAATCGTTTCGCTATAGAACCAAGCTATTCTATATTAACCTATCAAATCTTATATTAATTTAATTATTACATCAAATTAATTCATATTACATACCTCACCAATTAATATTTTTCTTTTATTCGGATTGTCTTTTGGTTCATTGAGCAAATCTGTATAAAAAGTCTTACCAAACAGCAACATCATTCCTGGTAATTGATTAAATATATTTTTAGTTATAAGTTCTTCATCAGACTCTCTGAAATTGTATGCAATGTTCTTAGAACATAAATGTTTTTCACGGTTTGTTCAAATTGTCAATGTTAAATGTGATTACCAAAATAATTCCACCTGCCATATTCGGGAATATGAGAGGTTCCTCACTCTACCTATGGTTATAGGTTCGGTTAGGGTCTAAGTTCGGCGATTTGACATGGACACGTTTCTAATTAATTACTGTTTTAATTTTATATGATTGTCTTACGTATGTTTCGAGGTAGGTAAGAGAAGACCTCGATACTGTATGTTTCAACATGAAAGGACTGTGTAGAGAAATGAGAAATATATGTACAAGGACGTTATAAGAACTAGAATCAGATAGTTTAGAGGAATCAGTCATTGTCTTTAGCACCAATCAGACAGGAGCTAATTGGAAGGAACAAGTCTCACCATTCGTTGATACAATCTGAGATGAACGGACTCTCAGACCTTGTAGGCCAACAAATAAATCTAGGATCAGTCTGAACACCGAGAATCGGCATGGAAGATAAAAAGTATATATAAACTCCAGATGTTCTAGGAAACAAAGTCTTAGTCGTTCTTTGTGGCGAAGGTGGGTGAAATTTGAGTGTAATAGAAGTAACTTGTTTTTCCCTGAATTTTAGGTATGAGTTATGATTAGAATGCAGGACTTAAAATAAAAATGGGGTCGTGGTGGCCGAGCAGGCGAACGCGTGTGTAAAACTTGCGTTGCCCAGCAACCAGGTAAGCAAAGCTAATGATAAAATAATTACGAGTTCGCGTTCCGCTGACGAGAAGGAGGAAGGCTTTTAACTGTACCCTCAACCTCTGGCGCGAGAAAAAACCCTATAGCATAAAAGGTGAGAAAGAGGTGGCAAAAATAGCAAAAAAAAAGAAAAGAGGACTGGCAGTACCCAGCTGTACCTCTTACGTAGCTTTATTTTACTTAAATAAATATGTAAGTAGGTTCCTCATCAAGAACCTTTTCAAACCTCTTCTGGTATTCTTCGGTATAAGGATTGTGGTCATTTCTTTTATTAGCTGGTTGGAGTGTCTTTTCAATGTATCATGGAATCGTTGTAGTACGTCCGTATGGGTTATTAGACAGTCAATGTGTAAAGTGTTGTTATTCACTTTGTCGTAGTATTTTTGACTGAAAAGTAATAAGTTTTTTTTAAACATCAATCCTCTGTATTGTACTCCACTAGCGGATCCAGGATTTAATTTTGGGGGGGCTTCAGCCCGAAAGCTTTTTTTTTCTTAAAAATGAAGATAATTACTTGGGAAAAAAAGAAAGAAACTAACTATCTGTATGAAATGGTGTTTAAGTGATTCCTTAATTCCTTTTAAATGTAATTACACGAACAATAATACTTTAAGACATAATTTTTTAATATTTTTTTCCATAAAACATGGTTATATTTTACCATTTTGGGGGGGCTTCAGCCCGAAAGCCCCCACCCCTCCCGTAGATCAGCCCGTGTTGTACTCTATTCGTTTTTGGAATCCGGTACCTAACCTATGTATACAGGAGGGTGTGTTTCTAGTCTTAGGGTAAATGTGGTACGTTGTGACTTTTGATAATTTATTTGAGTCTTCCAAATTTTGTTTATCTTCCAAAAACTGATGCCAGTGCAGAATTTTCTTGTCTAGTAATAATAACAATGTCGTATGAATAGGTTGCTGTAAGGTAGGTACTTTGAGGAATGTCATGTTTGTGGATTATGCAACCTCGGGAATTCCGCTTCCCAAAATGAGCCAATAAGTCGGTGAATTTAGAGTTATAATATAAAGAAAATGAATGATAGACCAGAAATTGTTACCTTTTGTGGTACAAAATCTTGAACCCCACCCTTGATGCATGCCATTTTAGACATCACCTTCGACGAAGCATCTTCCGAGGTGTTTAAAGTATTGAGAAAACTTCGTAGAATGAAGCTTGAATCTAGTGAGGCAGTAAACTGAGGCAAAAGTTATTATGTGGTGTTTAGTATATAGAGTGATTCGTGTGAATTGCATATCTGGTCTGATATGCATCTTAGGTAGATCTTAGGTAGATCTGTCGTTTCATAGGTCAGGTTCTGTTAATAGTGTTGTCTGGAATTTATAAATTTTGTCCTTGATGTGCAGGTGTATTTCAGTGACAAGTACTATATCGATCCTTTTTTCGTGCAAGTAAAACTGAAGTTCATAACTGGGCTACTTCAATCCGTTGGCATTCTGTTGGCAGAAATGACAGGTATTCGACTATTAACCGATTATGGTCCACAATTGATAAGGCTTGTGTAACCTGAGAAATATGTTGAAGAACACTAAAGTCGGGTTCGATGAGGTTAATAACTCGTTAATTGATGCAAACAAAATGTTAAAGCCATTATCAACCGGAGGTACCGGCTGGAAAAAAAATCATCTCGGGTCTTAGTGATTTAAGGTTATGAAATATCACTTAATAAACCCACGATATATATCCCCTAACTTAACTATACTGACTAATTAATATGAAAACAAATTTATATCACTTAGGAAGTCTTACTTTGCGGGACGGATTGATACATCAGGTCCAATATGAATGCGTAGTGACACATACATTCCAAGGAGATATTTTTCTTTAAATTCACGTATTTTCTTAACACTTCTTTTTTCATTTTCTAGATCTGTTATTGCTAAGTAGTGATAGAAATGTTTTTTATATGGTTGTTCTAAAAATAAAAACATTAAATGAATATATAGCGACACAATGATTTATAATTAAATAAAATGCAGTTAAATTATAACATTTATAATTGAATGATATCCAGATTTGAGATAACTATAATAAAGATTTTATTTTTCTATTGGCTTTACAGACCTCGTTGGTCTTTCACCACCTAAATCAGCCTTCTACACCTCTACGTTTCTTAGGCTCTTGCTGTAGAGTTTGCTTATGCGCAGCTCTGCAGATATTTGTTGACCCTATCTATTCATATGGGTTTTAATTTCTTACATGGTGGGGGTGAGACGAACCAGTAATACGTATTAAATAAGCGATAAGATTTCTGAGTAAAAACCTGACAATCCGAAGATTGTTAGTTCATATCCCGGTGGCAGGAGTTTTAAACTCTGTCTATAATCCACTGTCCTCATCCCTGACTCGAAAAAAAATCTTGTGTTGCCGAAAACACAAGAAAAGGGAGGGAGGTCTTACATGGCCTCTTGCCTCCTATTGAGTCATTCATTTTTGTCTAGAGGGTTTCCAGATTGCTTGGAGCTAGGCCTGGCACCTGTTATTATCTCCTTCTTGGCTTCATATCATGATGTATAGATTGATAAATTTGTGTAAATAATTCATCATTGGTCCTTCTCCTTCATGTTTCAATACTTCTTTATATGGCGCTAATTAGTCTCTATTTATTTAAAAATCGTTATGCTCTGTTTTTCTTTTCAGAGTATTAGTGAGACTCTAAATTTCTTCTTGATTGCTTGGGAGGGGAGGGGATCCGGTAAAATAAATATTAAATTATTAAAATAGTATTTTATTTGTTACGATGACGTTTCGACCCATTTTGTAGGTCTTCATACAGGCTAAAAAAGACACAAATATAAAAGGTACATGACGAAAATAAAATAAATGAATTATTAGTAGATATTAAATGAGAAACAGTTGTCTGATAAAGAAATAATAAGATGATATATCAGTGATATAGTGGGTGGTATTGTTTTTAAAAATATCCAGGATTACATATACAGAAGATATAAGCAAAATATCAAGTATTTTATGTATAGAAAATACAGGCAAGAATAGAAAACAAGTGTGAATAAAAAGAGGAAACCTAGGTGAATATAGACAGTAAGTTAAAAGTAAACAGATTGTGATGAAAAATATAAGATATTAGTGGATAACAAACTAGTAAAGGTTAAATTTGATAACAGTAGATTAACAGTTAAAGAAAATGAGGGTTAACGAATAAAGAAATTCAAAAACGAATAAGTAATGATCTAGTAAAGATAAATATGATAGGTTAAAATGAGCTGGTAAAGGTAATTTCAAGAATAGCAAGATAGGATAAAATGATCTAGTAAAAGTAAAATAAGAAGGTAAAAAACTGATTTATTATAATATCAAATGAATAAAAATGGTTAAGACTTAGAGACGTCGAGACCTATGTGCAGGATGTTTAGTTATTGGCATCTATCACTAAATGTTTACCACAAGACTTTAAATATTTTATGAATTTAGATTTTAAATATTTGATAAATTTCAAATAAACTACAAAAACTGATATGCAAATATTTGGATGCATTTATTTTCCGTTCTTCTACTCTTCTCTATTTAACTGCCAAGAGAAAAATCTCACCTTATATCAAGCAGGCTTTATTGATATTTTTTAAAGGAAGATTCTACCACTTTTTTTCGCAAGGTATTTAGTTTTTTTTTTTATTATTAATCCACTCCAATGCGATGTAAAAGAACTTTTGCTTAGATAAATATTCCAATGAGTATAGCAATAACAAACAATTTCAAAATCAAAAGAATAATAACTTAACTTTCGAGAAATATTGCTTGGAATAATAATTAAATAAGATGAATAGAAAGAAATAAGGCCAGTGAACTTATTATTTATGATTTACTTTTTTTAAGTTATTAAAGTTAATTTATTAAAAGATACATAAGTTTTGGATATTAAAATAATGAAAAGTTCACAAGCAATTATGATTACTATATTTCTCAGGGACATACTTAAAGGTGTACGGTCTGGAGTTATAAGAAGTATGTATTCGACGTAGGGATCTTCTGCGTATACTTTAGACAATATTTTTTCAATGAAACATCCTTCGTAATGAACATTCCATACTAAAAGATGAATGAAGCGAGTGTTCAAAGAATTATACATTCGTACCCTGAAAAATACATAAATTTGCCAGTCAAAATCTCTCTATGGCAGGCAATGAAAATCTCGTAATTTATCTTTAGTAAACTTTACAATGGAAAATAACAGTTTAATAACTAACAGGCGTACAATCCATAATGGTTTATAGGTTGAATATAGAGATATACTTTCTCTCTAGCTAGACATATTTATATATATATATGTGTGTATATATATATATATATATATATGTGGTTTACAAAAACAGATGGAGTATCGAGGTTTTTATTGTATACCGTTGATATAATTAATAGGATTTTCATTATTTTAATGGTGTTAATGATTTATTAACTGTAAACTCTAAGCTATTAAAAAGTACACTTCAAAAATTTTATAATTGCTCTACGTTGCCAGAAAATAATTTCTATTCAAAGAAGAGAGGTAAGTCAATGTTTTTTGTAGCGTGCACAATATTTTTTGTTTATTGATATTTACAATTTTGCATTTCCAGGTAATAGGAGGAGTTTCTGATGTAATAGGAGGTCCCTTCGCCACCTTCTTTTCAGACGCCTCGGAGGATCGTCAGGTATTGTTTTGAATGAAAGGTTATGAACTAGGGGGTTGGGATGACCAAAGAGTTTGGAATTAAAAGAGGAATATCTAATTCGGGCCAAGTCTTCAACAAAGGAAATGTTGAGGTCTTTATGAATAATTTTATTGTGACATAATAAGGAACATTAAGGATTTTCCGGAGGATTTCAGATTGTAAGGGTGGTTGGTATACGGGAAGAATTAGTTGATTTTATCGAGCCCCAAAGCTCAATACACATTTCCAAATAGGACAAATGATTGTAATGTATGTGAGTTTTTTAAATAGAATATTTGAAGTTTAGAGCGTTTGTTAAGTAGGTTAGTGAATTTAATAAATAACTATATTTTGGCGTCGTTTCGAAAATGAATATTTTATTTATTGACTTAATCTCAAAATCGTCATGTATGATTCTCATTTTAGGAGCAAGTTTTCGTCCATTACAACTTTTACGTGATTAGTTAAGTCTAACTTGATTTTTTTTTCTCCATTGCTATACGGTGAAGATGTATTTGTTATAAATGTTATAATGAAATATTAAAATATTAAAGAATAGTGTGATTTTATAATTATTTAAGCAACTAAAATCTATGTAAAATGACAGTGCAACTTATTTCCACTCCTAAAGAATACGTAAGGCATTTTGAATTATATGTTTTTTTAAACTTTTGTTAACAGTGAAGTATGTTTATGTATTTTCAAACATTGCCCTGTCACTTTGATGTCATTACCAAGCAACTAACATTACATCAGATATTTAAGCGTAGAAAAGAGGAAACAGTGGGGAAATTTCTTCCGGGTGTGGCAGCAGCCATGGAGTTAAAGAACAGTCACCAGCGGATATACAGACCAGTTGGGGAGCCTCCCTCTACGCATTCGTTTCTTATACGTTGAGCACGTACCTATTGTAGTCATTACCACCGCGTATATTATTTCGCTACCTTTTCAAATTATTTCTTTATTATAATTCACGTTTGACTAAGGTTTGTAGAAAGTCAGTTGGAAAACAAAAATTATGATACTAGTTACACAGCGGTTTTGGCCGAATAAAATACGTGAAAATGTCATTACGAAGTGTAAAACCCGTTTCATTCCCACATCCGAATTATTAACTTTACTTATTTTAATTACTGAGCAAATAGCACTATTGATCTTAGCCATTTGCTCAGATAAAAGTAAGCAGGAATAGAAGGTATTTAGAAATGTATTTAAATACCGTCAGAATTATTAAAATGTTATCATAAAAATTTACCATAATCTGAGAATCATCCATGTATGTGTGTGCATATACATTTATAGGACTGCTTACTTACTGGTACATTTCATCCAGCCACTGCTCCCAGTCCAACATTGGTAAATATGGAACATGTGGGTAGTCTTGAATTGCTATAAAAGCAACCACATCTTTCAACTCGTTTAATAAAACCACTGGTAGGAGGCTTGATTCCCTGAACAAAATATTATTATTTTCGTTATAATATAACTATTAGTTCATGAATGTAAATATTTTTTAGTAATAAAAATATATTAAAAGTAGACTAAAATAAACACTGAAATGGAGTGATATTATTCATTTATTTAATTTTATAAATATAATCCTGTATAATCATCAAAGATCATAGTTATCACCTTAGATCAAACGATATGGTTAGCTATTGTATATAGATTACTGAACATCTCAACTTTCGATTGACAATGAATTACTGATCTACAAGAAACCTTTTTGGACTTACGGAGTGGAACTAAGGGGGGGGGGGCAGCAAAATTTTCTAACATCAAGTGCATTCAATCCTTTGAGTCCAAAGTCCTGAGGTTCCGTTCTATGTGACCAACAAAATCCTACACCATAATCTTAATATCCTATTTATCCTAGACCTTATCTCAGAAACATTTTTCAGAATCTATTAGAATATTATATATCATCCAAATCCACTAGCACAATTCCTATCTACCTTTCCATCCAATAATCCTCCAAGAAGGTTAAAAGCTCCAGTGACCCAGAGACCATAAGCACAGGGGTACCCAGAAGGGGGTTGTATGGCGTAAGTTCCGCCAAAAAAATTTTTGAGGGGGACACATTCTAAAGGGTTTTTGAACTTTTAAGGGGAGGAGGCACATTTTAACGGGGTTATGCATTTTAGGAATGAAAAGTTTCAGAATAAGGGGCGAGAAGAAATCATGGAACAAACCGCAGCAAGTGTTCCTCAATTATCTATGTTTTTGATCTATTATCTATGGTTTTTCTATTTGTACTTCCACTTCTGTTTATAAGAAAAGTGAGCGATGTTGGAAAGAGGGGGAGTAGGTTCTTGCGCCCTTGACCTTGAGGAGGGGGGGATGGCACCCCTGAATAAGCATATATTGGAGTTCTGGCAATGGTCAGATTGTCCACTAAAGCCATGTACGTCTGATTACAGCGCCTAACCTCAGCCCCACTGGTCCTTCATAACAGTTATGCGGCGCGAGAGGTGCTGGGATCTCCTAGAGTCATTGACTCGGAGTTTTCCTAAGTAAATGAATTTTGTAAATATTGTAAAAAGCATGTGTATAATTAGTTTATTCTGGTTTCTTTTTTTTTTTTTTTAGATTACTTTAGCTTCTTTTGTTTTATGTACATTTACTTTTAGCACTATTATTTTGCCGTTTGGTTCATTTTTATTTATTGATAGAGTGTGAATGAGCTACTATATCCCTATTACTCGTGTCCTTGAATTTGACAGAATGTAAGTTTCTCAATAAAGAATTGCATTAAAAAAAAAACACTGCAAATTGTTACACAATTGTTTATTATTTCCAAAGAATTGTATATCAAAAGTACTTTCTGCAGTAATTTCCTTGTAACATAATTAAAAATAAATAAAAGATGATCATTAGTAATTTGCTAAAGAAAAATAGACAACACTTAAAAAAAAAAATAAATAAGCTTTGTCATAGAATATATGAAAACTATTTAGAACACCATATCTTTGTATCACGATATGTTGTTTCGTACCGTCTATAGTGTTTACTTTCACTTTCCTTTGTCTGAAAATAAATGTAAATGAAAGTTATGTGAGGCGCGCACTGCACCAGTTTTTTTAAAATTAATAATTGTGAAAGGATATTTTTTTTACTATATTCCTTTGGCTCCAAGACTCTAAAACCCATCTTTTATTTTTTAAAAGTGATGTTAAGGACTAATAAATAAATAATTTATTATTCTCTCTCCCTTAATCATTTCCTCTTCTACCGCTGAGCGGTGTGAGGAGCCTTCTTGTAGAGCCGAATCCACAACTCTCGATCCAGAGCCAACTGCCGCCTCCTCCTCCAGTCAGTATCCCTTCTGCCAAAGGCCTCCTTGACACTAGCCTCCCAGGTCTTCCTGGGCCTTCTCTGCGGTCTTCTTCCCTCCACTTTACTTTCCAACACCATCCTGGACTAACTCCGCCAGCTAGATATAGCTACAGATCCCAAGCCCCGGCAAAGGAGGAGGGTCCCATTACAGCCTGAATGGGTGTATTCTTAGGAATGAAACACCATCTCAGGTCAGTAGCGGTGGTATAACATCTTCCTCGTGAAGTAATGGGAGAGCTGGCCTGAAAGCTCTAAAGGAGGCTATCCCTTCATCAGGCTCTGGGCATAGTAGGCTCATAACTTACTTGCCCGAGACCTATCTTATAAAACAAACGAAAGAGTATAGAGTCCAGCAGTTAATTTATTATTATTAACCTAAATGGGTGAGGTATAATTAAAAAATAAAAAATCGCAATGATAGCTAACGGAAGCAAATAGTGTTACTTACACTAAGTCTGATACGCTGTAATTTCCGTAAATAGATTCCGTCTCTGGCGTGCACAAGCGTTCAATCTGACTAATGTCTGCGTGCTCGGCTCTGCGCCAGGAATGGATCGGGGTGGTTTGGATGTGAACATTCGCCTGCCGTTCCGTATCGTATCGTATCGCATTGGCGTATCTTTGCAAATTTCTAATCTGGTCTTGCTGCATAAAAGAATAAATCAAACCAAGAGTATAAAGAAATGTCGGATATGTTTTTGTTAATGGAGCTTTAAAGTTAATTAATAACACATAGGAAGATTGTTATTAATACATCCGATGGTAGATAATAATCATTGCAGGAATAATTATCTATTTGTAACATTTTTTCAAGTATTTGTAACATTCTTTAGACGCGTTTCCACTTTATTTGTATAGAGTGAGTTAGATTGAGCCGTCAAAAACGATGTGTACGGCTCAGGTTAACTTGGTTGGATTCGACTAATTGAAGTGTTTTGTATATGGATTAAAATATCTAAAGAAAATAAAAATCAGACCTACGAATTGTTGTGAGAGAAATGTTCATCATTTCATCCTCTTGGTAAGGAGCTATTATTCAAAATTGTATCTTAACGCGACGCAGTGTTAGAGAGATGAAAAGGGAAAATATAGTTTGGAAAACCAAATGATAATGAGTTTTATTGAAGATACGGTTATAATTTATCCTATATATTATTTCTAAAAGGTGTTTTTTTGTCGGTACGCCATAACTTCGTCAATTCTTCATCAAATCCAATGATTGACCACTCATTTTGAAGATATGCTTCTCCTTCACATGCGAAAAATAGTCCCATCACACCGAAATTTCTGGAATAAAAGTTATGGAGGAAAAGAAACTCTTTTGCGAATAACTCAAAAAGTATGCATTTTTTTCTCCAATTTTTTCAGATTGTACTCATGATAATTAGAAAGATTACTAAATTACCTACAAAACAAAAAAAAAATCTTAAAAATAGGACAATTATTAACAAAGATACAGTCCATTAGTTTTAGTATAATTAATAATGTATTTCTGTCTTAAGATATAGCATTAGGAGTAGAATAGTATACTACACTTTTTTTCCTGGCTGATATATTAATTTTATTATTTCTTAAAGACATTTGGTCGTTCTTATATTTTAATTTTTTTAATAAATTAGAAAATCTCATGAGAGGTGCATTATTTTGTCTTTATTACTTTTATTATCTTTTCAATCAGCGTTTAAAAATAGGTCCTAGCAAAGAAATTTGTACAAATATTTTGGTCTATTATGTTTAATGGAATATTGTAATCGACCAAGGAAAAAATATTAATTCTTTCCTTACATAATACCTAGGATCTAGTTATTTCCATATTATTTTGCTATTTTTTAACTAAAAAAAAATTGTCTGTGAATTTTTCACACGGGCCAACTAGTATTCCATATTATTAATCTTGCTTTGTTGATGTCACTTTTCACTTCTATCGTGTGGTCTAAAGCATACACCTACATTTTTTTTTTATAATTGCATTTTTTTTTTAATGTGAATTATTCTTGCATGTAATAAATAATATGCCGTATGATAGTATTGATGTGGAGGTTTTAAATTAAAATTCATTTTAGGTTTTTATTTTCATTGATTGTTAAGTTCTTTTTTAATTTTTTATAAATGAATGACAATCAGTAAATAAAAAACTAAGTTATTAGAATAATCCTCCAGTATATTCAACGATCAATATATAAAATGCTTTTGCCATTTTATCTAATATTAATTTATCTTCAAGTATTTAGTAATCAAATGAGCTAGTGCAGGCCTCCTGTAGTAACCATGTGGTTGACAATGAGATCATCCCCCCTCCACAACGCTAAAGGGGAATAGGCACCTCTAGTGTATTCTATTGTATTTTCTGTAGTCATACTGAAGGATTGCTTGATAAGTTATTCTAGATAAAATGCATGAAGCTCAGGCTTATCGATTGATTTTTTGCCTTAGACCATACCAAAAAAAAAAAAAAAATGGATGACAGAACTGGTATATGCCCTTTATAATTTAAACCCTAGTTCCATTTTTTCCCCTCATATGCAATCTCAAAATGATTAGCTCGGTACATATTAGTTATCTTGCACTCCTATCTCATAAATATGATTTAAGAAATCTAGTCTTCAGGCGTGTTTATATTTATTGTAAAAGATGCAGGTACAATCAGAAACCTTGGAATGTATCCAAAACAGTAAATTTTCTCCTTTTCTCAAAAAAAGTAAGAAATGTAATCCCAATCTGTGAAAAAATCGAAAGTAGAAAAAATAAATCAAATGCTTGAACCGAATTGCTCACACATAGTGTTGCCCAAAATCGGTCTTGTGCTTGCACTTTGCAAGAACAAGACCAAGGCCGCCTATCTGTTGCAAGACCAAGTCCAGGACTGGTAAAAAATTTATTTTTTAAATAAAAATTAAGGCAAAATAGTTACTAATACTTGACAATCTTAGTTACTATTTTTAAATAATTGGTATAACCAATATACTTTTGCATTTAACTCCTTTAATTTTTCATTCGGGTTTAGTTAGTTTTCTCCTATCTAAAAGCAGTAAGCTAATAAGTAAATTCAAGACTGTTGCGAGACTCTTGCGCAAGACCAAGACCATGACCAAGACTGAGTTTGCAAGAACAAGACTCGTTTCGTTCTCGCATTTGGGCAACACTACTCATACAAATGGGTAACTGTAACAGTCTGTAGTGCCTAAGAGCTACCGACTATTTCATTTAATGGAACAACTTATAGCTAGTAACCATTCTAGATATACCTCTGAACCCACAAATTCAGTCAGTCGGTCAAAAACTGACTTTGTAGGCGAAAATTGAAATTAAAGAGGCTAAATTTGATGGTTTATATAACGGAAGAACTGACGGCTGAAATTTTGATATGATGTAAATAATATGTCCCTAAAAGAGAATTCACCTTGACTGACGATGTACTCTGTTGTGTTTTGAAAACATACGACGTCAAAATCATCAAAGTAAGCCAGTCGGATGCTATTTGGTTAAGAAAAAAAATCAAATAGTCGGTTTCTCTTCGTTTTTTTTTTTTTTTTTTTTTTTTTTCTGGGTGCTAAATCTGAATTTGATGCTCCTGAAATTTACCATTGCGCTCCAAGATATATGTAAAAAACAGCGAAATTTCCTAAGTTTATTTAATTTTCTAGAAATGACTCCAAAACTATGTATTTTGTCGAAATTATTATTATACACCAAGTAAAAATAGCTTTTTAGGCCAACGGGGGAGCAGTTAGAGAATGTTGACTGTTATTATTTCTTATTTCACAAGAAAAATCTGTTTTCGTCTGTTTTTCCCCAAAACTCACAATTTATCCATCTCTCGAAGATATTCATTATAATAAATTTGAAAGAACATTTTTCTTTTTTTGCATTTGCATATATTTATCCGCACCTGTCAATTATAACTATTGACAATCAGCAGATGTGCTGGCACAGTCATGAGAAAATAAAAAAAATAAGAATAAATAAATAAAATAAAATAAAAAGGCTTGATAGGCATGAGGAAAAGCAATACCCAGCGGCATCCCTTCCATGGCTTTTACTTACTTTCACACAATTACGTAAGTAGATCCCTCATCCAGACCCTTTTCAGTCGTCTTCTGGAGTTCTCAGGCATAATAGTCGTGGCCATTTCTTTAATTAGCTGGTTGGAGTGTTCATGTAATTTATTATGGAATCGTTTGTAGTAAGTTCGTATGTGTTCATTGATCGTTGGCATGTGTAAGTCAGTGTGTAAAGTGTTATTATTCACGTACCAGGGTGCTAGGGCAATTAGTCGTAGTATCTTAGACTGAAAAGTTTGAAGTCGTTTTATGTGTGTTGATTTTGCAATTCCATATATTTGTAGTCCATAAGTCCAGAGAGGTTTTAATAGGTATATATAAATATTTAATTTCTGTCTTGCTTTTAATTTGGAATGTCGTATTAGTAATGAATGCAATAGTTTTAATCTGTGATTTAATGATGCACGTTTTTTCTTTACATGTGGACCCCATATCATTCTTCTGTCAAACGTCAGGCCTAGATATTGTACTCTATCTGTTTGTGGAATCGGTATGTTGTCTAAGTATACAGCAGGCATGTGTCTAGTTTCGAGTAAATGTGATGTGTTGTGACTTTTGATAATTTATATGAGTTTTCCATAGTTTACACCAATCGTTAATTTTTTGTAAGTGATGTTGTAGGTTAAGTGATGCCTGTGTAGGATTATCGTGTCTAGTAATGATAGCAGTGTCGTCTGCGTAGGTTGCTGTAAGTGTGTGGATACTTTGAGGAATGTCATGTGTGTATGTTATGTACAGTAGTGGGGCTAAGATTGACCCCTGAGATACACCAGCTAAAATAGGTCGAATTGAGGATAGATCTGAACCATGTCGAACGGAGAAAAATCTGTCTGAGAGAAAGGATTGAAGAATTAAGTAGTAGGTTGGTGGAAGTATGGTCTTGAGTTTGAAGAGAAGCCCCTGATGCCATACTTTGTCAAAAGCTTGGGCGACATCCAGAAATACTCCGGTTGCATATAGTTTTCGCTCTAGTGCTGTCGATATGTAGGCAGTTACCCTGTGTAATTGTTGTGTTGTTGAATGTAATTTTCGAAACCCGAATTGATGGTCAGGAATAATCTGTTTGTCTGTTAATATACGTAATAGTCGTAAGTATAATAGTTTTTCAAATAATTTAGAACACACTGGAAGCAAACTAATCGGTCTATATGAAGAAGGATTTTTTAGTTTCTTTGTCTGGCTTTTTAATCATGGTTATATGAGAGTATTTCCACTGTATTGGAAATTTTGTGAATGCAATTGAAGATTGTGGTGAGAAACAGTAGAGCTTTCCTTGGCATTTGCTGGAGCGCCTCAGCATTTATCAAGTCATGACCAGGGGTTTTTCTTTTCGGTAATTGTCTAATTTCTTGTGCAACTTGTGATGGTGTGAAAGGAGGTGGTGGTAGTGTGAGCGGTAGTGGTATGTCTAAGTTATTTTGTACGAAAATATCATGTTCTGTATTAACGAAGTCCGTATGTGATTTAAAAACAGAGGAAAGATGAGTAGCAAAGAGTTCAGATCTTTCTTCGTCCGAAACAGCCCAAGAACCATCCTCTCTTCGTAGGGGTACTGACACCTCATGATGCTTTAAAAGATTCCTTGTGTGTCTCCATAAACTTCCATCGTCCGTCGAAAGGTTGTTAATAAATTGTCGTAGTTTGTGCTTTTGAATTTTTGAATAGGTCTTTTAAGTTCGTTGTTCAATCTGTTAAAAGTTTGTCTGTCTGAAGGAAGTCTATTAGTCTGCCACACTTTACGAGCTCTTCTCTTTGCCCTGATTAAGTCCCTTATGTACATAGGATAATGGGGCAAGTTCACTGCTCTTTGTGAGCTAGATGTTAATGAGGACCATGCTGCATCTTGTATACTTTTTGTAAAAGTTTCAACGGCTTCTTCTAGTTCCCCTTGATTTTTAATTGAACCTGGAACAGAAATATTGGTGTTCAAATGGTCTCTATATGCGTCCCAGTCCATGCAACCTGTTTTGAGCTTAGGTCTCTTTTGTGCTTCAGAAGGCGCGTCGAAGAGAACCATGTGCACCGAGGAGTGATCAGAGCAAAGATCAGAGCTTGTATTGACGGCAAAAGGTATGGTTTTAAGTCCTTTTGTAATAAAGAAGTCAAGTAAGTCGGAAGTTATGAATGGGGGGGGGGGTGAATTTGGAGTTATTGTGTTTAATGAAAGTTGATGGAGGACAGACCTGAGATTTCTGCCTCTAGGAGTAGACAACCTTGAACCCCAGCCTTGATGCTTAGCATTATAGTCTCCACCTGCGATGAAGCATCTTCCGAGGCGTTTGAAGAACTCAGAAAACATCGTGGATGTAAGCTTGTACCTAGGGGGACAGTAAACTGAGGCAAATGTTATAGTGTAGTGTTTAGTGTATAATGTTATTCCTGTTGATTGTATGTCAGGTGTAATGGGTAAGTCTATGGGATTGTGTTTTAGTGATTTTTTTACGAATATCGCTGTTCCTCCATGTGCAGTTTTGTCTGGATGATCAGTTCTATAAATAGAGTAATCCTGGATGTAAAATTTTGATCGAGGTGTCAGGTGTGTTTCAGTAATGAGTGCTACGTCAATCCGTTTTTCGTGCAAGTATAAGTCAAGTTCAGTACTGTGTTGTGTCAGTCCGTTGGCATTCCACAAAAGAATTGACAGAGAATCCACAGTTAAATTATTGTGGGACATAATTAGGGCACCAGACCTGTGTAAACTCTGACAGCTGTTGAAGAAGAATGAAAAGGGGCTGGATTAAGTTATTTAACCCATTAATTATATTATATAACTGGGAAGAGCCATTATCTACCGGAGGTACCGGCTGGGTAATGCCTCCCCTCATACCTGTACATGTTTTTTGGTTCTGGGGTGCTGAGTTGGTGCCCATTCCCCCAAGGCCGATGAACCTTCCCCCACTCCTCCTAAGATAGTTTATTCCTCTCTTCTTCTTAAAAACAGTGCAAAAGAAAGTAGAATTTCAATATTCGTAGATTATATACCATTACACATCCTGTGGTCTGTTCCATCATTTCACATGTATTTTGATTTGAAACTTTTCATTTTGAAAATTCGTAATCCCGTTGGATTCTGCCCCCCTCAAAAATTGCAAACCTCGCAAAAAAGTGCTCCTCTCATTGATTTTAATGACGCATCTTACGCCATAAAACCCACTTCTGGGCACCCCTGACTCTCCGAAGTCCTCGGCGTGACTTATAGAAAGAATATTATATAAGTAGAAAAAATATTATATAAGTAGAAAAAATATTTATATCGTGACATAGTCTTTGAGATGTATATACTACTGACAACGAGCAATAAAACAAACGGAGAATAACAATTTGAGATTATCAAACAACTATAACTGTTAAATGTTTTAGATATTTGATGACTGAATCAAGTAATACTATTTAGATATTCGACTGAAGGTATTTCATAACTCACCCAAACGGTTCTTGGAAGATAATTAAAGCTTACATCAGAAAAGGATTCACAGTCTAAAAGGGAAGAATCTTTAAAATTGTACTCTGATCTAGGTACGGGCATTTTTTTAATGAACAATCAACGATACCCGACAATAAGCAATGACAATATAATGAACAGATGATTTCATACAATTATTTTCTAATCAATACGCTATTTTTATGATTTGCTATTAATCTCTCGAAATAGTTGCTCAATAACTTCGTTAAGAAAGTATCATATTTATTGCGCTTAAACTACAACCTTAAACAACAACCATCTCCATTTAAACTACCAAAAACCAAAGAAATCCCAATATTGAGGTCTTGCCATTCAGTGGTCTGTCTAACGTAGAGCAGGTGGAGCAATTCGCTTCAGAAGGATAGAATAAATAATAATAAACCTGTTTCTAATAAATAAACAAAACACAATTATTATATTCATTTAATCACGAGGCAGAAAAACAATAGAGACGGGTGTTCCTTTTATTTTTAAAAGATGATAACAATTTAATCATAGAGGGCAAATATCTGTTTTAAACACTTTGAAAATCTGAGTTAACCAGAGTTTGAACTCGGCAGAGGGAAATAGGAGAGGAGAGGAAGGGTAAGGCCGAATGGGATACTTACCCGAAGGTCCTAATTTGGAAAGTTTAAAATTTCGAGTGATTTCTCATTTTTATTTAGGTAAAAATACATTTCCAGTTCCAACTACCCATTCATTAATCATTAAATTCCCAAGGATTTAAGATTTGAAGTAAAGCATAAGGAAATATTTGGAAAACGATGTTTGGACACTAAATTATCCGATTTAAACGATTTTTTTTGTTTTTAGGATTTCCTAAATTTTTTATGATCATATTGGCCTTGGATTTGAAAGAACGACTAGCTCCAATTTCAACATTTTTGATTGTTAATTTTAGTGATATTTCTAGTGGAAAATTTGTACCTTTATTCACAGTTTTATATTTCAACACTGAAATAATTTCTTCTGGAATCAACTTACTCAATGTCTGTACCGATATTACAAATTTTCCAACTAGAAATATCACTAAAATGACTTGCTATGTACTGAACATAGCAAATAAGTTTTTAAAACTTAATATGGGCTGCCTATTAAGCAAGCTATATTGCTCGGGTGTATTTCTGGATATAGCTCAAGCTTTTCATCAGGTAATGTATGGAACGGAAAGATATCATGAAAAGGGTTGATTCTATTCAATGTACAGACAAAACCCTTATTTAATTTATATAGATGATCTTGAACCTATAAATATATGTTTATTATTAACGTTTATTATCAACATTAACTGAGATCTCTGGACAAATTACTCAAGAATTTATAACTTTGGTTCTCCACAATATATTTTTTTCATTTAAAGCCTATGTTTTAAGTCAAGCAAACCTTAATATAATGTCAATATTTCAAAAATCTACAATAAGCCATTGATGAGCTTAATTCTGACAAAATTTCGTTGCAATGCGGACATACAGACAGACAAATTTTTTTTAAAAAGTAGATTTGGTGTCTGTAATGTATGAAACGGAAAGATATCATAAAACGGGTTGATTCTATTCAATGTACAGACAAAATCTTTATTTTATTTATGTAGATTATCAATGATAATCTTAAATACTTTTATAACTTTTCAATAATTGCCGAATCTCGATCATTACTGGCATTAAAAAGTAATGAGGCATATCAGTGGTAGTACGATGGACTTGAATGTATTACATCCAAACAGACATATCCCCCTTTTTTAAAATAAAAAAAAAATCAGTTATTAAAGAAAATAATAAGATTTTAATTTATTATTTTTTCTAGTAATAATTCCTAAAATTTTTACAGCAATAGTATTAAAATCCCTAACAATCGTTTATTGAACTCAAGGAATCTGTAGATGTTGGAAACATGTTTAGATGGGTAGTATATAGCATATAACATAACTACGTAACCGTACAAAATGAATTTTCCACAAATAATTTTTTTTCTTCAAATTTGTGGATAATCAGATACTTGCTCAATCTGTTCAATTTCATTCTATTAATTTTAAAATCTTAGTGTCCTATATAATTAAAGATTAATTAATTTATTCAAATTATTATTAATTGCGCTATATTAATGAAAGACGCGCAGAAGACGTAGGCAGCAGGTTCCCCACTTGTGGTAAATACACTCTGGTCGCGTGTGTAAACATTTCATTCAATAGATTGGACTGGGTAATAAAACGTATTTAAGAAATAAAATAATCTTTATTTATATATTTTTTTCTTCATCTGTCTCATTTTTTCAAAAAAAGTATTCGAAGTTATCTGGGCAATAATGGTCGGAATCCAGTCTTGGGATCGACCATCGGGTTTTGGAAAGAGCAGTTTAGCAAGGACTCATTGCTTTGGTTATATTCATCCATTGATATAGATAGTACTGGACCATTTACCTGGTGAGAGTTGGGTCCTTTTATTGACAATAGTGATAGTCGACTTTCTAAAAAGTAGTTCTTGGAGTGTTTTTGAGTATGTTTGAAACTATGAGTTCCATGAAAGGGTTTTATTAGTCTATGATTTGAACGTTGCAGGCTTGATTCCTCAATCGAAATATCGGACATGGATGAATTTCCTGTCTCAATATTTTGGGTTTCAGTTATTTCTGTTGACTGCTTAGACAATTTTCTTGAAACGAACTTCTCCCAAATACCTGGTTCAATTTTTCTAATTACAGGATCACTTTTAGCAAAATTTGAATCCGACGTATAATTGTTTATTTTAGATTCATCGCATAGTGTTTCCATAGTGGAATTTTCTGCAGCGAGAGTAGAGTCTCCGCTGTTAGTAGTGATGCAGGTTGATGTTACCGGTGTTAAAAAACTTTGGGATTGAGTTTCATTACAACTGGGCAACTTTAATATGGCTACTCTAGATGTTGACTGCTTCTGATGTGTGTGATTTGATTTTACCATTCCCTTTATTTTCTTGTAATTGTTTTTTATTGAACTCGAAAACAGGTTTGAGAATCTATGATCACTTTTCTGTTTTGAATACGGACTTATTTGAAACTGATCTCTGACTCCGAGTTTCATTTTACCTTTTTTTGTGTCCGGGCTCAAAGCGATCGTTGCGTTTATCATAGGTTTGTTATTGTTGCTTTCGCATTTCTCTTCCTTCTCGACTTTACAGTTGCTGAAGGTAGATCGTAAAAAATAAAAACTCTTAGACTTATTTTTTTTCAAACTGTCCTTAACTCTATTATCATAGTTAATTTGTTTCTTTTGCGTCTTTGCTACCCAGTTCTTGGCTACTTCACTCTGCCATTCACTACTTGAATAGCAATACATCTCTTCTGAAAACCCTTCACACTCTGATTCTGATTCTAATATTTTGAATTCATTTTTTATATATTTTGAATTATTGTCCTCTGTTGACGAATCATCAAGAGATATTATATTACTTCCATAGAGTCTATATTTTTCATCTTTTAAATTTGTCTGACTATGTTTATAGGTGCTAGATTTGGATATTTTTGTGTCTGTGTAATCATGTAATAACGCAGTGTTACTTCTAAACATTTCCTTATTACTCAACCTACCTTGAACATCTGCTAATTTGGTTATGTTAGAATCATTTTCCAAGCATGATGCTTTAGGAGTACTACATTGCTTTTTATTAACGTCGCAGTAATCGCTATTCCATTTAATGTCTGAAGCGCCTACCGAACGTTTGCTGTTAACACAGGGGTGGTCCTCTATTTTACTTACTTTGCCCGCATAATGGTTAGTGCTATTTAATCCCCCACCCTGTAATATTCCATTGCCATGATCGCTTCTTATACTACTCGTTGAATATTTTCGGAAATTTAAATATTCCTTCGCATGGCTGAAAAATTTTTTAACGGTATGTGAGTGCAACATTTTACTTTGCTTTTTTTCACACTTTATAGTTTCATTTCGCTCTTTCAGATCGTTTTTTTCAACAGAATTGCTGTTTACATCGCTTCTTTCAACGTTATGGTTTTGACAGACTTGGTTTGTATTGTTATTAGGAAGTGAGCAGTATACAGGCTTTCCAATTTCATTTAAAGTAAGATTTGTTGTATTGCATGAACTCATATCATTACCGGGCACAAGATCATTTTTTATGTTACATAGCTGTCCTAAGTTCGAAACGTCCTTATATTGTGAACTATTCGTTACCAAGTGTTTGCTACAGGTATTTCTGCTGTCACATTTATTGGCGCAAGGATCGCTCGAAGATTTCACATCTGTTTTTTCTTCATTTAGGGATTTGGAACAAGCATGACAGAGCTTGGATGGCTCGCCTTCAGTTACAATGTATGTTTTAGGTTCATCTATTTTTTCACTTCGCGAGTTCTTAACTTTTAAGTAGTGTTTTTTATTTATGTTTGGGATAATTTGCTGAAGATTTTCATAATGATCCCACGAGATTTGGCTTGGAAAGCAGAAGAATTTCGAATCTGAGTCGTATTCCTCGTCGCATAATCTTTCATCAGTATCATTAATTATTTTACGAGAAATCTGTTTTCTACTGTTTATGTTTCTATGTGGCTTAAAGAAATGGTAGTTGCTATAGTCCTCTGGGAAACGGTAATAAAACGATGATATATCGCTCGATTTTCCACTGTCGTCTTTGATGTAAACATCTTGTGCAAAATTATTCGAACTGTCCATCGAATTTGTTGATTGAGTCCTTTTTTTGTTCGTACGATTCTCTTTCGATGATTTGCTATGGTCAACAGCATTTGTCTTTGACATGTTACTATTTTTAGTACTGGATTTTCTGTTATTTATTTTTTGCCTATCAGTTATTTTCTCTTCCGACGCAATTTGGCTTGGTTTTATGTGTTTAAATGTTAAGAAGTTCTCTTGTCGTTCGGAAGAATGTTCTTCCTCATTTTCATATTGAATCCTCGATTTGTTAATTAATTTATCGTTTGGATCTGTATGGATAGGATCCGTGTTTTGTAAAATTTCATTAGAGTTTTGAGGCGAGTATTTTTTATCACTATTGCAATTATTTTTATCTCCTCTGTTAAATCGTCTATGACTATTTCGGTCAACAGAGTTACTAGAATTTTCAATATTTGAGATTTTAGCAATAC